CAAGTCCTGATAGAAGTTCTCTGCACATGGTCTTATCTGGAACTCCCAACTTGAAGATAATTCTTCATTGCACCACTCTTCTGGCTCTAAAAGCCAACTCTCTAAGTCTGAAGGTTTCAATCTGAGATACCAATTTATAATCAAGTCACATAAATGTTGAACTACGTTTGTAGTAAAAAACTTTTGAGAAAGTTTATTAATAGCATTTTGAACTTCTTCTTTATCATTTCTTTGTTTCAAAGTAATAGCTCCCTTTTTATAAATATACGTTATCATTTTTTTCAAAATAGTGAAACCCTTTAATGCAAGAGTTTCCCAAAAGTCATTTTCTTCATTACTATTATAAATATCTTGGGCCTTCAGCTCCAATAAAGATAAAAAGGTAGACATTATATTCTGAGAACAAGGCAATAATATGAAACTTGTTGGATTATTATTAATCAAGTTTACATATAACTTGCTATAGCACTTACCGTATCTTTCCAATAGGTCTGATGAGTATTTTTCATGCTCCATAATTAATGCTTGCAAATGCTCAACAGTAATTTTCAAAAATTCTACAATGTCTTGGTTTTTATGAGGTTGTTCGAATCCTTCAGGTATAAGTCTTCTTAAGTTTTTCAAGCAGAGATAACAGATTTCCATTAAACCTAAATTTAATGTACTTGTGAACTCCAGGAAGAATTTTAAGTATAGCTTGATTAACATGGGCACTATTATCGGTGCCTTACTCTGCATTGCATGTCTTGCTCTTCCAATTCTAACCATAGATACAGTTTTGATGATTTGATTCAATATGATGAGTAAATTGTTGGTTGATGTAAGATCATTTTTTTGGAAAACAAATTCTTCTAAATTCTTAGCTATATCATCAAATAACGATGGCCATTCACCAGGAAAGTCAAATCTTACAATGCGTGCTGTCGAATGTGCATTTTGGATAGTTAGTTGATTGTTCTTTTCGTGAAGGACGCAAAAAAGTTTTGCTTTAATTTGTGCTTTCTCCTCTTTACTAATTGCATTTGATCTCGAAGACCTCCAATACTTTTCGATACCATTCTTAAAGCATATAATAGCTAACCATCTTATCTGTAATGGAAGTTCAATCTTCAAGTAGATGTCCTGTAGCAAATAATGGTAACCTGGATGCGATTCCCACGATTTCAATTGAGACTCCGCATCCTGCTGATATGAATTTCTCTCCGAATCATTAGCTAAGGTTAGCACTTTTAGTAGGTTATCGTAATTCAATTCCATATCGTTGGTCTACTCTACTATACATTAAGCAATTCATTATGATATGAATGATATTTTTATTCCCCAATGATAATGGTATTTACACTACTAAGAAGAGTAAATTTGCACTATATCATAGTACTTTAGATATATAAATTAATTTACACTAGCTAATCCCATCTCTTCTCCTCATCTCCCTCAGCCCAAGAATGTTCTTCGTAATTGAGTTCTTTTTTTACTCTTGAGACTACTTCCGGATCACCCATATTCTTACCAAGATTATCGCTAATTTTGATGGAAGGGTTACCGTTGGCTTCTTTCAATTTAATGACAATATTAAGCGGAACAGACTTGGTAGAGGGATCAGACACAGACGTAAAGTCATTTGTGAAAAATGTTCCAATGCCAAAAGAAGTGATTAATCCCAAACTATTAACTTTTTGTTTATACTTTAAACACTTCTCAACGTTCAAGGAATCACTGAAGCATATTATTTTACTAAAATCCGCATACCCTTGCTTCTTGTAATGATCTGCCAATTTCTCAGCGAACAATTCAGGATCCCCTGAATCTTGTCTTACACCAGTATAATAATCAGTGTAAGGCTTGGTAAAGATTTTCAAGTACGCATCAGTTCCAAATGTATCTGTTAAAGCCAAACCAGCATGTTCTGGCCCAAATGTATCTAACCAGTAGTCCATGGCAACTTTATTGGCATTTCTATAGTCCTGTGTAATCGATGCAATACCCATAAACCATTCGTGTGCAACTGTTCCTATAGGTGTTGTGTCGTATTTTTTTGCCAATAATACATTTGATGTTCCTAAAAAGTGTTTCTTATCAGGATTCTTTCGAGCAAAATCGCATAAAGTCTTCACTACTAGATCTTGCGTCTTGAATGATCTCCTACGTCTTGTTCCAAATTCACTAAAAGTGCATTCATTCTTAAACAATTGTGCACATTTGTCTTCCACACGTTCTGCTTGACCATCGTAGTTCCAATCAGTATCAACAAATTTAAAATAAGCTTCTGATATTAACGCTAGCAAAGGAATTTCATATAATATGGTTTCATCCCATTTACCTTTCATTTCAATTTCAAATTCTTCAAAATTACTTTCGTCATTGAAGTATTTGATTTGTTTGTCAGGAAAGAGCTGGAATGTTTCCAAATATTTCAAGTAAACCTCCGGCATTTGTGGCAATGCTTTCCGCAAATATTCAATTTCTTCCGAACTGACCCTTAAGTCACCTAGCTTGGAAATTTGATACTTCAACCAATCGATTGCTTCTTTGTTTAATACCATCGATGGCGTCCTATTCGTATATCTATATACAACGGGTATGTTCGGGAAATGCTTGACAACAGCAGCATGCATCGTCAACTTGTACAAGTCAGTATCCAATATGGATGTAATAATTGGAATGTCTGACGTCATTGTCACAATTATCTCTATGCTTATAGTTGATAGTAGATGGTATAGTTATCTTTTGATTTAGGAATCTTTACACTGCATTCGCGATAGCTTTTTTCGCTTGCCGGCGATAGCAAGAATTACTATGATGAGACTTACCATAGTGAGACATGCTATAATTCAAATATATCGGAATAATAACAATTATGGTTTATAACATACTATAATACTTTAAAATATACTATAATAATATATATCAAGGTTTTATGATAATGGAGCTCCCAATTATCGATATCAAGAAGTCACGAACGTTAGATTGAGAATTTCGAGATTAGATTGCTTATTCAGATAATGAATCAATTTGATAAGAATCTTCGTAACGGTTCATGACAACCTCATAAAACCTTTTGTTACATACAACAAAAACTAATACTGACTGCCCTGTCTAATTAACTTGATTGTAGTGTCAGTTTTAGTTAAACTTAGACCAAACCATTTTAAAATTATCAGTAAGTTGATTTAAATCGAAGTAAATCTGTAGCATAATTACTTCCATCCTGTTAGGTTGTATTACTAAGGAAGGGTTGGACCTCTTGAGTTTGTCTACCATATTGCGTAGTATAATGAACTATCTTCAGTTCGTTCTATATTTTGCAACCATTCTGAAATGTCAGCTCAATGCTTTCAAATTAATCATACTATTAAAGACAACCGGCTTGGTATACTCATTATTGAAGCATCAGCTTGTATAACAACATCCTGATGATACTGGCCTCTCGTCTCTTCAAAAAGAAAAAAAAAAGATAATGACTCCGACGAGGTTCGAACTCGTGCATCTTTACGATAGTAGAACTTGAGTCTACCGCCTTAACCACTCGGCCACAGAGCCTTGTTATCTTGAAAGACCTTTCCTTAGCCTAGCCACTATGTGTATCTACTATGTTCATTGCGTACCATTTATTTGTATGATGATCCACTATGAATCTAAGCTTTTCCAGTCAAAAATCTACACCGCAAACAAGCGGAATATAACGGTATCATTCTCAATTCGAGTAAAATGCATCCACTAATACTGGTGATTGCAAAATTATTATGGTAAATACCATACTGATTAGTACATTACTTGGGTAAATACAAGCATAACTTGAGCTTTTGTCTTTTAAAAATTTGATCGTGTACTAACCATCGAAAAAATATTTGGCTCGAAAATTTTTTCACTCAATTCAGTACTAGTGAAAAAAAAAGTTTTCAACTTTTAAATTCATTCAATTTGTTCTTTAGATCAAAACAAACTAACTAAAATGCCTTTCGATCAACGTCCAAAGAGTTCCTCTTACCACTCCCGTTTCCAAACTCCTTTCCGTAGAAGACAAGAAGGTAAGACTGATTACTACCAAAGAAAGAGATTAGTCACTCAACACAAGGCTAAGTACAACTCTCCAAAGTACAGATTAGTCGTTAGATTCACCAACAGAGACATCATTGCCCAAATTGTTTCTTCCCAAATCACTGGTGATATTGTTTTCACTGCTGCTTATGCTCACGAATTACCAAGATACGGTATCAGCCACGGTTTAACTAACTGGTCTGCTGCTTACGCTGTTGGTTTATTAGTTGCCAGAAGAGCTTTACAAAAGTTAGGCTTAGACGAAACCTACAAGGGTGTCGAAGAAGTTGAAGGTGAATTCGAACTCACTGAAGCTGTTGAAGATGGCCCAAGACCATTCAAGGCTTTCTTAGATATCGGTTTACAAAGAACCACCACTGGTGCCAGAGTTTTCGGTGTCTTAAAGGGTGCTTCTGACGGTGGTTTGTACGTTCCACACTCTCCAAACAGATTCCCAGGTTGGGATATCGAAGGTGAAGAATTAGATGCTGAATTATTGAGAAAGTACATCATGGGTGGTCACGTCGCTGAATACATGGAAGAATTAATGGATGATGATGAAGAAAAATTCAGAACCTTATTCAAGTCTTACCTCGCTGATGAAATTGAAGCTGAAGATGTCGAAGAATTGTACATGAACGCTCATGAAAAGATCAGAGAAGACCCATCTTTCAAGCCAACCGAAAAGAAATTCACCAAGGAACAATACGCTGCTGAATCTAAGAAATACAGACAAACTAAGTTATCTAAGGCCGAAAGAGACCAAAAGATTACTGACAAGATTGTTGCTTTCAAGGCTTCTCAATAAGTTATTTAATTCTGTAAAATTTATTTTTATTGAGTTATAATAATTTCTAATTTTTGATTTCTAGTATATATCTTTCTGTAGGATTAATCTAAGATATTTTCTAAGCTTGTGGTAGTACTGTACTGTTATATTTATTATACTAAAATAATCTTATTTACTCTTGTTTGTTAGATCTAACCCTTTGGGCATCATTTAATAGTTTGTCGTAAACTTCATCAACCACAGCATTAACTCTTTGGTCTTTACATTGACAAGTATTATTTGGCTGATTCATACAGCTATCGTTGCAACTTTTCTGATTTTCTATCGAATCAATCGAATCGTAATCTTCCTTGGAAGACAATGACCCATGATTTAGATGTGTCGATTTATCATTTGCTTGTTGAGTCAGTTGTAACGATGGCTTTAGATTGTCATCAGAATTGCTGGATCTTCGATTTTCATTTTGGGATTGACCAGTCACATCTTCTAATTTATAAATATTTTCAATACTAATTCTATTGTCATTGATGTTATCAATTAAATCAGTGATAGATTCGATTCCTTTTGCCGCAATAATAGCATCTCTCAATTCAGAGCCTGAAGGTAGCACATTAAGTGTTGGCACTTCACGCTTGTTTTGTTGTTGTGAATCCAAATTATCTTTCGGGTCATTTAATTTAGTCAAGTCATTTTCACTGTTATTCCTTTGCTCAATAAAAACACCCCACCTATGTAACTCACCTTCTTCTTTCTCTAATTCTTTTGCATGGAGTGAAGTTTGTGAAATAGATTTCATTAATACTGGCCTACCTGTTAAGTTATCAATAGGTACATTTTTCCCATCAGATGACGAATCAATAACAACCTGATGAGGCTGGAAATTTTGTTCAGGGGATGGGAAATAGCTTGGTACGTTCAAACGTTCTACGTTGTGCGGTGACAATATTGGTCCAGCCGTAATCAACTCATTAGAATTTTCGTGTAATGCATCACGTCCTTGCAAGTCAATTTTTAAATTGTGGTTAGAAATACTAGCAGGATTATTTTGGCTTTGCTTTGCTGCTTCATCAGAAATTTGGTGAATTTGAGGACTATTAGCATCATTGCCATTGACTTTAAGTGATGGCGATGGACCGGCTTGGGCAGATGGACTATTGCCTGTTTTGTATGCTTTACTACGCTCCTCGAACATATGAACAACCTTTTCTAAAGATGAATCAAGCAAACAAAGTCTCAATAGAGTCTCCTTGTCTTCAAGAGACAAAGTTCCTTGGTTTCTTTTCTGAAACAAGTTATCAATATTTTGATGAAGACCTGTTCTTACTGCCCGTGTTCTTTCAATCAACGCATTAGTAATGATCTTTTGAATTTTAAAGTCTGCTTTCTTATCAGGAATCTTATCGTTTTCGATTAATAATTTTTCCGCTGTTTCCATCAATAATGAACCATCAAACATTAATTCTTCTTCGTTTGGGTCTTCAGAATTATTGATGACACCCTGCGAATTCATACTCTTGTCCATATTTCTCATCAAATAGAACGCAATTCTTTGAGACAAAGCATCAGGAATTAGGTCATAATCCAAATCCAAGGTGAATATTGTTTTTGATAATTTGACCGCAGTATACAAAGTAGCAGCAGATCCATGATTAATATCTCTATTGCCTAAGAAGGATACATGCACTAGTCCTTCTATCTTTGGTAATATATCAGCAATAGCACCAATAGATAAACTAGATAATTCATTCAAATCAAAATGAATTCTTTTCAAACTGGGAAATTGAGGTAAATACTTTTTAAGCCTTGAAATGATTCCAGGAAATAAATCTGGCAACGAACTTAGATCTAAAAATCTTAAAGTTTTAACATAACTTAACGATCTAATTAACTCCGATGTTTGATCTATATCAGTTAATTTAGTTGAATTTAATGAAAAAAATATTAACTTCAGATTTCCCTTATAAAATGCATTTATAAAGGGGATCAACTGTCCCTTACTTAAATCATTGAATGCAACATCAACCCCAACACATTTCGATTTTTCATCCGTAATCCAATCTGCAACAATTTTCGCCTTGAATTGATTCAATTCGATCGAAGCTATACCTAATCTATAGGTTGACAATCTGACAGCATTTTCAATCAAGTCTTTAAAAGTCTCATCTGTCAATTTACATCCATTTATCACTAATTCTTCAATTCCACCACGCGTGATCAAGGACTGAATAAAAAGATTCCAGTTCATTGAAGACCGGATACAGGATTTCTTTGTGTCTGATTTGATCCTTTGTTGTGATATATCTAACTTTTTAATACTTTGGCTCATTGAAAGAAATTTACAAAGAAATTTCCACCCAAGCTCATCAATTGCAACGTTTCTCAATGATAACTTTTCTACAAATTTATTGTTAACTATTGATGATAAAAAATGTTGTAACATTTCTGTTGTCATCGTAACATTATCAAATATGATTGCATTAATTGGCGTAATAGCGATGAAATCGCTAAATGATAAAACGTCAATCAATGTTGGCTTTGGGTTTAATAATTTCAAGACTGGCAAAACCTTCGTCTTATTTTTCAATTGTTTTAAAGTTGCAGGTATTGGCAATATTTCTCTCAAGTGGCAACATCTTGTATAGATAGTTTCCAACGAGAGATTTTCTATCATGTTTTTCTCTTCAAGATCAGTATGGCCATGCCCTGAACTTTCTTGATCAGAAGTGTTCAGTTTATCAAAGTGATTTTCATGAACATGTAATGGCTTATCAATCTCAACATTTTCCATATCATGAGCTAAAGCTCTATCAACTTCCTCTTCCTCTTCTTCCTCTTCCTTTTGTTTCGAGTTTCTTCTTTGTTTAAATGTGCTAACTTCATGTGCAGTTCTTCTAGCTGATAAATGTGCTTCGTTCGCATACTTCTCAGCCTCTATGAGAGCTCTTTTTTGTGCTTCAATCGCCCGGTTTAGTTCTTTTTCGGAATACTTATTATCTGGCTGTAAATTAGTCTTGTTTCCATTCGCATCACTTAATGAAATTCCTTGCGAAAGCCTAGGCGGTGGTGCAACAATATCTTCAGGTATCAATACATTTCCTTTTTTAGGACGTCTCGAAGGAATTTGCTGCTGTGGGTCAAACGCCAATTTATCAACAGCAAATGTGATTCTTCTCAACTTGATATTCTTCAACTCATCTTGTGGGTTATCAGATCTATTCGGGTTCTTATTTAACACGACTCTATTATCTGACGGCTTACTTGGTTGTTGTTGTGATGACTTAAATGTTTGAATCGAGTTCTTTCGTCTAGAATTTACCGGAATGCCTGGAGGAGGTTTATCCACCAACGCCGTAAGATCCTGTGATGGAGGATTATTATTATTATAAGAAGCTCCTAACAAGTTGGGATTTAGTTTGGATGTTGTAGGAGATACATTATTGGATGACTGGCTCGAAGCAGAACCTGCAGAATTAGACTTGAATTTGGCAGATATAGAACTGAAAAGCGATCTCTTTCCAGACGTTGAATTCGACCGTGAAACATTGGGCGAGCTATCCAGCGAGTCCAGGAAGTTAGCGCTTGCGGAATGCGTAGTACCCGAGCCTGACGAAAGAGGTGGTCCAGGTGACACAGCAACACTACTTCTTCTTTTTGGCACATGCGTTAAAGATATATCATACTTGTCTACGTTAGAACTTCCAGTAGACGACGATCTCGATCTTCCGCCCAACTTGAACAAATCTAATTTCTTCTTCTCCAGCTGTGGTTGCAGCGGTGGCGGCTGTTTCAGCTGTGTAGGTATTGTAGAATCGTGAGCACTCGCTGCTGCTTTCTCCTGCGGGATGGATGATCCGTCTGCTGAACGACCAGCAGGCTTTTCAACCGACTTTTCACCTGGCTTCTCGCCATTTCTTTCGCCAGAATCTCTTTCTTTTTCTCCTTCGGCCGTTTTGTCTGCTCCCTCTTCGCCCTTCTTCTCTTTATCACCTGGAACCGATCCATTGTTCATCTTCTTCGTTAGCTTCTTCGATTTACCCCGAAATAACCAATCGACATCCCCGTTCGATACCCCAGTATCATATTCGTTCACTGGTTGATCTGCCATATTATGCTCCACCAATGTAATTCCTATTTATCTTATAATATGGCCAATACGCTGGTCGAATCCTTTGCTCCAATTCGTTACTTGTCTTCAATTATCTTCACTGTTGTGTCTTGGCTGGATATAACCGCTGGCTATAGATTTATCCGATTCGTTGGTAATAGAACACTGACTGTTTGAATAGCAATTTCGATATACTCGGTTTCGTTCCGATTATACCATATAACTAATGATATCTCACTTTTAGCAATATGACCACTAGTTTTCGGTTGGTGGCTCTTTTTTGCCTATGCTTTCTGTATTATACCGTAATGCACTTATCATCAAATAAGCCTTTGTGTAACGTCTGCCAAGTCTTTCACGCCAAACCCGACATCCTGCATAAGTCACTCACCACGACATTGCTCAGTGTCCGACACAATGTCGTGGATATCACTACATTCGATATTCTTCTCTCTTAATCTTATTGGTTTTGAGCGTTACCCTCTCAGAAGATTTTACATAAGCCATCCCTACTCCATGACCAATTACGTAAGGCCGGAGATATCATTATGTAATATCCGATGAAATTAATAATTATCTTCATATATAAAGGCTCCACCGTCAGTAAAAGATGTATTTTTAATTTAAAACCTTATCTTTCATTATATATTAACATAAATCAAATTTATTAAAAATTAATAACAATGATAAGTAGATCGTTTTTGAGATTAGCTAACCCTGCTAGAAGGGCTATGCCAGCAGTTAATAGAGTCAACATGATGCCATCTATGGCACTTCCAACGAAGAGATTATATCATGAAAAGGTGCTTGATCACTACTCAAACCCCAGAAATGTCGGTACATTAAATAAACTCGATGAGGATGTCGGTACCGGGTTAGTGGGTGCTCCAGCATGTGGTGATGTTATGAGATTACAGATACAGGTTGACGATGAGACCGGAGTTATCAAGGATGTGAAGTTTAAGACTTTTGGTTGTGGATCAGCCATTGCTTCGTCTTCGTACCTTACTGAATTGGTCAAGGGTAAGACTATTGAAGATGCAGTTAAGATCAAGAATACAGCTATTGCAAAGGAATTGTCATTGCCACCAGTGAAGTTGCACTGTTCTATGTTGGCCGAAGACGCAATTAAGAGTGCCGTTAAGGACTACAGATCAAAGAGAAGTGTCCAACAACCAACCTTAGGTCCAGAAGCTGCACAGACGGAAACCATCACCACATAATAGATCATTTGACTGAGTACTGTGTATATAAGAGATTTTGTATGGAATATATGCTAATTTATGGGAAGACAGGTGTAGTTGCATGTCACGTAGTGGATGTGGAAGTTCCCGAAGGCCATCTATACGGATTACGGATCGGTGGACAATTGATGCAAGCATTCATAATTTTTTTAGTTGTACATCATTTTTTGTGTTTAATAATGAAATGTTAAAATCGTTAACTTCTGCAAGTGTCTCAACATTCCGAGAGAAGAGCTTACGCATCAAAACTGTTATTGGCAGAGAGCGGACTGAGTCATGTGGGTGCGATGTAGTAATAGTGAATCATCCTGATGAGAAAGCCGAGATTAGTCCGAATATATTTGCAATTGTTATTATATAGCTAAATAATTCACGTAATTAGTAAACAGTTTTCCTATAAAACCTTCCGCCAATGGTAAGCTCTTGAATCTTATGAGACTGATGCATCCTAATATACTTAGTCCACCAATGCATGAGTATCCTATTTTTTTATAGTTCAAGCTATATTTATGATTTAATTTCAAATAGCCACTGACGAAATGGTAAGATCCTATCACAACCAAACCCATTAGAGCTATGTAATTAATGAAATTCCCGACCTTTTCTAATGGCGACTTGTTTAAATAGTATGTAATATAGTCCAAGTTGATCAAGCTGGAATCTCCATCAATAACGTTGGGAATATGTCTGAACTTTGTGAAATGGTATCCTATCAATGGAAGTAACAAGTACCCCGAAAACAGCAAGGGACTCAATCCTGGTATAAATCTCGATATCATGGACTTTCTGTATCCCAAGCCAATTAGTCCTGTGATGCCACCAAGGCCGATATCATCTCTTTCGTCATTTTTGATGACTGGCTCATAGACCAATTTGGAACGGTGTTTCTCACCTTTTTTAAGGTAGCTTCTGATTATCCGAATCCCTATACCAGAACAAACATGACAAACGCTTGATCCAATAATTATAAGGTTTTCAAAGTGTGGAATAGATTGATAAACAGCTCTGCTCATCTCAAATATTTCTTGCCCAAGTGGCATAGGCACACCCAAACCTGGAGCTATAACCACAGACGTTAAGTGTAACCCGAGAAAACTCGAAAACGTATATGCTGAATATTTTTGCACCTTGAGTAAGTAGAATAGAATTTTCCGTAGGATAGGGTTGCGTTTGTGCGGCGTATAATTTGGTACTCCTTTCTCCTTTGCTATTAGATTCAAATCCTCTAATGTCATCGGTTCAGGAGATACTTCTCTAAGTTCAATTGGTGTTTCCATTTTGATACCTATACCGTATATCTTAAATACCAAGTGTTGTAATCATAATGAGATTATAATTTATTGGCTCAGTACAAGTACTGTATATAATGCGGTTCATAAACAACAGATAAACCACTTGAAGAAGTGTCTATCTTTCATACTTCAATAGAATTGAGCAAATCGAAATGTCATCAGCAACATTTACACAAACTAGATCACAGGCATTGAATCTAGAGAAACAAGCAGATACGTTATTGTCACGATATTCTGCATTTCAAAATTTATCTAATACAAGTTCAAGCGACGAAGAAAATGAACTAAGTGATTCCATATTCGAAAACTTACAGAAACGGGAAAATGTTGTAAATACGTTGAATAGAATATCCGAAACGGACACGAATTTGTCTACTTCCAAGTTACAGCAATTACAAAGACATAAGGAAATATTAAGTGAACATAGACGGTCATATGCCAAGATCAAAGGTGTTATAAAAGAAGAACGGAATAGAAACAACTTGTTATTTTCAGTAAGGTCTGACATCGATGCCCATAGAGAGAGATCATCTAATAACTCAAACAATCGTGACTTGAATGCCAATGATTATATATTGGATGAGAGTGTTCGAGCAGATAATGCTAATTCATTTGCGGAGAGACTATTACAACAAGCATACAATACAAGAGATGAACTCTACAGCCAGAGGGCACACTTGAGTAATGCACAACTGAGGATGATGGGTGCTGTTCTGCTGATACCCGGCATAAATGTGCTTATTTCCAGAATTAATACACGGAGGAAGAGAGATACGTTAATATTAGCGACAGTTATTGCAATTTGCATTTTGGTATTGTTCTTCTTCTAACCAATAGCTATATATATACATGATTATGAAAGCAAATGGAATCATTGAATTAGTGAACATTTAATAATATGTGAGAAGCATTTGATATGATCTAATGGATATGTCTGCATTTTGTACCGGGAATTCTTCAATTAAGATACTCACAATTGTCCGGTAGATCATTAAACTATTGGAAAGTAATATATGTGCATTATTCTATATGATTGTATAATTTTATATACCTCTAATCGCACATACTAAATAATTTTATGCGGTATGCAGTTTTTGCAAATGTGTAAATGAACCCTTTAAATAGTTTTATGATAAGCATACTAGTGAAGATATAAAGAGCTATTACGATCTATAGATAAATATGGAAGAAAAATCAGAAGCACTCTCGAACAGGATAGCAGAAATTAAATTGAGACGAATTCAAGAATTCAATTCAAGGTTGAAGGAAGCATTATTGCGTGAGAGAATACCTGCTTCGAATGCATCATTATTGTACGTATTTATATCACTGTTTAATAATTCAGAAGTAAGAACTAACCATTAGAATAACGAATTACGTTCAGGATACACCTGACTATATAATTCCAAGTCTTTGGAAGTTGCCACCTGAGCAGAATAAATTCAAACAGTACGAAAGGTTTAAAAAGCTGAGAAATGCTAATTCTGATACTTCAAACTGTTGTACAATAGTTTAATATATTAGTATATATATATTTAATAAAGGGTGTTTCGAGTGAATCAGTTCACTTAGTCATTAGGAAAGTCAAATGGTCTTTTTGTATTAATATTCATCGTGTTATATTTAACCTCCAAGTTGAGGTGATTCTTCTTTTTCGTTAACCTTAATACTTCGTAAATGTTCAATATTTTCATTTCCTAAGGTCTTATCATCTTCTTTCTCATCATTACCACACCCGCAATCGTAGTCTTCGAGAATTGTAGTACAATCATACTCAGGCTTTTCTAATCTTTCATTTACCTTATTATGCATATGACACCCCCATAACGCCGCAGTTTTCCTTGACTTAATTTGAGGAGGATATTTAGCTAATAAGCCTTGGAAATGCCTTGCACAATCTCCGCAAGGATAGACCTGGGCGAATAAATGAATGTATTGATTTAATGTGGTTTGTTCTTGCTTGCTAGGTTCTTCCGGGTATCTTGCTAATATGGTGTGGAACAACTTCCAAGCAGCATTACCTAATTGTGCCTTCAATGTCTCATTGGCCATTTTCGGCATAAAAGGAGTTTCTGTGAACTGGCCATTAGTGACTTCTGGAATAATATCGTCTTCCTGAACTTGTTCTTTTGGTTGTTTGGATTGCTTTGAAGGTCTCCTAATTACCTCTGGGTTGTCTATTTCATCGCTACTGGAATCTTGGACTTTTAGGTTGCTTTGTTCATTCTTGAAGTCGTAGTAGTCATTATTTTTGCTTAAATTAATCGGAGACGATTTACCGAGTGATCCCTCAGATGAGGAAGAGGACATAAAATATATCATACAGATTACACACAACAGCATAAAAACTGAAACAAGGGATTTCCTAGTAAACTTCATTATTACTTGGCTGATATATGGTTTTGAAAACAAAAACAGATCCTTTCGAGTTTCTGATTAGAAGTTATCGTACAATATTTTATCGCGTACAAAAAATTACTGTATTCGGCCATGTAAATCTATTGGCATAAATAACTAACTAATTTATTTTATAGAAGACTAATATTCAAGAAGGGTCTATTGTGACTTTTTAGAAGCTGTAGCTGCTCCAAGAACACCAGGTAATGATTCATTTCCGACATTATATAATAATTTTATACCGCCAATAAATAAAATCACCAAAGCTAAAGTTGTCCATAAGAGCAAGTTAGCTTCCGATGAAATGTCCTTTTTACTACAGTCAAATCCAGACCAGTTAGTAGTTTTCGTCTTGTCTTCATTACGAGTAGCGGCACAAACACAGGACCAACATCCTGATTTAACTTGTGAGCATTTTCCGCGAGAATTACAACTCGAAGTACCAACATTACATGCATCTTCAGAAGAAAAACATACGCCATTATTTGAAGCTCTCTTATTGACATTACTTTCTTTGAAAAGATCATTTAACTCTTGACTTCTCTTTTGTAAATGGTTATTTAAATGCTTGTTGTTTTTATCAACCGGTAATGCAATGACAGAGATATCGTAATTAGTTGATAAGGCAACCAAATAATCTGATAATACTTTGATTGAAAATGTGTACGTCTCCGAATCATACCCAGTCTTCTTACCAAGAGAAAATAAAGAATTCAAGTTAATGAACATGGAATCACCAGTGCTTGGTGCCACCGAATTCAAGTGCACTAATTGTGATAATTCATTTATGAATAACTTATCATTAATCAACTTCAAGGTTGTAGCATCTTGTTCAACTTTGTTAGTTAAAATAACCTGATTATCGGTTTGAACTGATTTTGTAAAAGAAGACCAAATGCCCATGAGCTTTTCATTAAAATATTCAAAATGCTTTAACAATGAATTGTCTTGTTCATGTTTAGATACTAATCTAATCTCGTTAGTTAATGGGATTGAGCTATAATTACCAATAGTTGCAATTTGTTTTGGAAATTTCGTCATAATAGAATGGCTTAACTCGTCATATCCATTCGATCCCTTAATATTGAATGCTGGTTTAATGGATTGGAAAACTTCGTTTGGGTTTGAAATTCCATTAATTAACACAATTAATTTAGCATTATTCTTGTCACTTTTCTTGGAGTTGACTAGTTCATTTTGTTGATCAATAAACTCGATAACTTCGTCTCTATTGTCACCTATTTTATAATAATCAGAAATATCAAATCTATCTGATAAGTAAAGCAAGGCATCTTTATTAGTCACAACAGGGGTTTTATCAGATTCTTGAGAATTCAATTGATAAACTGCTGCATCATTCTTCGTGGCCCATACTGACGAAACAAGTAAGGGAAACGCTAAACAACTAGAAAATTTCATTGCTGTGTTAATTAATGACTGCTTGGTGCTCCTTGATCGTTCATTTATTTAATGAACTTTTGACCTGGCAAAATTTATGCGCGGTCCACTACTTAGCTATTGCAAATAAATTTATATACATAATGTATACATAATATATATATACTGTATGTATATAGTAGTATATATATACCTAAACTATGACACACATTAAAATGTTTCATCTAGTGTTATAGTTGGACTCGGTAATACTTTCGAATTACGGGAAGTTTGCGTATTAGCAGTTTGCGTATTGACTTTCAAGTCGGGCTTAAAAAGCGTCTTAGTCAAAGATCTTGTTCTTTTGAGCCCGCCACTGCCTTGCGAGTCTTCTATTAATTCTTGCATCTGATCATCATCATTATAATCTGTTAAATCGATTCCCATCTTACTTAAATCTGCGTAAGCGTCAAACAGTTGTGGTTCGGGTTCTGAGTACTCTTCTGATGCATTGGATGGTTCATTGTGAAACTGCTTGAAGTTGGATAATCTATTGGTAATTGATAATGAGTCATGACTACCACCAATCAATGAATCATACGATTTAGATTTTGTGATTAAGTTCTCTTGTAATGATATCTTGGTGTGCTGCGGCAAAAGTGTTCCTTGAGTCAAGAATTTGTGGAGCAGCTTTGCCAGATCCTCATTTTTCATGATGATAATAATACGATTTAAAAACGGCAAATTCGACCACTGCTCAATCATATTTAAGTAATAATCTTCTCCATACGACACGTCCGCAGGTGTAGGCAAATTTAAGATACTCAACTTGATTTGGTCAGCAAAGGGCATCGTGCTGGTCATGGACTTATGATCACTAACGAAGTCATCTTTGTGCAAATTAGATATGATTATAGTTGTTTTCTCTGACCCATCCAGGTTATCAGTTGGTGAAGGGGAAATTGGAGTCATATTTGTTAAATTAAGATAAAACTCGATAGAAGAGACGGATATCACATACATACTTTTATATATAGCCCTCTAAAAATGATGATAGTCACAAGTGCCATGACAAATGGCTATGTGCAGTATGACCATATATCCACCGAACTGCAACATAAAGAAATGATAGGCGAATCGAAGTCATATATTAAAGTATAAGCCGTAGTGAAGACTGCAGTTAGGATTGAAATCACTGTTGCAATATAAGCACTTATTATCATTGGCTGAGTATTCTTGATAGTAAAGTATATTGGAGCAGGAACCACAGAGAATAACTTTTTCAGCCTTTAGATCCAGCTCATTCCATCGTATGATATCATGGCTCTCTAACTCTAGATGACACTTGTAACAGGGAAAATAAATATCACAGCATTTGAACTTTATTGCAATAATGTCTAATGCTGAATGGTAGTGTCTACATCTGGTTTGAGTATCAACTAACTGACCTTTCAAGTGAACGGGTTTCTCGCTATTGCTTACTTTCAAGATAGACATTTTTAAAATAAATGTTAGTTACAAACACTTGTAACTACGTTCATACCATGTGGTTAGGCTTTATGTTTTTGACTGATATTTTATGATTCAGAATCAATACTTGCTTATGTAATAATACATATGCATTAGGATATAGCTATCGAATAAGCATGGCCTTCCTGGTATATACTATATGTGCTTCTAATAGACTGAATTAAGCTGAAGGCATGTTATTAATGAGTTTAAAAGTTCCAAAATTATTATAGTTTCACTAACTCCAAGTAAACATTTATAGCTTATCATCTTGTAATTCAATTAAGTTAATGCTGGGACGGATAAATATATAATATACTAGACATTTAGCAATTACTAGTCATGAATATCACGTCTACTGTCTGAAATCTTGGTTTGTTTACACTACGATAATAGAAAATGTCTATAAGAAATATCACCATGGAGAGAACGTATGAGGAAGGTGATACAATAATTAAACGTGAAGATAATGCTACGATTATACACAAGTGGTGCTACAATTAAACATGATGTTAAGATCGTTTGTTGCATTACTTACAGGATACTGTGATATAACGAGGCTCATTTCTGGTTATAGATAAATTTTGCAATCGCTCCCCGAAACATTTCTACAAAGACTGAACAAACATTACAAGACAATATTTCGACTAAAATTATAACCATTGACCATATGAATCAATTTGAAGTGCTCTATATACGCTCTAATACATAGATATACCGACCAATGGCAAAGTATTGGGTATTTATTATTCGCAGATCACTCAACTTTTCATTCTAGTAATGAGAAAATAATATTACAAAGCGTCCTACAAAAGTATAACCAATATTCTACGTAACCATAATATTTAAGACGATATGATGTATCTAACTTGTAGTAAAGATGTAAATTGCAGATCATAATTCACTTATTTTTTGTAGTTGAAGCAATCAACGCCTTTCATGTCAGTAAATAATTTTAACACCTTTAAAAACATTAAATATATAACTATAACAACAGATTTAACTGCACAATGATGTCTTATTGTTTTGTATTATATATTTTGTATTTATTGTAGTATATATTTGTCTACCTATATAGCCAAGCCAGTGTTTCTGGAGCAGCACTTTTTGTACACTGCAAAAACAAATCGCGATTTATTTGTTTACATTCCAAATACCACAAACCATCAACTACAACAAACATAAAATTACTAACTTTGTTTTACTATAGTGACTAGAAATTGATAATTAGTATAATATTCATACTAATATTTCTTTTGGTTAACATCATACACTATACTAGGTTTGACTAAGGTTATTGCTTACCCATCACTAATCAACCAAATATCCTTTTTTTTTGTTAGAACAATATTATTGATTCAAGAAGCAAATTATCAATTAACAAACTTATCAGTTCCAACTTTGTTTATACTCTTATAGACATATTACAATCGCTACAAAATACATTGAGGTTTGTTTAATTAATATTTGCTGGTTGTTTTCAATTGTTCCACTAACAACAACTATCACAACAATAACAATAACAACAAAAGTCATCCATTAGCATAAAAATTAACTGGTATTAATACATAACATATTACTATTGTCATTCGCTTAACATGAAATCCTTTAAACACCAAACCAAGTCATTTGATGAAAACGCCCGGATCAAGTCCAAAAGTAATACGAGTGCAAAATTAATCTCCAAAAATTCAAATAATAACAATACTAATAACATCACCTCGAGTATTGATAAAAGAGAAGCACTTGGTGACTTAACACAGCTTAATGAAAACAGGAAAATTGATTTGAATCTGAAAAATTCTCTTCAAAAAGTTCATATTTACAAACAAAAGCACCAAAAAAGACCACATGAAGAATTAGGTACAAAACCAGAACTTGACACAAGCGAACATTATGATAATAGCCAGAACTCTGATGATGTACTTAAGTTCCATTTTGATCGTTTAGGGGGTAGTTCAGATGTGTCCAACCTTGAAGATATTGGATTTGAGTTTGCTAACCAAAATAGAATTGTAGAGCAATTTGATGATGACGAAGAAGAGATAGTTCAGGTAGACCCAGGGGCAGACGAGGAAGGGGAAGACGATGACGATGAAGACGATGAAGACGAAGATGACAGCAAGCCAATGGAACCAAAATGGAACAAAGCTATATTCAATGAATTACAATATGTCATGAAGAAATTCTCTAAAAATACGTTGGATGAAACCGATGAAGATACGTTTGATGTTACTATGGTCGCAGAATACGCACCAGAGATTTTTAACTACATGCATGAACTAGAATACAGATTGGTTCCAGATCTGAATTATATGAGTAACCAGGACGAATTGAAATGGGAGATGAGAAGTGTTTTAATCGACTGGGTGGTTCAAGTTCACAATAGATTTAATTTATTACCGGAAACATTATTTTTAACGGTAAATTACATCGATAGATTTTTAAGTAAGCGTAAGGTCTCGTTATCGAGATTTCAATTGGTTGGAGCTGTTGCATTGTTCATTGCTGCGAAGTATGAAGAAATCAATTGTCCAACTGTTCAAGAAGTTGCATACATGGCTGATAATGCATATACAGTAGATGAATTTTTGAAAGCAGAGAGATTCATGATTGATGTCTTGGAGTTTGATATGGGTTGGCCTGGTCCAATGTCCTTTTTGAGAAGAACTAGTAAAGCTGATGACTATGATTATGAAACCAGAACTTTGGCTAAATACTTTTTAGAAATCACAATAATGGATTCAAGATTTGTCGCTTCACAGCCAAGTTGGTTGGCAGCTGGAGCACATTACTTATCAAGAAAATTACTTAATAGAGGACACTGGACAGAAGCTCATGTGTATTATTCTGGTTATACCGAATCTCAATTAAGACCATTAGCAGAGATCTTATTGCAAAATTGTCGTAATGCTGAATCCAACCATAAGGCCATTTTTGAAAAGTACCAAGAACGTCGCTACAGAAGATCCTCAGCATTTGTTCAAGAATACTTTGAAGCTCTTGAACAGTTATAAATCTGAGTATATAATAGAAGATCATCTTTACATTATCGTTCACTAAAAACATTTCCTATTACATCCCTTTTTCTTCTCTACATATATTATCAGCAGCATGCTTAATTGTTTTATAATTCTAATCATTATCTAATATAAATCGTACTTTAGGTTTAAAGCTAAAAACTTTAAGCAGCCATTTGTATCCTGCAACAACCATATGATACTTGTCATAATAAACTTAACACTTAATTACCCTGTGTTCCAGCGTATCCATCATGATGGGTATTTTTGCAGTAAGTTAACATATGACCATAGTACGTGTATTCACCAGATCTTTTTTAGCACATCGCTAGGCTTCGGTCCAGTTGAATATGGATAGCTAAAGATCACCAACGTAATTAATTAGAAAAGGAATCAAATTAATCAACTAGTATGTCCTCAAGAATGCTTACTTCCACTTTACGTCAATCTACCCGTAACTTGGGTAGAGCATTTATTGCAAACAATTTAAGGATGGCACCACAGTTAGCAAGATCATCACCAGTATTAATTAGCAAATTCAACTATTCAACTACCCCAGACAAGCAATTGAAGGAAGTTTTGAAACAAGAATTGAAACTTTCCAACTCTATTCCAAATGAATTGGATCCTGTTTATCAAGACTTTGCAAATAAGGCTGGTTACAAAATTATTGATACTGAAGGCAACTCCAACATTCAATTGGTCAAGGAAGATGAAAGCGGTGAAACTATCAGAATCTTTTTCGACATTGATGAAGTTACTGACATCCCAGTCAGCGAACCTACTGCAGAAGAGATGGATATGGAGGAAGAAGTTGAATCTTTAGATTCTTTACTTTGTAACGTTAGAGTCTTGATTGAAAAGCCAAACACCAATGATGGCTTATTATTGAACTTATTCTTACAAGCCTCCGAATCTTCGTTTTTGATTGACTTTGTCAATTATCAAAACAATGTTTCTACTCTCCTAAACGATCAAATTTTACCTAAGAATGAATTTGTTGATAAGTTCAGATACCAAGGCCCTAGATTCTCCGACTTAGATGAATCAGTTCAAACTGGTTTCGAAACGTACTTACAATCTAAGGGAATTGACGATGAATTAGCAGAATTCATTATCTCGTTCAGTGAATTTAAAGAAGAGAAGGAATACAGAAACTGGTTAGGTGATCTCACCAAGTTTTTGAACTGATTTAGCTCCAAGTTCTAAAGTTCTTTGACTAAGTCAAATTTACAATATCAAATATGTGTTTTATATGCGTTTTACCTGTTAATAGTTTCAAAGTTGTCTATAGTTTATGTTTAAAGTACGTTTTTAACTGCAATATGTGTTAAAGTAAGACTGTCTATATACTGTGACTGCTTCTCGTGATCTGCGCATGGATAACCGGTTCAGACACAAAAGCGATTTATATGAATCTGTCATTTTTTCGCGGGTCACTTTGTTGAGATGTGAAATTATCAACGAACACCAAAACTAATGAAAAATTTAATTGACGTTACATAGTTTACTTAGGTACATTAAAGAAATATAAGAAATTAAAGATGTCTACTGAAGCTTCTGTCTCTTACGCTGCCTTAATCTTGGCCGATGCTGAAATCGAAATTACCTCTGACAAATTATTAGCTATTACAAAGGCTGCCGGTGCTTCTGTTGAAGACGTCTGGGCCGATGTTTACGCTAAGGCTTTAGAAGGTAAGGACTTAAAGGAATTATTATTCTCCTTCGCTGCTGCTGCTCCTGCTGCTGCTCCTGCTGGCGGTGCCGCAGCTGCTGGCGGTGATGCCCCAGCTGCTGTTGAAGAAGCTGAAGAAGAAGCTGAAGAATCCGATGGTGACATGGGTATGGGTTTATTCGATTAGATCAATTTAATTAGCAAACATTAAAGAACTATTACAAAATTATTACTTCGAAAAAAGAAGAGAGAATAGGATATTTATTTCCATTAATCATAAATTTCCATTTTTGCATGATTTTATTTAATGAATTTGTGGTTTTTTATCTAGTCTTATACATATTAAATTCACGGTTGTATCATATTGTATGTTATGATGTAGATGAGTTATTACAGTGTAGCGATTTGCCATGTATTCAAGAGAAATAATTAATGAGTGAACTAATGCCTATCTTTCCTAGTGAATTATAAGTCAAAAACATAAAGTTATTATCAACTGTACGAAATGACAATTTAAAAAAGTACTTAATACGAAGTAGAACAATACTTAGACCCCTTCCATCCTTTAACATTATATGATGCATATAAGCATCTAGAATATCGTTGACCACCTTCAAGGCCTTGCTCTATAATACCTCTTGCTTAGAGGTACTTACGGAAGTTTCGCATCGCTGTATACGTCACAACTATTGTACGATACGACAGGAGTATCCTTATACATATTATACATATAGCGTTGCTAATGTATGTTTCACTCATTCTTAAAAATAGTAGCATTGGCCTTATTAATCTAATTATTCTGACATGTAAGCATGCAGATCGTTACCATTAGAGTATGACAAACTTGTACACATTTGTAATCACTAACAATAATCTACGGTACAGCGTGATGATAAAATAACCTAGTGGCTTTTCTAAAAGAAAATACTGTTCAATATGACTGCATGGTTTCTAGAAGATTACGGGGTCTAGTTCAAGCAACGGCTTTAATCCGTTCGGTCCTAATGCAAATGGAGATATGCTTGCTAAGCGGATTAAAAGTCGCGGACTTTATTCTTATATCGGAACGAGATAAGTTCGTTATATCCCTTACTTCCGAGCCGTTATTCTCATTAATTTGTAATTGGATTGCAAAATTAGAAAGGTTATTTCCGTTTAAGACCCGATGACTAATACCAAGTAATTCTATATAAATAACAATAGTGTTCCATATTCCATGAAGTAGAAACATCATGATTTACGTTATAACAGGATAACAATGCCAATTTCACCAGATACGACTATGTCGTTTGCACAGACGTATATTTTTGCGTCTACAGTAAGAAGCAAGTTGACTAAACAAGCATCTAACCCAAACTCTAGTTTAAGAGTATTGGTGACACAAGCTAATATGTTGGATAATGTTATGGATCATCTTGCAGAGGAAACAGAGAAGCGTGTCACCAAGAACGTGTCGTTTTCAACTGCTGAAGATGATCATAAGCATGTGAGCTTCCAATTGCCCGAAAGAAAGAGACACCAAGGTATTTCTACTAATGTTACTGAATACGAAGTGGGGTCAGAATCAGATTCCGATTCAGATAGCGACTCCTATTCAGACGACGATGATCAGTCGGACAGCGATTCTGACTATTACTACTCATCCGACGACGAAGAAGAAGAAACACAGGTACCATCAATACAAATTGCCAAAGTCCAATCATTTAAACAACTACCATCTATGGATCTCTCCAAATATTCGATAGAAGAAGAAAACGAGGTAGATGTCGAAGACGAAGAGGAAGAAGAGGAAATCCCAGAGCTTTCAAGAAGTATATCTTTGACGGATGACGAGAATTTATCATTATCTGATGATGAAGATCTAGATGAGTCTAATTACACATACGCTACTGATAGTGGCTACCCAGCATATCACAGCCAGGACAGGAAAAGTGAAGATTCATCGAAGCAGCATAATTTAATAATAACGAGGTCTTCAGACCATTATGATGCTGGCCACAATTCCAGCCCAAATACTTACGCCATAGAGAATATTTTTTAATGATAAATTATGCTACTTATGATTACGATGATACGATTATGAAACGAGGATCTTTCACTTCTCATTTATACGTTTATGAATTTTATATTTATTAGAATAGAGATGGATATAATTGAAAAGTTATGTAGCAAATTGTAGTTCTATTCGTATATGATACTTGCAGATATTTGACGTAATTCAAACCATATGTTCAGGAATAGGTCGGGTACTTGATATTGCTTACCGTTCTTTGATAATCGCTCTCGGCCCTAACTTCGGCCATAGCATCGGCCGCAATTTACTTAAAAAATTTGCATACAATAGTTGTAGCACGGGGAATAATTATCTCCGCGCATCTATTCTTCTCTTGGAAGGAACGGCTAGTATTCTAAATATTGGCCGACCCTTCTAATGAGAAGCTTCTCCAAGTTTTCTCCTCGCACAGCCGTTACTCTCAAATATATATCTTACTCCTATTCATCTTAAGTCGGCAACGGTTGTATCCTGAAACTGACTTTTATAAAATAATCTGGGCATAAAAAGTTGAGCTTTATTGTATTATACCTGTAGGAACGTAAACATCATTTCCCTTGCCTGCAATATGTATTCGAATACTTGTCTCATCTTCTAAACAGATTAAAATCACTTTTTTCTACTTTTTGTGATTCATTGTCACGGACCAAACTTTAATTCAATCAATATCTTCATACTACGTTATTAAAATAGCAGGATGATTTAATGTTATAACTGGACCTCTGTTAGATGTTTGCTACTGATCATTACGTTAAATGCTTTTTATATCAATTCTTATTTAACTAACTCGTTGAAAATTGGACACCTTTAAATAATTTCGAAACTCAATATCACAAGGTTATATTAGATTCAAGAATCAAATACTATATTTCTTTGTGTTTACTTTAATTTTGCAACATTTTAGTCTAAAGTTATATATGTATACTTTCCATTGTCCACTTTTTCATAAATACGCCTCCTTAGCTTAGTGGTAGAGCGTTGCACTTGTAATGCAAAGGTCGCTAGTTCAATTCTGGCAGGAGGCATTTTTTTTTTCTTCACCGTTATTCAAACCATTAAATAATACTTTCGATTTATTAACTACGAGAGAATGAATAGTTTAAACCAACCAATATAATAAAGAAGAAATCACGCCAGTGTTTTATTCTACCTTTGTCCAATAGCTTTATTTTGCTTACAATAGACAACTCTTGATTAATGTTCTATTTTGTATATGCAGTACAACCCATCGAATAAAAACAACCACAAATCATATCATAAACAATCTACATTAACCAATTTATTAAGCATGTCAGGTATATTAAAATGGATGGTTCCATTGACCATCCTTAGTTATATAATCTATGTTGTCAATTTTATCTGTCCACAACAGTCTTCATCAATTTCTGTTAACAATTTGACTTGCGAGAGTTATGCGTATATTAAACCTTCTATTGATCCATTTATCACGATAGTGACCACTAAACTGAGAGAAATTAGTTCATCACTTCATATTTATCACGTTGTATCCCAAATGAACCATAAAGCAGGTGAATTGAGTACGACTTTAGAACCGTGGTCTACTCAAATAACAGGAAAATCACATGAATTGGTACGCAAATTAAGCGTAGGTGTTACTCCAATAATTTCATTAGTGGAGTCGACCATATTTGAAATAAAAATTAGAATCGCTCCAAAATTAATTATATGGATTGATAAGTTCAAGATCTACACTCGAGTTCGTTTTATAAGGTCTTGGGAATTCGTGAAATTCAAGGCCGATTTGGTGTGGATTAAATTGAGTTTTAAGGCGAATGATATTTTTTCAAATCAAATTAGACCATTTACGAAGCTCTACTTGATCAGAATTCAAAACAGCTCTTCATATTTAATTTTGAAGCACTATTTTCATGAATACAAATTGGATGTGGTGGTTAATTGTATTTCTCGCAGTTATAAGAGTTTAATGGATGTTAATAGTTTTCAAGAAAAGAGTGACTTTTTGAAAAAAGAGTTCAAAAATTTGATGCATATGAAAACACCTAGTGTTCCTCAAGGAAATGATGAAGAGGTAGCAGAAGTTGTTAAGGATATTCTTGAAGAGATAACTAGCCCAATTATTCTGTCCACCGAAAATTCTAACTCTGTTCTGGTAGATCCTACGATCTCGTCCTCACCTGCAGATTCTTTACTGGAAGACTCCGATAGTGACAGCGATGAACCAATTACTATTCTGCTAACCTCGACTAGATATGTTACATTAGAAACTCAAACTAATGAACCAAGTATTGTTGACAATTCGATTAGTCGTAAAATTGAGGAAGAAATAGATTACTGGGAAAATAAAGTGAATAAGACATTGAATTCCGCTTTGAGGAATTTGTCAAAAGACATGTCGATAGCGGTAAATTCCAGCATTGATACAATTAAACCGAAATTATCAGAGAGGTTCACTCACATACAGCAAACTAATTATAAGCATTATCAAGAACTAAATATAATGATTAATGCGATTGATAAGGATTCTGCTCAAATTCAAGAAGAAAATAGAATAATTGAGAGCTCCGATGAGTCGGGCCGCCAATATGTTTCAAGACAAGACATGAGAGATAAAATAAGTGAGTCGTTAACATACTGTGAGTCAGAAATAAAAGAAATTAAGGAATCTATGACGAAGAATCACCATGATGTCTTACGAGAATACTTTAAGGAGATCCAGGATACTATCGATGTTTTAGAATCCTTTGCTGAGTTGACAATTCAAGAATTTTCTAATAGGTTACATGCGTTAATCACTATATTAGAAAATGAGCAAGAATTTGACGAAGTAATTACTTGGAAGTTCTGGAAGAGATTCCATAAGATAAAGCAAGATATTTTTAATACCAGAGATTTACTTTTCAATCAAGCTAATGACTACCAGAATGACTTTACCATAGACGTTGTCCCAGTTGGCTTAGAAAATTGGAGTATTTATATGAAAAACGTATATTTTCATGCCAACTTCTTGACTAATGATAATGAAGAATATTTAAAATTAGTTAGAGCTAAAGCTAACGTGGCATTTCAATTAAGAGAAGGTTTAATAGACAAGTTGGAAGAAGCTATAAAATCAGGATCACAAGATTCTGATCAGTCGTCAACTATTGAAGAATCACCTATCCAAGCTACAGAGGATGAGCAAGCAGCTAGTATCCAAGAGGATCCGCATGAAGGCGATGATGAATCTGTAGGATCCCGTCTGGATTATGAATCTGGTCAAGATAGTGATGGCAGTGATCTCGAATCTGACGATCAAGATTGATTAGGTATAATATATATATAACATAGGATTATTACGTGTTTGTAATCTTGTAATGCATTTTTTTTTTTGTGTCTCCGTTTAGTCTGTAATTAACTCAAAGGTAAGTTTGACATCATGATAACATAAATTTTAGACTCGAATATATCTCAATTGATATCACCCGAAAAAGACCGCCTTCTATGTATGAAGTTTTCGAATTCCAATCTCACTCATCTCTTCTTTATGAAAGTTATGTATTCTACATGATCAATTGATTTGTAGTATAATTCATCAATTAAACTTACTCAGTCAACGAAACTGTGCAACTACAATTCAAACCACATTTAAGCGTATATTAGCATATATACATAGTTAAACAGTTAAGGTCACAAATATAAATAGATATTAAGCCAATTTTGGAGCAATTTGACTAGAATAAAATGCTTGGACTCTAGCCCATTGCTGGGCAAAATGTGCATAAACGTGATATTCAACAACTTCAAAAAATTCAAAAAGTTTAATTACTAATGGGTGGATATAGCTATTGTAAGAAGTTCTAACAACTTCTAATTTATCATCAACAGAATATTGCTTAAATAAGCTATGGGAACGAACATGTTGATCGAAATATTTACCGGCAGTTTCAAAGTATGGATTGACGAATTGAACACCCTTATTCAATCCATCACACAAGGTACTGTGATGGTGGGATAATGGATGGAATACTGTCTCAATTCCATGTTCTAATGGCGATTCGTCCAACTTATTGCATTTATAAGTTAATAAGTATACGGCATAAATAACCAAGAAACTCGAGATGTAACATTTAAGACGACCAGCAAATGACATTGTATTAATATTTTATTGATGGATTATAAACTATATGTTTTAAAACTATCTTAGTAAAAGAATTTTAAATAATTTACGTAGCAATCGTCGAAGATTGACGTTTATCCTGATGGTTGGATTTGGAAAAAAATCATTAGTTCTTCATGTGCGTAATTACATGTTATTGAATTACCTTATTAGGAAATATCATTTAACTATTGCAACATCTCAAAAGAATACCAGATTTATATGAAAGGATTAAAATAATATTTAATCGTTACTTTAGAGCCTATAAGATCGGGATGGTAGACATGGATAAGGAGAATTGTTATACTCCTAGAATAATAAATAAAAGAAAATCTTATTCAATATTGAGTCCTGTGAATCAAAAAACATTCGATATTACAACGAACAAGAATGAAAGAATCATTAGTGAGTCAACAGGGCTAGTGAAATTTTCTCTTTCTCCTAATAAAGGAGAAGATGAAAAGAAATATCATAATACCACACCAACCAAGCTAAAGGGTAAAACAGGGTTACCTGTGTACGTGCCAATAAACGAATCAGTCATTGAACAAGATGAATCGTCGCAAGAAGAATTAATGATCCAATTTGCTTCCAAGCAGAGAAAGCTAATTGATTTGGAAAGACAAGTTGAGGCGACGAAATATGAATTGGCTGAAATAGCATCTAAACTTGAGAAAGATATTGAACAACCAAAAAAAGATACAAATTTGAGTAACTTCAACAATTTTAACAACTTGAATAATTTGAAGAAGAAGGCCTCCAACATTTTCCAGATTAACCAAGGAATCCCAAATAATAAGATAGATCGTACGGTAAATAACTCCAAATCCCCAAGTGCACCTCCACCTATTAACCCAGTAAAATCCATAAATAATTTCAGTAATTACTTTACCAAGGTGCAAGGTCAAATAAGTCTGACTCAATTAAATGCACCGGTGCTAAAAAACTTCGTCAAAGATGTAAGGAATAAAATTGAAATTAATGACAATGAGAAGCTCAAAACATTTTTGACTACACAACAAAATGAGTTTGATGAATTTACTACTAAAACTTCTAAGTTTGTTAACGGGTTATTTAATAATATATCTTCCAAAGCGGATGCAGACAAAGAAGATATGGCAAACAGTTCGTTTAATTTCGAGGCAATGGAGGATTTTAATAACAAAAGTATCTTAGATGCTAATGTTTCATTAAGTGAGGAAGAGAATATTACGTTTGAAGATGACATAGTAGATATAGACGATTACAATAGCAGCTTCGAAGAAGAAGCAACAAATAAATAGATCATATAACAATACACTAACGTTTATATTCTATTCAATTACGAAAATCTAAATAAAACTTAAATAGTATTAATTCTCTTCGTCTAACCAACCCTTAGCTCTATCTATTGCTTTCTCCCACCTCTTCCAATTCTTTCTTCTATCGGAATCAGGCAATTTCGCCTTGAAATTGTTCTTCTCATCATCAGTTCCGTTAATCTTTTCATAAATATCATCGAAATCTTTCCAAACTCTTTCTTCTTCATCTTTGAATGATAAGCCGGCTGCAATCGCTGCACCCAATGCTGTACATTCAGATATATTTGCCCTCTTGACAGTTACACAGGGTCCTAAAATGTCCGCTTGAATTTGCAAGACCTCATCAGCCTTTGACATACCACCATCAACAGATAATGCAGATAATGGCTTTTTCTCATTTTGCTTATTTAACGCTTCTTCCAAAAAATCTTCACTTGCGCCCGCATCATTAGCCATGGCCCTCAAGATAGCTCTAACTTGATAACAGACACCTTCTAATGCAGCTCTTGCTATGTGCGATGAAGAAGTATATTGCGTCATACCAAAAATTGTACCTCTAGCACCACCATCCCAGTATGGAGCATATAAACCTGAGAAAGCTGGAATAAATACAACTCCACCAGCATTATCAACTTGAGAGGCCAATGGCCCAACATCGCTCGCATGTTCTATTAACTTCAAGTTATCTCTTAACCATTGAATAATTGAACCTGCAACAGCAATTGAACCTTCTAATGCATAATGAGGATTGGCGTCCTCGTCCTTTAAGTTAGGGAACCAAAAGCCTATCGTTGTTACTGTACCATGTTCAGAAATTAACTTACGATTACCGGTATTATACAACAAGAAACAACCAGTACCATAAGTACACTTAGCCGAACCAGGTTTAAATGCTAATTGGCCCACTAATGAAGCTGACTGGTCACCAAGACACCCACAGATCGGAGTACCGGTAATAGTTTTCAATATTTCGTATGCTTCTGGGGTGATCTTATTGTGGAAACCTAAGTTAGACAAATTTGGAGCCGCAAATGATCCGTAGAATTCCGAACTAGATACAATCTTTGGTAACGCTACTCTTGTTGGATCAATACCCCAAAAATCTAATAAATCATCGTCATAATCTCTCGTCTCTAAGTCCATAAAATAAGTTCTAGATGCATTGGTAACGTCGGATACAAAAGACCTTTCCTTGGTTAAGTGATAAATCAACCAAGTATCAACCGTACCAAACATTAAGTTACCATCACCCTTTTCATATTCATCCTTTATGGTATCGTCATTATCTATTAACCAACGCAATTTGGCCGCGGAAAAATAGGTGGATAATGGCAACCCAGTCTTTTGTTTTAATTCTTCTTTTCTTTCATCGTCAATTGTCTTTTCTAAGTGCAGTACAATTTCTGCAGTTCTTGTATCAGTCCATGTAATACCATTACTCAAAGGCTTACCGGTTTTACGAGACCACACAATCGTAGTTTCTCTCATGTTAGCAATACCAATAGCCTTGACCTTATACTTGATTTTCAACTCCGGATTCTGATTGATTTTTCTCAACGTAATCAAACAAGCTACCAAACATTGAACTGCATTAGCCAAAATATGAACCGGCATACACTCAACCCATCCGGGTTGTGGGAATCTCAACGTAGGACCTACACTTGCAGCATTATTTTCGATCTCAACATCGTCTGTTATAGAGATGGCAATACCTTCAGCAGTGAAAATAGGCGCATTATGCCTCATAAGCGACGATCTTCTTCTAAACTGTTCCTTATTTTCCGATTCAGCTGGAGCTTCCGATGCGGTGGTCGAGTATTCGATTTGATGTTTGGCTACTTCAACACCTCCTTGATTAAACAAAATAGCTCTTGCTGAAGTTGTACCAATATCAATCGTGGCAACGACTGGCTGCGTTGGAGCATTACTTTGACGACGTGGCATGTTGTTTTCTCAATATTAGGTATTTTTTTACGAATATATTATGTTTTCTATGAATTGAACAATCTATAATTGAATTTTTTTCTAGGCGATTCGCAAGAATAGATATGGGGAAACTTTCCGTTCTTGATACCGAGATGAAATTTATTTTTTTCAAATTAAGCGAACTTAAGTTTATATTAGTCCTTCTAGACTTAAGTGTAAAGAATATCCTAGCACTATACTGGAAATTATGATCTTAAATAATTTTTCACTTACTGTCGATACAATGTCGAGTTGTTGCTGTAAGCAGAAATAATTTCGACGTTATTGCTATTGGCTATGAAAGGCAAAAAAATCGCCCTGTGTCCTGGTGGGGGCTATGTGCGGGTAATTTCTGATGCTTGATTATGAAGCAGCACAACAGTGAGGCCTGTGGTTCAATAGTGAGCTACATTAGCATCTTACTCCCAGAAGTTTCAATGTGTTGACAATATTTGGGACGATTTATTTTAAGTTTGTAATGTACATCGAAAGATGTTCCCTGATTAGAAGCCTCCTGTCGATAGTAAATTGATGAGGGTAAGCGAACGGGCAAGTGCACACTTTTGTGGATGCTTGCTCTTGACGTAATTTTGCGAGCAAATTCGATTCGCAGTAATAAAATCAACTGCTTGGTTGATCACAGATAAAAGTAGCCGGAATTGCGTGCAGGGGAAAGGTCTGGATGTAGCGGGTTGTCCATTAATTACGTTATGGATTTATTCATAGGGTTATTTGGTATAATGGACAACATTTTATGATGGAGATAAGAATAGGACAACGCATAATTTCGAGGTTATACATGTCTTATATAAGAAATTTTTATGGTTACGAAATCTGATCATTTTTAGACACGATTGTAAAGTGGATACCAGTATATGAGGCATATGGTACCTTGCATATTCAATAGACTTTATAGGGTGGAAGCTTCGATTGAAAGGGGAACGAATCCAGATGGGGAAATGATAGGAATAGCAGATTAATGTTTCTGGGTACGCAGTAGAGCCTTTTTTCATACTATTTTCACTCACGCATTAGGTAATGACAAGGGTCATTATTTATGGACCGTCAATAATACGAAAACCTGTAACCTGGAACGATGGAAACAAGTAAGAGCTAATATTGAAGCGTGTATTGTGGCAGTTGGAATAGGAAACTGGGAAACATGCTACAGTGCGAGTAGCAGGGAAAATCTTGGTAAACTACTACAAATTATTCATAGTCCTTGAATATAAATAAGACTAAATGTATTAAATAAGGGAGTCGGGTGTCAAAAATGGATTAGTCTCTTTACTTGCAACACATTAAAAACATAATGCAATATTTGAAGATATTATTGCTGCTTTTGATTCTTGTTACGTTTGTTGAGCCTATGGTTCTTAAAAAACGCATGATTCGCACACCCAAACGTGAATATGTTCCAAGAAATGATAATACACGGATCAGATTCGGAAAAAGACAAGCTGACTGTAAGCCTAAGAGCTCATCCAAGACTGTTTCATCGACTTCTTCAGATTGGAGCAATCAATTCACCGAAAATCCGAGTTATGAAACAACTACATGATTTTGATACCATTTGACGGTTCTCAATTTATAAAAATACCTATATTATGTTTATAGTTAAATTTTTGAATAAATACTCTACGGTGGTAGCAACATGTGATTACTCTATACTTTATCACCATTTTTATAATGCTTACCTTTAACAAATTCTAATCCCTCTCCTTCATAACTAGTCAAACCACTCACTTCAACTAATCCGTTATCATCAATGACACCTCCATTTTCTATCACCCACTTCGTTCCTAACTTGAGGTAAGCTTCTCTACAGGTGGTTGGGGTGTCATTTTTAGCTCCATCGGCATTTTTCAATGGAGAGAACTCGTCCGATCTATCAACCTCTAAACAACCGAACTTGGATAATTCAACAGATGGGAAAACATCAAAAATAAATTGTTCCAACTTAATACCATTTGGTTCAGTTGGCTTCACATACTCTCCTTGTTCATTTAAAGAAGTGATTTTTTTCTTAGCAATATGGAATGGTAAGAATTCTTGCGATGAAATCCATTTTGGAATCATTCTCTTCAATAAATCAACCGAGTAATAATGATTCACAATATTAGCCGCTCTCAAGAATAATTTCAGTGAATCATTTGGTTCAGTCTTATTAGCCAAGTCAGAGGATATTTCAGAATATTCAATAACACACGGCTTATTCTTTTCTTCATCAAGAACAATTAAACCAACGCTTTCGTTAGCATCTCTTTTTCTAACCACCTTGGTAGCCAACTCAAATTTTCTATCAATCACGAAACCTAAGAAAGTTGGGTCAGCAACTTTGACAAGTGAGTTATCAACACAATACATATGAATATGCTTAATTCCCTTCTTTTCAAAATCCTCTAAGATACCATTTGTCGCAATAGCTTTGTAGAGGCCACCGTTACCATCTGGGGATTCACAGTATTCATTTTTGGAATTCAACAAAATCTTTGACCCATCTAAATTAAAGCAAGGCAAGGTACCTTGATTAAAAAATAATATTTGGCTCTTACTCAATCCAAACCAATTATTCTGTTCAAAGAACTTTTCTGTTGGTGATCTAGTTGGACCGCTAGTCATAATATACCAATACAACGTAGGGTTAGATCCAGGGCGATGGGACTTCGCTAAAGACTGGATTTTCAAGATCTTTTCTGCCTGAATATGGAATAATGAACGTCCAGATGGTAAGTTAACGTTATAACAACCCTTTGGATCTGATGATCCTAACCTAGTTCCTTGACCGCCTGCCATCAAAAGAACACCAACTTCATTGTTTGCGATAGCGTTTAAGCCTAACTTCGACCATTCTTCTTTAGCTTCCTTTTCGGTATCCAAAGTAGATGCACAACATTCCAGAGGTAATTGCGTGTAGTTTTTAGATGACACGTTGAAGGAAGAGAATTTTATTGCATCTTGAACTGTAGACACCAATTCTGAAGGACTAGTAATTTTTGATAATTGGCTTACGAATGTTGATTGTTCATCTTTAGATAAGGACTCGTAATACTTGAATAGTTGTTCCTGGCCTGCTTTCTTGAATGATTCAATAATTGATTCAGACATGTTGATCTAAAACAAATTCTTTTGCTTTTATACTATAATAATTTAAATAACTGAATTAAGAGAACCTTATTTGATCAGTTAGGATGTTGGATAAGAACTTTTGTAAGTTTTATATACGAACCTGTCTTGAAACTTGAAATTTTATATCTGCAATAACTTACAGCAGTACTAGAAAAATTCGCATTTTCTGTTTTCATGTTTCTATAAATATAAATTAGGAAATATTGTCTTATCTAGAACTATTCCATAGCTATAATAGCATATATTCAGATACTTACATTTTAATATAACATATGAATTTATCGATTTATTAGTTTATATAGGTCACTATTAGCGGGTATAATGTATTTGAATAGGCTAGACAAATAGAGCAAATACGGCACCTACGGCAATAGTCAAAATAAAGGTGCTATTAACCAAAACATTAGCAGAGGATTTGCTTGAAGAAGAAGAAGAATCAGAGCTTGAGTCTGCATTTGATCCGGAATCAGTAGATTTAGAAGAAGAAGACGTAGAGGATGAACCTTTCTTAGAACTTGATGACTTGTTCTTCTTCTTTGGAGCAGAACACTTAGGACTCTTACCACCCTTAACAACCTTCTTAAGCTTCTTCTTGAATGAGGCACAGTCGAATTCGTCAGACTTGGTGTCAAAAGTGAAAGTACCATCGACTTCCTTCAATTTAGGTAAAGTGAAGTTAGCGATATTTCCTTTAATATCAACTGCACCTTCAACGGTCTTTAACTTGGAGAAAGAATCTTCCATGTCTTCTAAATCTGTATTGTTGTACATTCTGAATTCACCACCAATGGAAGTTAATTTTTCCACAGAGAGTTCAGTCAAGTCATTGTTGGCGAAGATTTGCAAAGATCCACCAACTTCTTTCAAGCTCTTGAATTCAATAGATTCAAAAGTGTTGTAAGCGAGGTTAAAGGTACCATTAACTTTAGTCAAATTGCTAGCAGAAAAGTCAGCGACATCTTGAATAGTTAAGTTGGAAGCCCAAATTAATTCGTCTAATTTGACTTCACATTCATCACTGTTGAAACTTAAAACTAAACTGTCCTTAACGGTTTCTAATGTAGACAAATCGATGTAAGAAATGTTCTTGTTGTTGTCCACGTCTAACGAGCCAACATCCTTATAATTAGTTAAACCTTCTAATGAAGACAAGGCAGTGTCTGAGATCTTAAGGGAACCAACTTCTGAAAGACCCTTATTCACGTTTAATATAGCAAAGGATGGTAAAGAAATTAAAGATAATTCTTCGGCCTTGCTCAACGAAGTCAAATCAAGAGAATGTAACTGGGTATAAGCTTGAACAGTCAAAGAACCACTAATCTCACTCAACTGGTTAAGGTTGATATCAGTAACAGAAGAAGAGTTGAACAACTTTAAATCACCTTTGATTTTTTCAACATTGCTAAAGTCAAGACTAGTAATTTCATCACCTGTGATGTCGATTTTACCATCTAAAGTTGGACAAGAATTCAACTCAGAAACAGCACTAGCTGCGGTAATAGTAGTTGAGAATGAACAAGAGTCTTTGGCTTGAACACCAGACAAGCTAAGGCAAGTAGCCAAAGTAAATAATACTGTTTTGAATTGCATTATACACCAGAAAGTTTTAAGCGAAAGTAGTAGCTTGGTGCAGTTAATAAAACAATATTAAATTTAGTTGAAAAGAAAACCAGCAATAAAGATTATCTGTTTAAATTTATTTGACACTTCCGGAATTCTCCAATAATTTATAAAAAAAAATTGGTACACTTCGATAATGTGTATACAAAGGAATAGATGAAACTGTATGTACGAATCACCACAGGTTCTTAATATTCGCAAACCCGTATTATAAACGTGAAAATTTTTACCGATAGGGTATCAAAATAGGACTCAAATACAGAGCTCAAACTATTTGACAAAGTATGCATGTTCTCGAACAATCAATAAGGTACGTGGAGTATACATTCTGGTGGTAATGTTGACTCGAGAATACTTAGTACGGCGTGTTTATTTGTTTTTATCAGTATTGTTGGCGCACCCTCGCGTAACTTTAAACTTTTCACAACCCAGCAAATTTTTCACAAGCGCGTTTCGTTAATACAGACAGAAGCTTCGACTATGAAAGGGGTATGCTGTGAGATAATATTACGTTTCTAGCATTAACGACTACAGAACTCAGATAGAGGAATAAGCATTACACTTGTATACCTATGTTTTTCACAATTTACGTGCAGATGTGAAATAAGAAACCTACTGTAGAGCAATAAATTTGGCTCAATGATGGCGCAGTTTTCGAACAATTTAGTAATAATTCTTCTAATTTGAGATTTTACACTTTCAATAAAGCAACTTATTCATTTATGAGCACTTGTGCCTCGAATATAAAGAGGCAGTGGTGCAGTGTTAATATCCCACACGATGGAAAGAAAATCGCGGCGAAGCTACTAAATAGCATGCAACACAATGTAAGATCCTATAATTTTCGATACATACTGATAGCATAATTTAAATATCGGAGGGTGTTAAGCCTAGTATTAGACCCAATTGTTGTGAGTAAAGAATAAGAATTTTGAGCCATTTTCTTACTTCTTTGTAAGAATCTCTTTAAAGGTAAATTTTACTAACATGGTAATTTTTAGAATGTTAGTAAATAAGTATTATAGTTTAGGGAGGGAAAGTGAAAGAAATTAAAGTGTTAGATAGCTATTTCTGTTCGGATTTTGCTTTAGAGTGATGGGTGCATAAAATCTGCAACATCGCGCGAGGCTGTTTTAACAACACTATTTTGTATCTGTCAAATTTGGCCCCATTAAACGACCGATAAGTTTCGGAGTATGATTCATTTTGGATGTATGTATCTCACTGAATATTGATTTATATCGCATTATTATATTAGAGCAAAGAGAAATTTAGAGATGACTCAATAATTTCATGTCCAACAGATAGACTACCATGCTCAATTGTTTCTATTTCCAGTAGTATCTTTAAATGTTTATTTAGACCTCTCAATAAAATAAGATAACCGAGTAGTCTAAAGTCCATAACTCGCTAAATTTTCGAATCTAACACTGATAAGTTAACTCTTATAATAGATACTCCATTTTTTGCGCGTATACAGATTTTTCAAATTTATGTCGAAAATATTAAGAATGTTAAATATACGTATTCCTATCTCTAAACTACATATGAAAAATCTAGCTTTTACATTTAATTACTTTCTATAGACCCAATGAATTATCATCATTCTATTGATTTATTTGCCGCTGGGACTACAAGAAATTCTAAAACCTGCATATAAGCGACTAACAGATTTCTTACCACATTTGTATTAAACGTAAATAAACAACTAATCTTCGAATGTAGAAAATGAAAACAAAGATTGTTTGTATGACTATCATTGCAAGTATAGATATTCGATTAACATCTCACCTTTATCATGTCCACATTCTGTTACAACACTGAAGGGTCACAAGAAATAGTGAACGATATGACTACTTCGTCAGGCAATGATATTTTTAAACATGAAAATGGTACGTATATTAGGGCAGCGTATAGTCCATTTTATTGATATTCAATGACATTTGTGATGCCTGAGATCGACAATGAAGAATTGCCTTATTAACATTATCTTAGAATCAGTGGATTTATTATTAAAAGAAATGAACCAATATCCTAATACCTTAGACGCGTCAGAAGCAGCAAGCGATAGTAAGGGATCCATTTCATTGAATAATTCGCCAGTTAAACCCTTAAGTTTCCCCAAGCAAACTAATTCAGAATTAAATGCAAAAACGCCCAATTTAGATTTAAATAATAAAGAATTTAATTCTAGTTCTGATACTTGCATAAGTGAATCGGATTCTCCAAGACCTACAATTGAAAGTAATACCAATAACAATTCTTTTGAACGCAATTTTAGCTTTGATGATTCAGATCAAATTAATAAGACGATCCAAACTAAAATTAAATTAGAGGATGAGGAATTTTCGTTTATAACTCAAACGCCTATGACTTCGACCATAGATTTGAATAATCCTAATAAAGAGGACGACACAACTTCAAACTACAATAATCCGTCACCAAATAAATCAATAATGAAGAAAACCGATTCTTCATCTCCTTTAAGAAAAAATGTTGTATTTACAAACTCAACTCCTGAAATACATCATTATCCATCTAATAAACCAAACATAACTAGTACTTCAAATGAAGAGAACATTGACCAGTTACCACACGAATGGAATGAGCTCCCTAAAGAATTATCCCAATCTTCAGATGATGACAACCAGATTCCTCCTGTACCTCCAATCCATAAAACTGACACATTTTCTTCCCTCTTGCAAGATGACAATAATGATGAGGAGATGGATAGGGATACATTAAATGAATTAAAATTACAGCATCACAATTTTAGTAATTTATCGTTGAACGAAAAGCTTGATGTTTTCTTATCAAATAAGCATGTAAAAACAGAGGAATTAGATGATCATTTGACCAATTTGGATAATGCAGTTAAAAACAAGACCGGGACAAACATTCACGTTTTATCTTTAGATTTGAAGAAACAAGAACCACTTGGTGTAGAAAATCCATTAAACTCGTTGATGAAATCGTCAGAAGTTAGATTAAGGTCAGCAGGTTCTTCTCAATCGTCTTTGCAATCGTTAGTAGAAAGCAATCGATACTTAGAATCAAATGGACACCAATATATTTCTAACAAAGGGATTGAACTTAATGATGGTATAAAAGGATTTTCTAATCATATGGTTGAAGCATTAATACCCACAGGTGATAATGACATGGAGGAAGAGGAAGAAGATGCTGGGTTAATGATGAAAACCCCATCAAACAATCGTTTGAATGAATTGAAACTATCGGAAAATAACGACTCAGAGAATGAAGAGTTCCATGATTCGTTTGATACTAATACAGAACAATCAATTATGAATTTATTAAAAAGTGCATCAAATTCTGATTTGAATAAACCATCTCAGCTTCAATCAGGAAACATATTGATAAAGCAAGAAGAAGAAGAAGAAGAAGAAGAAGAAGAAGAAGAAGAAGAAGATCAAGAAGGAAAACAGGATGTATTTACCAAAGGCGAACCCACAGATTTGAGTCAAAATGGGCATATGTTGTTATCCGATGATGAACATCAGCAGTATTTGATTAAGCCAGAATTTAATGATGATATTAAAAAGGAGTCCAATATTAATTATCATGAGTATGAAGCAACTTCAAAAATTGAATCAGTCTCTGGTTATGGTAGAACACACAAGGATATAAGGTTAATTAAATCTGAATTAAATAATACTCAAGAAGATAAAGAAAGTGAGTTAAATAATATGAATACACTGATGAAAGCAAATGATCAGACGTCTGTCAACGATACATCTGAAGTCACTGACAGCGCGAACAAATTCTCTATAAGGGATCATATAGATAGCGATTGGAAATTTGAAGATAGTAATGATGGTGATAGGGAAGATAACGATGATTATACAAACAATGAATTGACAACGGTGAATGATGTGAAACTCGAAAACAATAAGGGAACACGCCCGTATTCAAACAAATTCAAAGGTGAACGTTTGTTGGATGTGAATTTATCGCCCAATCTTTCAGTTAATTCTCAAGAATTTAAGGATGCATCTGATAATTTTATAGGTAAAACATTGGCTCCACGTAATGTCGATGAAGCCATTGACGCCACCCATCCACCAATTCCGTTGAAGGATTCAACTGAAGATGCGAAAGTAACAGATAGGGTGCAAGAGGATTATGATGAGAATGTTTTAGCTAATTCTTCAAACATTGCACCTCCAGGTGAGATTACGTTGCCACAAGTCGAAGCAAACAATTATTCTTCATTTGATGATATAACAAAAAATCTTGAAAAGTCTAATAATTCGTACGAAGAATCGTTATCTGCAGAAAATGACGCAGATAATAAGCCCCTTGACTTTATTTCAATCTGGCATTCACAAGAAAGGCAGAAAAAGCCATACAACACATATGCTAACAACAATATTTCACCCTTGAGTTATGATGTAAACAAGACGCCTGAAAATGATTCAAGTAGTAGAGTCAGGTTTCCTTCCTCTTTGCAATCCAAAAAGTTCAAAGAGGTCAATGTTATGTCGAGAAGAGTTGTCAGCCCAGGATTTGAAGATCTCCATGTTTCAGGATTCTTACCTGAATTATCGGAGGATTCTGGATTTGGAAGCCAACTCAGATTTTTTAAATCTGGATATAATACATCCGGTATGAGTAACTATTCACATCTTGGTGATGTTAACGGTCATAACAATACCCCACTAAATACAAGAAATGTTTTGTCAAATCTTGATAACAACCCTAATGTGGTTGAACCACCGAAAGCAGGAAATAATTTTAACAAGAATACGCTGAGGAATGAATTTAAGATTCAGAGATCCTTAAAGCCAGAGCTGACTGCAAATCAAACTTTGCAGCCAGAGAATATACAAAAATCCCAAACAAATCAGTCGAAATTCAGAGTACCGTCTTTTGAAATAAAGAGAACCAACTCAACGTTATCTCCAAGAAATCAGTATGATGAGATCTTCGAGGATGTCGTAAAACAACCTCCTACCATTAAAAGTCATGGTATGAAGACATTACCTAGCATGGATCGTGATGACGTGAAGCGCATATTGGCAACCAAAAGGGTTATAAGTCAAGACGAATATTCAAAAGTTAAGTTAGTTGGTAATAGCAAAAAAAATTCCATTGTTAATGAGCCGAACGACAAGTATGACGATCTACAACAGCATGCGTCCATATGTAACGTGTCTACTGAATCAAGTCCTGTGCTCGATAAAGAGGTATTACCTCATTTGGCTAATGAGTTATTAAGAGTTCCTTCGGCGTTATTATCGAAGGACCAACTTTTCAACGAATTTGATTTCGTTCCAAAGCTTTCAGACAACATGTTTAACAATAACTCGCAGTCTCCATCCAGAACCACTTCTGTTATTCATAATAAGGAGGCTGCTCCTGCTGTTCCTTTAGAAAACTATGTGGTCTCAGAACCTATCCCAAGTAGCCTGGGTAGTGGTGAAAGTCATAAAGAGATTCATTTGACACCAGCGGATAACAATGTTTCGCCCAAGAAAATTTATCAGGCAACTGCTTCTTCAGAAAATATGTCACCCAAGAAACGGGCCTCGCCAATTAAAATTAATTCCCCCATCAAATTGGTAAAGAAAGATTCGGGTATTGCCGCCAAACCCCTCTCATCACCTTCTAAAACAGATGAAAAGGAAAATGAAAATGGCTTTTCTTTTGCCGGGGAGGAATTGATAAATAAAAAGTTGAGAGATTCACCAGCAAAGAGTGAATTAAAGACCCCAGTACATGATTATAAACCTAGTACTGTATCCGTTCCATCATTTTATTCTAATGATACTGCGAATACCAAACCATTAAGTACGGCAAATAGAGATTGTCATACAGCCTGGCAACAACAAAAGCAACAACAACAACAGACCAATTCTCAATTAGATAAGGACCAATCAGCTGGATTACAAGAAAGGGGAAAATTATTTTTGAGGGTTATTGGCTTGAAGAATATCGATTTACCTGATATCAACGGACATCATGCAGATTTCTCTATTACATTGGATAATGGTGTTCACTGTATTAAAACTTCGCATTATAAAATGGATTCACATAATACCTTAATAAACAAGGAGTTTGAGTTGACAGTTGGCGACTCTTTAGAATTCATTCTAACCATGAAAGCCAGCTATGAAAGGTCTAGAGGAAAACTTATTGAGATAAAAGAAAGAAGAGTTGTAAAGTCGAAAAATAGATTAAGCCGACTCTTTGGATCCAAGGATATTATTACTACAACAAAGTTTGTTCCGCAAGATACGAAGGATACCTGGTCCAATAAGATTGCTCAGGATGGATCATTTGCAAGATGCTACGTTGATTTAGATCAATATGAGGGTAAAATTACAGGTGAAGCATGTAATTTTAACATAACTTGTTTTAATGAATGGGAAACAATTTCTGGCAAAGGCAATGAAGTTAGGACTAGATGCCAACCATATAGAATTGGACAACTTGAAGTTAAGATGATGTTTGTGCCAAGAACCGACAATCAAGAGGTTTTACCTACTAGCATCAAATCTGCTTATGAATGTATCGAAGATTTGCATCAGGAATCAACGTTAGCTCATGAGGGTTACTTGCATCAAGAAGGCGGAGACTGTGAAATATTGAAAAAGAGATTTTTCAAATTGCAAGGCACGTCCTTGGTTGCTCATAGCGAATTCTCTCATAAGACTAGAGCAAAAATTAACCTTTCAAAGATCGTTGATGTTATTTACGTCGATGAGAAAGATATCAATAAATCATCTGCCAATTATAGAAACTTCAGTGATGTTATTTTAGTACCACACTCGTTTAAAATTAGATTTGCTAATGGCGAGGTGATTGACTTTGGAGCACCAAATAGGGCAGAGAAACTTGAATGGGTTACAATTTTAGAAAAGATTGTTTATCGTAATAAATTCCGTCGTCAACCATGGGTTAAATTAATGATAGAGGGAGCACGTACAAAGAAGGAACTTCCTAACGAACGTTCTCGGACGAAAAAGATTTTTTAATTGTATGTTTTATTTAGAATTGCATTCGGATATTTGTTTTATATATTTTAATTCTATACTAATTGTAATTTCAATGTATAGCACGTGACATATATAGTTTTTCTAAACATCAAAGCAAAGAGTAGTTAAGTTGTAATTATAAAATATACTGGAAGTATATTACAACATAATCAAATGGCTGGGAAACATTCCGACGACGAGGACGCATACCTTTATGGATCAGATGATGATAACGATCAACCAGTTTCCAAGAAACAGAAGATAACGGAACAGAGCGATGAATCTCAAGAAAAACTATCGAAGACAACTACTGCTAAGAAAAGTGAAGTAGAAGAGAAGGATAGGCTTGAAAATAGTAGTAACGAAGAAGGAGACAATGATTCGGAGGAGGATTTCGATTCTGATGATGATATAGAGTTTGTTATAGGCGAAAGTGCACCAAAAAGTGGTCAGACAATAACAACATCGGGTCCTCAAAATGATACAATTGATGCAGTTACTGATATGGATGCAGGTGGTGATAAGAATGCCACAACTACAATTGTTTCCAATCAAGCAGATAAAGGATCTAGCATTGATATAAACTCTGTGGCTCAATTGGATGGTAAGCCTCTCACTCAAGTTGATTTAGAGAAACTTAAAGATAAACCATGGAGGTTTCCAGGGGCGGATATATCTGATTATTTTAATTATGGATTTGATGAATTTACATGGACAGCTTACTGTTGCAAACAGGACAAATTAAGAGGCGAGTTTAACCCACAAAAGTTAATGGCACAATTAATGAGTGGTGGTGCTGGGCCACCACCTATGCCATCTGGTAAAAGTGGCTCAAATAATACTCCTACGAACAAACCTACAGGTATGCTGCCGCCAATGGGTATGCCGCCAATGGGCATGATGCCACCGGGTATGCCAATGATGCCAGGGATGCCAGGAATGCCAGGGATGCCTAACATGTCTAACATGCCTAATATGCCAAATATGCCAAATATGCCTAATATGCCCAACATGCCAAATATGAATAACATGCCCAACATGCCCAATATGCCTAATATGCCAAATTTCATGAATAATAGTAGACCTGGTCAAGTGCCGAATTTTGGTATTCCACCACCACCTCCTCCTCAAAATAGACGTTAGGTTAGCAATATATAAATGATTGCGATGAATAAATAAACAAAAAACTTAAGTGTATTAAACTATATATACGATATTATGTATTAAATATGCCATAAAACGAACATCATAAACGAAGGACATGAAATTATTCATCGTCACTTTCTTCATCAGCTTCTTGAAGCCATTTAAGGAATGGTTTTGCTGCTTTACGAACTTTCTTTGAAATATCTTTTGGAACATATTTCTTGGAAACCTTGGAACCCCACGAAGTAATAACTTCTTCACTAATCAAGTCTTTATCATAAACAGTGACTAAGATTTTTGGAAGAGCTGAAATTAAAGCTTCGTTTTCTAATCCCAAGTATCTTTCCAAACCACCCAAAAATGCCTTTTCGAAGTCAGAATCATGGTCAATTAATTTAGCTAATAAACCTAAGTGTTCTTCAATCTGTTCGATTATATCATCATCGAATAAAGTTTGAGCTAAAACTTGAACAGTTTCAGGATTTTCAAGGATGTCTAATTCGACAATCTTCTTATAAATATCAATATCACTTGGTAAGTCGTCTTTCGAATCTTTAGATTCATCCAATAACCATTCACCGAACTGGTTAAATTTTTCTTGGTCTTCGTTTAAAGTCAAACCCTCCAACTCTCTAGCTCTTGCTTCAATCGCTTCCTTCGACATATCGACAGCCCAGTCATCGTCAGCGACTTCAATGGTTTCATTGGCTAATGCCGCTGCTTCAGCATTGATTTTTTTAGTCAAGATATCATCATCATCATTTTGTTCACCGTCTTGCTTTTGTTTGGCAGCTTGTCCTGAAGCAATATCAGAAATAGACTTACCACCACCAACAACATTGGCGGTAGCAGTTGCAGACTTTTTACCACCTTTACCACCTTTGCCACTGCCTGCTGGTGGATTCTTCAAAATATATGTGTATAACTTATGTCTTGGATCAATTATAGAAATATGACCACATGCCTTACAATCTCTTTGAAGCCTATCCTTTTCCTTAATTTGAATTTCAGTTTCTGGATTCTTACAACTGGCACATAAAACAAACTTATTAATGAATCCATCTAACGAATCTTGCAATTCGCTTGCATCATGACTACCATTAATTAAGCAACGTTCAGTGTTAGTTTGGGCACCTAATTCGTGACCAAAGTATTTAATAACATAATCTGGCGATCTACCCAAAGCTCTAGCAACTTCAGCCACGTTAACGATGACAGTCTTAATACCATTACCTCTACCTTCAACCTTTGATTGAATCAAAGGCATCTTATAACGGTAGAACGGATCGGTGTTGTCACGACAAATATTTACAAACGACATATTGATTTATTTGGTATCGTATTAATATAGGAATGAATTATTAAGTGAAATAAGTTACCGTTGTACTGTAGCTTTAGTGTTGGTGATTTGATTATTGATGAAATTTTTTTGATTAAACATTTTGTGCATTTAAGATCACGTGACAAAATTGATATAATACTTCCCAGAGCGTTTGATAAATGAATAGGTATTGGAAGATAATGTATTGTAGTTATCTTCGTAATGGCAATGGTCAGCATTATAGGTTGATTTTTAAAATGTAGTCAAAATTATTCTATTATTTATTTAAATTCTAGACTAGGAAATGCGTTAGCTTTTGATAGCACTATACACCTGTTAGCGTGAGAAAGGTAACCCTTTATCTTACCACTACTTATTAAATTTGCCAAAATGCATTCAACTGAATCCAAGTTATATGCGACCTTATCAGATTCTTTATACGAATGATTTGTTGAGAATTCTAGAGCTAATTGGATAGCACTTAATGGCACAATATGAGATTTAGTTTCTGAATTTAGCGAATGAATAATCGAGACGGTCTTTTTGATAAGTTTTAGATAACATAAAGATTTCATCATTTCAAACAATAGATAAAGATGCTTCTTTAATAAAATTAATTGGTACTTGATTAAAGCTTGGTCGAACTTTTTCAAGTTACCATTCTTTATAGCATCAAACAAATTGTCTTTGTACATGAACTTTAACTTTGGAAATTTCTCCCAGATTTCGTTAGATGGAGATAATCGCTTATTATAAAGTTTCAATGGCAACAAAATAATCAATATTTTCTCTGTTTGATTTTTCACATTTTTGGGGTCTGTATAGCAAGACAAAATCTCCATTGCCTTTACTAATTTCCCTTCGCTTGTAATAAAATCCGCGTCATCAAGCGAAAGTAATGCACTATAATACAAATACGTAACTGCATACCTTTTTGAGGAACCAGCACCGTTTAATTTCGGTAAGTTGAATCTAGTACCTTTTAAGGCCTTCTCCACCGACTTCGCCAACTCTAGCTTACCTAACTTGAAGTAAATCTTAATGAGGTTTCCCAAGAAGAAGTAAATATCTAACCTTTTTGACTGAGACAAATCTAGATTTTTATCGTTCAACGACAATTTAAACAGCCCATTTATGGTCGCAGCTAAGCGCTCTAACGAAGATGATGAGTTACCATACTCATTGTTTTCCAAATTAGAAAGCTCTATTTCTTCTTCCTCAGGAAAGTTTTTCAGTCTGACCTGGTAAACACTTATTAACTCCGTACATGCATTGATTAGCGGCTTATTGATCCAATTAGTCTGGGTGTCTGCTGCTCTGTTCAAATTATTTACCATTTCGTTCAAATCAAAAAAAGACGCATTGATGCTATTTGCAATGTAAACTGATTTCATCAACTTTAAATAGCTCCTAACAACATTACGGAACTTTTCTGGGACCGGATGGAGATCGAAATCATTGGGTTCTGGAAAATGGGCTCTGATAGTACCTTCGTTAATCCCCGGATTGATGGTTATACAAGACCTGAATTTTTGAGAGTCCTCGAAATTCACCAGCAAGCACACCTTCTGAATGTAGTCTGACAACGGTGTATTCATAATTGTCCTATTTGATGCACCATATACCACGGTTCTGCCGAGAGCTCTATATCACTATTCCTAGTTCTTCTATTCCCATATCAATATACTGCATATAGTCGGAAATGCCACAAAACCCCGAAAAATGTCATTCTTACACCTTTAAAGTCGACCTTTGGAGCAATGATGGCGGAATACGGATATACACACGATACGAATGTTAGTAGTCTCTAAACAACTGCAATTCTTGACTTAATAAAATTCCTGTGCCAATATCGTATGTCGGGCCTTTGGACTTGTAAATAGGAGTAGCTCGTCCTTCAAAATAATCGTGTTGCTTACATAATCCAATGAAAAACTCGCTAAATCACTAACAAGTGTAGTAAATGATTAACAAAATAGTTAGGTCCAGTACGTCAGAACCCAGTTTAGTGATAGTTTATGAAATCTTAAGGAAAAACCAATAAATAATAGAGTGACATTTATTCATACCAAAGAAAATCGATAAACGACAAGCAAACTTGAGGATGAATAGTAATTTTAATAACGGTACTAATCCTTCATCTCCACCTCCTTCGATAAGTCTTACACCATCGAATTCCGATAAAAACACGGGACAGCCAAGGAGCAGATCAGGGACGTTGCCGTCGTCATTTTTGAGTGCAGGTGGTGCGATGGGTAATGCGGGATCGTTGTTGGAAGAGAACGATGCAATGGCCAATTCAACTGGTTCGTTGGCAAAAAGCTACAACTCGGAATCGTTGTGTTTGCCTACTATGGATTCGATTTCACTTGCAGTGTCATCATCGCCAAATACCCAGGCCGTGGACATTCCGAATGGGGGAAACAGCAACTCAAGAAGGATGAGATCAGGGTCATTATTTTCGACCAATTCAATCTGGAATGACGATACGTTATCGCTTCATTCACCATCACATAATGGCACGAATATGTTAGATACATTTGATCTCAACAGTACTGCTCCAAATGCTAATAGCAAGAGTAATGCTAATGATAATAATGGCAGTACGAACAGTAACAATAGTTTCATAAGTCCAGTACTTAACGCGCAAAAATCTACAGTATCGCATCATAACGATACAAATCTGTCGAGTACGCCTACATCTGCTAATAATAACGTGAATATGGATACTGCTAATAACCAGAGATACAGGTCATATACGACTACTGCAGCTGTACCAAATGTGAGCTCATCTTCAATATCTTTATCGAATAATTCTTATTCAATGGATCCGATGAATTCAAATATGATGAGTGGTTCTCCATTTACTCCTAACAAGACAAATGACATAAATGTATTGTTGGACAATTTAATGATTAATATGAATAATAATCCTAATTCGAATAATACGAGACATAGATCTCAAACCTATTCTGGTACTACTCCAGTATTGCATGAATCTAGTATTCAACTGCAACTACCACCTCAACAACAGCATCAAGAGCAGCTATTAGCGCAAAACTTATTCCAGCAAAATCCTCAAAATCCTCAACATCCAAACCACATTTTGGGACAAAAGCCTTTATTGCAGGATGATTTTGTGTTGTCTCAATTAATGATTACGACTTCATTCGAGAATCTGAAATTGGGTCCAACCAAGAATATTTTGTTTGATAATTTGCCGCAATTTATTGATTCAGTAAAATTGTGGTCCTTATTAAATAATTCCTTGGGCAATAATAGATCATTGGGAAATATAAAGAGTGTGAGAATTTCTTCAACAAGTACTTCTAAATTGGCATTGATCGAATGTACTTCTATCGATTTGGCAATGACATTGAAAGCTAGTTTTAACCACTTAGAATTAGTTCCAGGAGTTGTCTTATACGTGGCATTTGCAAAATTCGTTGAAAATTCAAATGGCAGCGCAACTAGTAATGAGGTTACATATACCAGTGGAAATCCTAGTTCTACTACATCATTACAGTCATCTTCACTGAAAAATGGCGGGGTACGCTCAGTTCATGAAACCTCAAAACCTTCACCTACTGATTTGTTATCTATCCAAGAGAATTTAATCGCAGCGATTAATAGATTATCAAGTTCTAGTAAAGTTGTTGATTTAAATAAAATCGTTTCGATAATTAACAAGTCAATTTCTTATCCAAATGAAAATTATCAAGACAATTTTGGTCCTTTGCCTGACCCAATTCCCTTACGTCAATTTGACTCACCTAAGCTAAGAGAATTGCGTAAAATTTTAGAGAATAGTGAACAGCTACCATCTCAGGCATCTGGCACTAACAACGCATCAGATTCTGAAGACACCGAAATATCTAATAAAGTAATGAGTCAGTTAGAATTAGAAGAATTATGTCTAGCAATGTTGGATGAATTACCGGAATTATGCTACGATTATCTTGGTAATACTATAGTTCAAAAGATTTTCACGGTTGTTGAATCTCCTCTTATCAAATTAATGATGGTAAAGGAAATTACGCCTTTTTTGACGCAATTAAGTATTCATAAGAATGGTACTTGGGCAATTCAAAAGATTATTAACTTATGCAACGAAGATTATCAACAAAAGTATCTTATTGGCGCAAGCTTAAAACCGTACGCGGTTAAATTATTCAACGATCAATTCGGTAACTACGTTTTGCAGGGTTGTCTTAAGTTCTCTTCTCCATTCAATGATTTTATGTTTGAAACCATGTTAGATAATTTCCTTGAAATTAGTTTCGGCAGATTTGGTGCAAGATGTATCAGAACTATTTTAGAAGCAGCAAACGAAAGTAACGTAATTTCAAATGAACAAGTTGTATTAGTCGCTGGATTGATTGTTGAGTTCGCTAATGAATTGGTTGTTAATAATAATGGTTCTTTGTTAATAACCTGGTTCTTAGACACATTTAATGGATGTGGGGCTAGTAAAGACAATAGATTTGAGTTATTGACTGAAAAGTTTTTGCCCAATTTAGAAAAATTGTGTACTCACAAATTAGCCAATTTAACAATTTTAAAAATTTTAAATAATAGATCTGATCTTAACCTGAAGCAGATTATTATGGATTCTATATTCGGTAAGTTTGAAGAATCCGAGGATGATTTTAATAGAGCTCCTTCAACACTATTGGAATCCATCCTTAGCGAAAATCAGGAAAATTCAGCAGGTCCATTATTTGTTTATAAGATTTTATCCAATCCTTTGATGTTAACTGTCAACGATGAGAATGATTCAGACAAAAATTCTAAATACCAGCAATTCATTGTACAACAAATTAGAAGAATTCTTCTAGAAGTAAACATTACTAATTTCCAGGCTTACAAGAAGTTGATGGATGAAGTTGGATTATCTACGACAAGGTTGAACAGATCTACTTCTATAGGAAGCAGAAGAAGTAAAAGAGGAGGTCGTGCTAACCCTAACTCAAATAAAGTTCCACTGGCTCAATCTCAAGTATCTCAACAACACATAATTAATCCAATGGGGTATTTAGTTGGACAAGGTGTTCCAGTACAAAATGCATCCGCTGGTCATCATTATGGGCTACCACCTCAAATTCCTCAACATCAACAGCAGCCCCATCAGCAATCACAACAACAAGGGTATCCTATGATGATGCCTCCTCAAATGATGATGCCCATGACTAACCAACCTCAGACCAATCTAGGTCAACAGCAGCATGCGATGCAACCACAACAATTAAGCCAACAACAGCAGCATGATATGGCTGTCATGCAGCAATTGGAACAACTATCTTTAAGTTCAGCAGCTTTAGGATATAATTCCAACCCAGGTACACCTGGAGTAAGTACCGGACAAAGAAATCTGTTTTTCTAAGTCATGAATTATATATCTATAGAATTTCCCTTACTACAAGCCAACATCCAATTCATCATCAAACAAATACTAAAATCATATCAATTTAAAAATCATTACCACTCAAAAAAATTATTTAATGCTTCATTTCGTTCATTTTTCAATATTGGGTTATTTATTTATATGCATACAATTATTATCTTGTATAAATAATATTTAATATACTAATTTTAGGTATTCAATCTTCTTATTTGCACTGTAACTAGTGCCCTTTAATACTACCGCTAAATAGAAATACTTCTTGCGATTGATAATATAAGATCCTGTATATTGCCGCATTAATCTTAATGGCGATAAAATCAATTCACAATCACATATACATTGATCATATCATATCATTAGATCGACATTAGTAAGAATATAACTACAACATTAGTTTATCTTTAAGCTAGTATCTAGTTGGAATAGAATCAAGGCGATATTAATTGTGGTCGTTGTTGTTCAAGATCTTAAGAGTTCTGTATATCTTGGTGTGATTTGCTTTTAAGTTTACCGCCAGTATTTCAGATAGTTTTTGATTCAGTTATAGCAGTTGTAAAAAGATAAAACGTTTGAGTATATTTGATATCGCTCGTTTGTTTCATCGAATTCCAATTGCTATCAGTCTGTTCCATTAAGTGAATACTTAGTCTTATAATAGTATCTAAACCCCCATGAGAATGCGTTCTCCGAACAACATTATAGAGGATAATAATACGTCACGTACTGCAAGCAACAATAACAGGGCCTTGCCATCATTTTCACAAATGTTAGCTCGGAGTAAGAATAATTCCAACAACTATTTAAATGACAATAGCGGTAGTAATAGCAGTAGCGTTAACCAAGAGTTCGAATTTCAAATGGATAACGATTCTAGCAACGATTATAGGGAATTACGAAATTCAATTATTCAAAGACGTCAATCTTCCACGTCGAACCATAGAAATGAAATCCAAAAGTTGAATTACAAGAATTCACTTTTGTTGAATCTCCCGACGGAGATATTATTGCAGATTTTTCACCATCTTGACAGGAAGGAATTATATTCCTTATTAACAGTATGTCATGAATTTGCCGATTTGATAATTGAAATCCTTTGGTTTAGACCAAATATGCAAAATGATGACTCGTTCAAGAAGATTAAAGCAATAATGGAAATTCCGAAAGGAGGAACCCATTGGGATTATCGATCTTTTATTAAAAGATTAAACTTATCATTTATGACTAAACTAGTGGATGATGATTTATTGCATTTGTTTGTTGGATGTCCTAAATTGGAAAGGCTTACTCTAGTTAACTGTACAAAATTGACTTCTAGTCCGATAACTGCAGTTTTAAAGAACTGTGAAAAATTACAATCGATAGATTTAACTGGAGTAACAGGCATTCATGATGATATAATACTGGCATTGGCTAATAATTGTCCTCGCTTACAGGGTTTATATGCCCCGGGATGTGGCAAGGTCACCGAAGATGCTATTCTAAAATTATTAAAGTCATGCCCTATGCTTAAAAGAGTAAAGTTTAATGGTAGTACAAATATTACTGACAGAAGTATAGAAGCAATGCATGAAAACTGTAAGTCATTAGTTGAGATTGATTTGCATAACTGTTCTAATGTTACTGATAAGTATTTGAAGTTGATTTTTCTCAATTTATCACAATTACGAGAATTTCGGATAAGTAATGCAGCAGGTGTTACAGACAAACTATTTGAATTGCTTCCTAGTGAATATTATCTAGAAAAACTAAGAATAGTTGATATAACAGGCTGTAATGCTATTACTGATAGATTGATAGAGAAGCTTGTGATGTGTGCTCCACGATTAAGAAATGTTGTCTTGTCAAAGTGTATGCAAATAACAGACGCGTCTTTAAGAGCATTATCTCAGTTAGGGAGAAGTTTGCATTATATTCATTTAGGTCATTGCGGTTTAATTACGGATTTTGGAGTTGCATCGTTGGTAAGGTCTTGTCATAGAATTCAATATATTGATCTAGCTTGTTGTTCTCAATTAACCGATTGGACTTTAGTCGAATTGGCAAATTTACCAAAATTGAGACGGATAGGATTAGTCAAATGTAGCTTAATATCAGATAGCGGAATACTAGAATTAGTGAGACGCCGTGGTGAACAGGATTGCTTAGAAAGAGTTCATTTATCTTACTGTACAAATTTAACTATAGGTCCTATTTATCTATTATTGAAGAACTGTCCGAAGTTGACACATTTATCCTTGACAGGTATCTCGGCATTTTTAAGAAGAGAAATCACGCAATATTGCCGAGATCCTCCTCCAGACTTCAATGAACAGCAGAAGAATTCATTCTGTGTGTTTTCAGGTAATGGCGTCAGTCAACTAAGGAATCATTTAAATCAAATAATGGAAGACAGATCTTATTTAATTGATCATGGTGATATGCATGCATTATTTCATGAAAGAAGACGAAGATTTATGAATGGAGGAGATGATATGGATGACGAGGAAATGAATCTATGGGTGAGACAGCGAGGCTTAGGTGTACTACAAGGTGGTGATTTGGGAAACCCTGAAGTGGCCGAAATTAATAGAGAAATCTTCAGAGAATTAAATGAAGGTAATATGGGGCCCGAAGAAATGAGAGAGCATTTTCAAAGATTGATTAGAAATCATCATCAACAGCGTTTGCTCCAGCGACAGATGCTTGAACAGGATCTTCAATTACAACCAGACCAACAGAATCAAGATCCACAAAATGCACCCCAAATAATACAACCAGCAGTATTTCCTAATGGCGATCAACTTATACAATTCGTTAATGGAGAAGGAGAAGACGATGATGATGTGGAAATGCAGCCTGTTGATTTGTTTCCTAGGGATAGAAATCCCCCAGCATAAAAATTCGATATAGTATTTTACTTTACCTATTCAGGTACCCATTACTACTTTAATTCTCATATAGGTTTATCTACATAGTTCAATTGACTTATTAAATTGCAAATTGACAAATATATAGTTTCCATTCCAAAACATGATTCTTTTTATAGAGATGACTTAAATTATTTAAATCTTAATTTGTTCTTCGAGGAACCAATAATTCAGGAATTCCTAGTTGGCCACAAATGCCTATTAAATTCAGTTGATGACTTTGCAATATATTTCTAATCCTTGTCAGAACTGCCATGTTTTCATAGCCCCGTAATTTATAATGTAGATAGGCAACAGTTTCGTCAATTTTTGTATTACTCGAACGAGAAAGATTATGAATATATAATAATTTCTGGCTTAGTTTAGGCTTATTTTTAGAAGCTGTTTTTGTCGTTTCTAGTTTTTTTAATCCTTTCTGTTCTTGCTCAACTATATCGCCTGTGTAGAGGCCCGTCTTGTTGTATATATGAGTATTGAATTCCCTGTCAGACACCCGATCGGGTGTTGGGTAGGTGAGCATAATAGTTTTTTTTTGAGGTGGAAGTATGTTTTCATCAATTGCTGGAATTAAGGGCAGCTGTTTCGAAACATTCGTATCGATTCTAGAGTTCCTGTTCGTATCTAAACAACCTAACGCACTGTTGTTTTCTTGGGATAATGGCATGCACGGAAAGTTGTTGCAGAACCTCTTCAGTCCTCCTAGGTACCTGGGGTTCGCTTCTAACTTGAATATTACTCTGGGATCAATCACGTTCTCCTTATCGTAAGCGCCTATCAACAGTAAATTGTTCTCGTTTTTATTGTTTATCAAAGTTTGCTCAGTTGAATGATTTGTTCCATTAGTATCACTTATGATATCTCTGAGAGGCTCTCCTAATAAGTAATGTCCACCATCTACTAACGGAAATGATAACGATGGTTCTGACCTCTTTGCAACATCTTTCAATCTCAAAGGAAGCATACTTCCTGTGACGACATCATAACTTTCACAGAAGTTGTTTCGATCATGAGATAGTGCAGTGTTGTGTGTAATGTCACCCTTAAATATTCCTGTATTATTGTACAAATCTCTAGGAGTTTCTGTAACATAGGAATCAAAGCCACTATTGTCATGAGTTTTGCCGCTATTACTTATTCGCAGCTCTTCATCCCCTAAACCAACATAATTGAATATCTTATTATGAACAGACTTTTCGATACCCCCATTTGGGTGATCCATGTACCGCTGTCTTTTATTGAATTCATGCGACAGCTCTAACTTCCGTTTGTAGTACGACTTATGTCCCGATCCTCTCGTAGGACCATCATAAAAACCTCCAAAAAATACCCCGTCCTTATCTTCATGATCCAGGTTAAGTTTGTAATCTGTTTTCCTAATAAAACTAACCCCAAACTCCTGCTGCTTACCCTCCACCATCCGACTCATTTTTGGTTGCGAATTTTTTCCATCCGATTCGTCGGTCCTACAACTACCTGAACCTTCCAAAAAATCGTGGTTTTTAGTCCCGAACTCCATTCTCTCGCCGCCCTCTGATTCTGTATTACCTACATGCTATTAGTAATTGAAACCTCCCGTTTCTACTAAATAATCATTTAGCCGCCTAGTCACAAAGTAATCATACACATTGACTCTTCATCAGGATCTGATTTAATAAACTTCATAAATGAATAATTATTAATATCTTCATCATTCATTATATCTAACATATCATTCTATGATTATCAAAACTTCAAATTTATTAAAATAACTGGATTATATCTATCACCAGAAGAACAACATACAATCAAAAAGCTGGTTCACAAAAGTATTAGGGTTTCAATCCTATAAAATGAAGCGAGTCACGCGGTCGAAAAATATTCAATCATGATTTCTGTCATTTTCTTTCGGGTCAAGTGTGCGATGAAAATTTTCTGATAAATTTTTATTGATCGTGGTACACGCCCACTATAATGAGGATGGTTCAGTCTCGTTCTATCATTATAGACATGAAATATTAGTAGCTATTTTTTTCTATTACTAGTATAGTCAATTACCATAGACAATTATAGTTAAAAATGTATGTTTCATAAGAGCAATAGGAGGAGATCATTACAGTGAACATCTTGATGGATTTATGTATTCTATTTATTTGTGGTTTAGTGGATTGATATATCTAGTGAAAAATTTCCGAAGTAGATAGATGGAGAATATGAAAAATAATTTTTGTACCAGAGAATGATAAAACAGAATAGATATCTAGTGGGAGTGAACAGATACATCATAGAAATAAGAAAGCGATGGACTAAGAATTATCAAACTAATGGTATGCATTTGTGAAGACTGAAAAGTTTTCAGGGAGTACCGAATTATCAAGATATTTATTGTGGTGACACTTCGCTGTGGATTCAGAAGTAGTTGGAGCGAAATACTAACATGGTTATAGGACTAAGAGAACAAAGAAGGTTGGTATTACCGGTAAATTCGGTGTCAGATACGGTTCTTCGTTAAGAAGACAAACCAAGAAGTTGGAAGTCCAACAACACGCTAAATACGATTGTTCATTCTGTGGTAAGAGAACTGTCCAAAGAGGTGCTGCTGGTATCTGGACTTGTAAATCTTGTCGTAAGACTGTTGCTGGTGGTGCTTACACTGTTTCTACTGCCGCAGCTGCTACCGTTAGATCTACCATTCGTCGTTTAAGAGACATGGCTGAAGCTTAAGTTTACTTCGTCTTCATTAATCAAACATAACAATTGTTTAATTTAGAAAAATAAATAACATTTTGTAATTTTAAGTTCCGGTTTATAGTCAGGTGTGTTTTATATGACAAATGTTTATAACTTACACTCTCTAGCGATGATATTGTTAATAAACAAAAAATAAAAGGTTTACGATAAATATTCTTATACGTAGTTGTTTGATTGTAGGCTAGATCTTGCTAGAGTTATTGTAGTAAGGCACGTGAGGTGCTATAGAAAGTTAACTCCTGCAAATTTATATCACACCCTTTAACTACTACTACTACTACTACTACTACTACTACTATTATTACTACTTAGAATATGACTAGTGTATTTGAATTCCCCAAGATCCATTCATTTCCTCCTCTATACACTAAACAACCTAACTTAACAATATTAAACAATCAGCTTGAATCATGGGGAGAAATAATACTTTCATATTGTCAGCATTATAAGATAACTTCATTATCCTTACAGGGATCAGTATTACATACACAACTGAACGACGTGGCTACTAATGAAATACCGCCATTGTTTGAGAATAAAAATATTAATAGAGCAGTGAATGATGACTTCAAAGCGATGATTTTCAAGCATTTGATCCATAAGCTTCATAGAGCGGAATACATCAATCCAAAGCAACCAGAAACTGGAATATTGATATACTGGAAAACTTTGATTGAATGGGCAACCATTTTACATGATTTCGTTGAGAGAACTGGCCAATTGGGGTCAGTTCTTACTATTTACGAGTTAACGAAACTGGAAGATTCTGACGTTGATGAAGATTTGAAGGATTTAGACTATAACTTACTCGTGAGAATATTAAAGGGAGTGTTAATCAAACAAGGAAGAGCCCAAATATTAATGAATGAAGATGGCACTCAAATTGGAGGTGTGAAAATAGTTTAATCCTATGTTACATCCCTATACTGCATTATAAACATTTAGCATTACCAAATATACAGCGAACAGGAATTAAAAGTAAGTCCATAGTTTATTTTAAGTGTATCTATATACTAGTAATTGTTTTGCCATCTTGATAAGTTTATCTTCGAATTTATGTTTCCAAGGCCAACTTATTTCTTTCTATAAATGAAAGAGGCATATATCAACTCATTGATAAGCTAAATCAAGGTACCTCGGATATCTATCATCTATATAAATGAAATCTAAAGTGTCAACGAGGTGTATAATTTAGCGAACATGTCTAAAACTTCAGTTATTTCCGCATTTGTCAGTCTAGCGACCGCGGCGTAACGTGTTTTTTTTTTGAATTTTTTTTATCTCAGCTCATCTCCATTATAAAAAGGAATATCGTTCCCGAAGATTCAAGTTAGATCCTTTACCTCTTTCCTCCCGCTTAAATAATTCATTTAAGAGGGCGTATCTATAGCTTCTTAATAAACATTGAATAATTCGCATATTTCTTTATTAGTGTAACCTTCATAAAAACTACTACAATAAACTTAAATAATTGAGAATGAAATACGTCGTTGTCTCTGGTGGTGTCATTTCTGGTATTGGTAAAGGTGTTTTAGCATCTTCTACCGGGTTATTATTTAAAACCTTAGGTTACAGGGTGACCTCTATCAAAATTGATCCGTATATGAACATTGATGCTGGTACTATGTCTCCATTAGAACATGGAGAGTGTTTTGTTTTGAATGACGGTGGAGAAGTCGATTTAGATTTAGGTAATTATGAAAGATACTTAAATACTACCTTAACTAAAGACCATAACATTACTACTGGTAAAATCTATTCTCATGTCATCGAAAGAGAAAGAAAAGGGGACTACTTGGGTAAAACCGTACAAGTTGTTCCTCATGTCACCGGTTCAATTCAGGACTGGATTGAAAGAGTTGCAGTTGTTCCAGTTGATGATTCAGGATTAGAACCTGAAATTTGTATTATTGAATTAGGTGGTACTGTTGGAGATATTGAAAGTGCTCCATTCGTTGAAGCATTGAGACAGTTTCAGTTCAGAGTTGGTGTCGAAAACTTTGCTTTAATCCACGTTTCATTAGTTCCTGTTATTCATGGAGAACAAAAGACAAAGCCAACTCAAGCTGCCATTAAAGATTTAAGATCTTTGGGTTTGACTCCTGATATGATTGCTTGTAGATGTCAAGAACAATTAGAAGTTGCTACTATTGAAAAGATTGGAATGTTTTGTCATGTTGGTCCTGAACAAGTTATTGCTGTTCATGATGTAAACTCAACTTACCACGTTCCATTATTGTTAAAGGAACTGAGAATGATGAAATTCTTAGAAAAGAAGTTGAATTTAGATGCAAATAAATTATCCAAGGAAGCTTTATCTAAGGGTGAGCAATTATTAACTAGATGGAGAACATTAACATCTCAACATGATAACTCTTTTGAGACAACTACTATTGCATTAGTTGGTAAATATACTAATTTGAAAGATTCTTACTTGTCAGTTATTAAAGCTTTAGAACATTCATCTATGAGCTGCAAGAGAAAGTTAAAAATTGAGTGGGTTGAGTCTACTGACTTAGAAGAAGCCTCGAAAGAAAATAATTTAGCCGATTATCACAAGGCATGGCACTCAATCTGCCAAGCCGATGGTATATTGGTTCCAGGTGGTTTTGGTAATCGTGGTATTGAAGGTATGGTTGCTGCCGCTAAATATGCAAGAGAAAACAATGTTCCATACTTGGGTGTTTGTTTGGGTTTGCAAATTGCGGTCATTGAATTCGTTAGAAATGTTTTAGGTTACTCTAATTCCACTTCAATGGAATTTGATGCTACTGTCGAAGAAAAGACTGCATCCGTTGTTTATATGCCTGATGTTGATCAGGTTAAATTAGGTGGTACTATGAGATTAGGTATCCACAGCACTAAGTTCACTGACGGCTCGGAATGGTCAAAATTAAGGAAATTGTATGGTGGTGCTGATTCCGTCTTGGAAAGACACAGACACAGATACGAAGTCAATCCTAAATTAATAGACGAAATAGAAACCAAGGGCTTAAATTTCATTGGTAAGGATGAAACTGAGAAGAGAATGGAATTATTTGAATTAAAGGATCACAAATTCTTCTGTGGTACGCAATATCATCCAGAATATTTATCCAAGGTGTTGGATCCTTCCAGACCTTTCTTAGGATTAGTGGCTGCAGCCTCTGGTATTTTAGATGAAGTCTTAACCAGAAAAGACTTGAACTATAAAGGTGAATTCTAAATTTTTTTTTGTCATACGTAGAACTGTTCTCTTATCAATAATTGTCTCCATTAATTTATATTAACCCAATTGCATTTTCTTTACATATATAGTATATATTATAATAGAAACTTACTTCATAGCTTATCGTAGGCAACCTATCCACAAAATTCAATAATATCATACACAGTATAAGAAAGAGCTGCAAATCGTAATCAAGCAACGACTGTATATGAGCTCTTAAATGGTCTGTTGATAAAAGCAAACATACAAAAAGTATTTGAGAGATATTGGCCACTGATATTAGCTGTAAACAGTCATGCGTGCGGGAGTTCTGCTGTAAAACTGCAGCCAAAGTCGCGCAGCACAAAACCGAGATTTTCAAGATATAAATATGACTACAATCCGCTGAAACGTCTATGGAAGAATTTATTATTATTATTTAAGATTATTAAAATGGCTGCTATTACTCAAAGAATTATCGTTAACAACTCTGAAGAAACAAAGGGTTGCACCTGTGGACCCGACTGTAAGTGTGAACACTGCACTTGTGGATCTGAAAAGAAGTAAATCAAGGCATTATTATAACCTTTTGAAACAATTGCTTAGTAGGCAATTACTATTAGTGATTGGTTTAATGGATTAGTCAGGTATTTATTTAATGACTTAGGATGTTGGAGTATTTAAAATATTTAGGGTGTTTTTATTAATAATTTTTATTAATATATGTTGTTCTACGCTAAATCTATGTAACAGGTCAAATTAAGACTCAAATATTGTCATAATTATGTCGAGCTGTAATCAATTGAATGAATCATGTGTGACTGCATCATATAGTGTTTGTGTGTAGATTCAGGTTCATTTATATGTACAGATAGCTATACATGCTTATTTAAAAAATTCTCGAATTCTTCTTCGCCATCTAGCGTATTGAATTTAATGATTTTTTGTTTACTTAAAGCTTCCAATTTTGAATTATCTTCTAAATAAATCTTGACTTGTTTATTATCGGCTAATTTGTTCAACAAAGTCTGATTAAAATCCAATTTAGAAATCAAATAGATACCCAACCAACTTGTGGAATAGCTGTCACATATTTCAATTGATCTCAAAAAGTTATTCTTCGCATTGTTCAAGACAGATATAGCTTCCAATAATTTATCTTTCTTATCCTGGGTCTTGCTGGTAAATTCTTGTAAAAATTGATAGTAGTAGAACAATCCTACTTTGTAAAATATATTATAAGCATATGGCTCTTGTAATAGAATTTCTTGCAAACAATGTATACCTTTTTCATAATGACCAATCTTTTTATATTCATCTGCCAATTCTGCCCATGTGATAACATCTGAAGGTTGTAAATCTAGATAATAATTTAAGCTGGCGATGTAGTCTTCATTATTATCTGGCTTTCTGCTGAAGGTAACCAACCTTCGGGATAATTTTAATTCGTCTGCATTTTGCCCTAACACTTTCATCGCTGCTTCGTCATCCCCCATAGCTTCAAAATAAATAGATTGTAACAACTTAACTCGCTGTGATTTTTCAAATCCAAATTGATCAACTAGTCTGTCCAAGCTAGTTTTTGCTTCAACATCATGGTTCGTCATTAATGATATATAGAATTGCATTTCATATAAATTGAATAGTTCAATTGTATCGATAGATTCTGCATTTACGGATAAAAACTTAGATATTTCATTGTACGTATTTTGTAAGATATCAGGCTGGAAATTCACATAAATTCCTGACGCAGCTATTGACAATAGCTTATTTTTGACAAGCTCTATTGGCGTTTCCGACATTGATGATTGTTACGTAAATTGATAGCTAACCGACTAGTGCAAGTAATGGATCACTTATATCTTTTTTTAATTGATTTTGGCTATTAAATTCAAATCAAGTGCGATATTAAAAAAAGTACATTTTACATATTTTACTATCATACTTTGCTAGAATGTCCGAAGAATTATCAAGAGAATGTGATTCACTCTTGACTAGTACTTCGATTCTTGATCATCACTATGGTATTCCAGATATAACTAAAAATCACTTGAAGCTCACCAATAGCAATGAGTCCACAGAACTTGAGAAAAAGTATCATGAATTATACGGTGAACTCAGTCAAAAACTAAACAAGTTAACATATTTGAATAAACTTGATGAATTAAACGGGCAATCTGTTGATAAAATTGAAGAGCAATATCATGAAATTCTTAATAATAAACTTGATAAGATACCTATACTAGAATATTCAAAAGGTAATGAAATATCAAAATTGAAAGCTATACGGAAGTATTATGAATTACAAATTGATAATTTTAAAACAAGATTGTTGTTAAACAATTATTTGCAAATAACATTACCTATTTTAAGATCAATTCATCAATTAGATACAGGTATTACTACGACTGAGTTGAATATATCCCAGAACTTGTCCACTTTGTATTCTATTAATGAACGTAATACAAATGCAAACGTAAACAAATTAATAAAATCCTATCAGGAATTAAATAAGAATAATGAGGAGTTAAATAATTTGGCACATTCAATTTCAAATACAATTAATAATGAGTTACAATCTAAGTTAAAGGACTTGAATGCTGTCAATGTTACTTTGAAAGAAAAACATAATACGTTACTAGAATTGAAGGGAGAGCAGATTAACGAATTCCTAAGCGAAAGTGATGACCAAATTTACAAGAAATTTAATGCCTTAGTTAATGAGTGGTCATATATTTCGATAATATGTGAACTTTTAGCCGGCTTTGTTATTAGCCTTCCAATTGATTGGTATCAGGATAAGTCTTTACGGAAAATACTTTTTGAAACTGAAAATTTATCGCTGAAGACATCAAAGTATCAACTGATTATTAATATGAATAGTCTCAATAACTTTAAACTTGAAGAATTATATATGATTGACCTCGATGAATTAGATCTTAATAGTGATATTAGCAACGATAATTGATTTGATAATTATTAAACTATATTAACTATATACATGCAATAGAGTGAATTTTATTTTCATACTTGGAATAGCCTTTTATTTACAACATCCCAGTTAATACACTCCCAGAAGTTTGTGAGATAATCAGCTTTACCAGTAACTCCGTAATCATCAATGAATGCGGTGTCCCAACAATTAATACCTAATAAAGGTAAACTAAAATCCCTTTCTTGTTTACCTGCCAAATGCTTTAAATTATTTAAGTATTCGAAACTCCCTTCATCAATACCACCATTTAAATCTAATGATTGATTTTTTCCATAGAAATATGGAGTACCGTCATTACCACACTTCAAGATTTTGACAGACTTATCTGGTAATTCGACAAGAAAAACCCAACCCTGTCCGAATGATGAATCAGCAACTAATAAGAAATGATCACGAAAAGATTCTATGTTAGCAAAATCTTGATCTGCCAATCTCTCTAATAAAAATCTCGATGGCTTTGTTTTTTGGGCTTCTGTCTTGTTGGTTAATTGCTCGAAGCAAAAATGATTATTATGAGCTTGAGAAGCAAAATGAAATGTATGTTGTTCTGTCGTTTGCTTAGCTGTTTGTAATAAAATTTGATAAGGCGTTCTCAATTCATTTTCAGTACCATTTGTTTGCAATGTTAAATTCAACGTTAAATATTTTTGGTAATCAGACCAAGCAGATTTGAAACCTTTAGGTGAATACAACCCTTCGATACCATTCTGTAAGAATGTATCTTGATTTTTCAACGCTGGCACTTCGTGTAACTTTCTTTTAGCGACAGAAATTGAACTATTAGCTAATTTATAAGATCTCCTAAACATGCTTTCAGGTTCTTATTATATATCTTATAACATTAACGGTAACTTCTTCAATTGAAAATTTCGAGGTGAATAAATTTTTGGAAATGGTAATTGAACGACTTGACTATGAACATAAATTAAAATCATATAAGACTATATATAGTACAATGAATAACTATATAGTACAGGATTCAACTGTACAACTTAAAACTGGAATGTTTTGCGATACCCATATTGTATCTCTTAATAACTTTTTTGGATCATTGTTGCTCTTACTAGAAATCTTTTTTAACACCTCATCATAAGAGCATTCTTGTATTTTATACTCTCTCAAGATCAAATTAGTTTCAAAATCAATATAAATCCTCGTATCCCTGATCCTGAAAATAACATTATCAATCCTTAAGGAAAATCTACATAATAATAGCAAGCACTTTGGCATAACTCTAATTTTTGTCGACAACATTGAGATACCATTATCACCCAATTCATCTTCGAACAATATCAGCTCATCGAAGAACAATATTGGATCTGGCCTCAATAATTTTTCTACTGGAATCTTTTCGTCTGTCTCTGAAAACACTATATTTTTCAAGGTACCTTTATAATTAGTTGAATATGTCCAATCATATGGCTTTAGCGAATCCAAATCAGTTAACTTCTTTAAGTCTTTATTGGAAATTTCCTTCTGTGCCTTTTCCGATTTATCTATAATTTCTGATGATGAAGATGTCGATGGCGATCTCCGCGATTCCAACCATTCCTTATGATAACTAACCTTTAAGCTAGATTCTTCATCTAAAGAATCCAACGCATCCAACGCATTAAATTCTATTGAAGATCCGTCCTTATCGTTTACAAGTTTTACTAAATTATTCCCAAATATCATTTCCGGTAACGGAAACTCGAATCTCGAATCAGCCAAATCATCTAATTCTGGCGAATTCAATATAGGTCTTTTTATAGTAAATATGCTCCAATCGTTTATACTTATTGATGGATGATCTTGTATGGGTAACGATGATTTTGGGGAAGGGATAATTACTTGGCCACAATGAGCACATTGAGGATTATTGCATGAGGTTGTGTGTGATTTAGCTGGAATTGATATATTAGAATTTGATTTTGGAAATGTTGAACTCATAGCTGGTTTCCTCTGTGGTCTAGGCATAGCGTTGTTTCTACTTTCATCTTTAGCTTGTAAATGCACTGGTAATCTTGCTCTCGTATGTAATTGAGTCATTTCTCTTGCTGAGTTGACATGTACAGCATTTATTCCCGAGTTAGTTGATACATTCAGTATTTTTGAATTATTCTCATGAATCTCAGAAGAATCATCTCTTCTGTAGTCTTCTGACATTATGTAAACCGTTTTGTTAATTTTGTATACTACAGAATTAAGATATTGAAATTTCTACACCTTTCAGCTGCGCAAATAAAACACAAAAACGATACATCTAAGTAAGTGAATAAGAGATGAAAAATGTAAGCACATCTACATAAAAGAGTTGCCACTTTTAAGCACTTTCCAGGGATTCTTCTATTTCTTTTAAATTTTCTTGATCCGTTCTTAAACCTTCCCTAACAGCTAACACACTGTCTGCAATAACTGCGTCAACACCAGCTTTCATCTGAATTTTAGCATATTCAGGTGAATTGTTTTCAACACCGTAAGTAACACAAACTAATCCGGAAGACTTAACAATTTGAGCCAATCTTGGAGTTTTAACTAAAGTTTTCGCAGCACTAACAATTCCTAATAAGTTCCATTTTTTAGCAAACCTAATTGCATTTTGTAAAGATGAGGCCCTAATATCCGCCATTGATTGGGTGCCAGCCTCTGTCAAATATAAAATTGGCATAGTAGGCTGTTTCAATGATAATAGCAAACAAATATCTGGATGAAATGAAGAAAATAATATATCTCTATTGTTTGTATTCTCGTCAAAAACAACTTTCAAGATAGTATCAACGTAAAAATTCATATCAAAGGCGATTTCACCCATACTTTCACTTTCAGCCTCATCCAACATAGGATACTTTAGTTCAATATTGAAGCCTACATTTTTAGGTAACTTCTTAAATAATTCCTTTAATGTAACAAAATTAGAAGCAATCGATAATCCACGAGCGTTTCCTTTAAATCCTTTATCTTTCCACGTCTTAGTTAATTTCATTCTTCTACTTATTTGATCTTTGAACTCTTTATCTATTTCGTCATCGACCTCGTCTGAATAATCACGGGTATGTATTTTATTGAAGTTTGGAGCTGATGGGTATGTTGACATTGACCTCGGACGGTTAACCTTTCCTAAAATTTCATCATCCAACGAGTACTGGGCTTGTTTGGAATCAACCTTCACAGTTTTCTTATTCTTCTCATTCTTAATGTGATGATCATCAGCCTCACTCAAACTCAAAAATTGTTCAGCCGTTAAGGCATGCATCGGAATATCAACTCCTGACTCAGCTACTGTAAAATCATGATAAATCACAGCTGTAAAATCTTTTGTCAATTGTACATCGAATTCAACATATGATGCACCCAACGAAGCTGCTGCAATAAAAGATTCCACTGTATTTTCACCCAATTGTAACGAATTTCGGTTACTGACATTTTTTCCTAAACCACGATGGCCAATAACTCTTGTCGAAACTAACTGTTTCCAATAAGTATCACTTCTAGTAATGTTCATTGAAGGGTGAGAAAAAGGTTTGACGCATAAATATTCAAATCTAATCTTACCTAGTAAATCTAAAGTAGTAGATTCGAAGATTGGTACAGTAATTTTATTGTTCAAAGACCTTAGGTTTGGTCCGACATTGGTATACACTTCATTCAAAAGAGCCATAGCTCTACCTAAAACTTTTTGATTCTTTTTGTTCGGATTAATACCATTTAAATCTCTATTGTTTGGATACTGATAAGTTGGAACAATATCAAACGTGACTATGACATCTTCTGGATTTAAGTTGTCTGTCAATTTAAAAGTCAACGGATCAGTCGCGCTTCCATGATGATCTTCCAAAGGTAAATCAATAATCAATGGTGGCTCGATTAATTCGTTTCGAGGATCTTTTCTATTACGACAAGTAATGCATAATGATAATGCTGTATCTAATTCCGTGAAAAAGCTCTTGGCCATAGAAATATTATTTAACTCAATAGGTGCATTATTATCTCTTAAATCAGTTGTGCCTAAAGTAATCAAAAGTAATGATTCACCAGAATTTAAATAACGGTGGCCAAAAGACTTAATTGGTTTAAATTTCTTTTTATTCGTCGGTGACCTAGACCTTGGACTTACTGTACCATTAGTAGAGCTATTTGAATCTAAATGCTTCAATTGTTTATAGACTTCATTTACTGTGACCTTATTTGGTTCTGGTAACTTATCAATGCTACTTGCAGATAACGTCAATTCATCCTTTGAGTTATTTGAATATATAGTAGAAGGACTCTTCAACGAACTATTGGAAAATCTTTCCAAATTATTAGAAGGATTATAGATATCATGTAGTAATAACTGATCATTTTCTGGTTTCAATAAATCTGCAACATTTAGATGGCCCCTTAGACTTGCATGTTCCATTGGGAACCACCCTGAGTAATCAACCATATCAATTTTACATCCATAGTCTATCAAAAGACTAACGATGTTTTTAAAACCCTCAGATGCTGCAATAAAAACCGGTGTCCACCCAAAGAGGACTTCGTTTATTTCAGTATCAGCATCTTCTTGTAATAAAAATTCAACGATATCAGTATAATTCAATTTTGCAGCAATATACAACGCAGTTTCATTATTGTGTTGTAAATCAGTATAATCAACATTGATTTTACTCTTTCTGATTAAATTCTGTGAAATCTCAAGACAGTTCAATCTCACAGCTAGTAATAATAAATTGGGGCAGGTTAATTCTTGGGTCGCACTGTAAATAATTAAATTATCCGTGGTTTTAGGATGTTTACCGATAATTGATAAATGAATGGGGGTTAACCCTTCTTGGTCTCCCCAATAATGTAAATCATCAATAGGGATTTTTTTATCAATCAACTCCCACTTATTTAAATAGTTCAACAATATTTGAGTAATATCCTTTAAGCCATATTGAGCGGAATAATGCAAAGGAGTTCTTGAATAGTTGTCCTTCGCAATAATCAACTTTTTGAATTCAAAATCCTTAGAATCAATTTTATTCATAATATACCGAATACCATCGGTTCTAATAGGATTAAGCTGAACTCCATCAGGACCACCTTTGTTACCATAGAGTCGTTTTAATTTCGACGACTCACCAGGAAGAATCAGGTTCTCCTTCTTCTCATTTGTAACTTGAGATTTACCCAAACTAACAATGAACTGATGAAAGAAATTGCGGCCGCTGATATCATACTGATCAAATAATGAATTAATAACAGGTAAATTTTGACTCTTGTTAAATTCAATCAAATAGTTTATCAAATAATCAATACAACTGAGTGAATTACTCAAACACGCTTTACTCAACAACGAAATTAAAAATCTCAGATTCAACTTATTTGGAGTAATTTTACTCAATTCAATACCGATATTTTCACCATCATCATTTTCAATTACTTTATCAAATTGTTTTAAGAATTCTTGGTCTAGGGAATAGCGCCTATTTCCGATTTTCAAAAAATCAAGCTGATCAGTCAAATTATTGTTACTGATTTGAATTTCTCCTAACTCGTTTAGGATATTATTAATCGTGTCTAATCCGCCTAATAATTCACCTTTATTCGCAAATGGCAAAGCATTAACTCTAGTGGATAAATAGCTCTCTTTATTATAGTTTGGCAACTGAATTGGGCTTTCTCCAAACGCCAAGCGATTATTGTACGATTTCTGCAAATACAATAATTTCTTGTCTAATTTTTTCAAAATTTTAACAAAACCCTTGTGATTCAATTCACCAAACCATTTCAAATTACGATAAATAGTCCTTAATTCGAGTAATATAGAAATAATCTCGTCCAATTCGTCATTAGACTCAATTTGGCGAGTTATTCTGTTATCATTGAAACCTAAAACAGACACGATCTTCGATAAACGACGTTCATACTCCTTATATTTATTATTATAAAACTCATCAACCTTTTCAATATTACGATCTAACTCGAAGAAGAATTCAGAAATTGTGTTTGAAACTAGGTCTGCAACTTTATCATCTTCATAGTCGGAAGATCCATCGATACTTTTGATTATTTTCTTCAAATGCTTATAGTTCATATAATATATAGACCATTCCGGTATTTGATGACTTAATAATGTTTTACCAAACTTCATTATTCATAAGAACGTGCTTCGGAATTAACGTAAGGTAATTTATCTGTAGTCAAGTTAGGGATTAATCACAAACAAATAGTCGCTTCTTTCTATGCTATCAATATGTTCGAGTCAAATCAAAGCTATTATATACAAACAATCAGATTTATATCATACACGTGTAGATTGAAGGTTGTAACCATATAGACCTTATAACATTCTCCTTCCCCATGTACCGATTTGTGTCAGTTTACACGTGTATGCGATGAGACAGAACCTGTAACATACAGGAATCTACTAAGCGTTTCTATAACTTCCGCCAATAGAATGCAGTGTGCCATGATACCTACGTATCTCAAGTGTGTATGTTAGATTGTAGTTGAATAGTCTGTGAAAGGATAATAAAGTAACCTGGCATGCGCCAAACTTTCTTCCAAAATCATGCATTTCTATTCAAGTAGCATGCTCTATACATAGATTTTGTCTAGATACTATTTAAATTATTCATGGCCTTATAATAAAACGAATGGGTGTATGATCTCCTTACGAATCTTACTGCTTCTTCTTGGAAAGTGTTATTTCTAAAGTTGAAGTCCAATTATAGAGGCGCATCCAGCCACGAGGTAACCTCACTATAACATCGCATTCATGGTATTCTGATCAATAATAAATCTAAAGAAAATTAAAATACACCAATGTATTCTGATTCTTTCGAGACCTTATTGGCAGTGGATAATTTATTACGCCACTTGAGTCTTATCCTTTCCGCAAATTGAGGTGAATTTAATTCTTTTGTCCTCACTAATACAGACTTACATTTGAACGTAGGAAGCACCAGCATTGTCCCCGGAAGGGGGTTCAAATCTGTACACTATTATTAGTCTCTAGTTGTATTATTTCAAATTTAGATATTGATCATTAATGGTATTGTTTCAATTTAAGCATAAATAAGCCAAGTAATTCGTGATTAATTTCGCAGCAAATGATACGGCGATGGGAATAAGAGCCATATCTATACATAGTTTGGAGAATTGGTAGCCTAATGTGGAGTCGACAGAACATTATTATTGCATGACACGACGAGTACATCATTATTGATTGATGAATCTTGAACGCATCTGAAAGAAAGTTGGGGTTAAAGATCAAACAAAAACAGTATCCTACCGCGAATTAGGATGGTCTCGGCATGACCTTCTCGTATAAGCGAATTCTTCGGTTCATGGAAATAAAAGGCGATGGTCTTTATATTTGTCGGTATTAATTGTACTTAGGAATATAAACGAAAAAGACACAGAAATCCCATATATAAACTGACTAGTCTCGTCAAATAATCCTAGAATTTAAGAATTCGGCCAAGTAGTAAAGTTAGCAATGTCAGGTATGTATTAAATTAGTGAGAAATACAATAGACAGAAACTGTAATACTAACAAACTAGTCGAATACAAATATCATCCAAAGAAACAAGCCACTATCGTGACGGCGCCATTTTCAGGTGGACAGCCAAAAGGTGGTGTGGAATTAGGACCAGAATATATCTTAAAAGCGGGATTTCAAGAGCAACTTCAGTCGTTAGGTTGGAATGTTGAACTAGAGAACCCATTAGAAAGCACGAACTACGAGAAGAGTAAAAGCGATGATAAGGACGAGTATGGGATCAAGAACACCAAGATTGTAAGCGAATGTTGTGAAAAAATTCACAATTCAGTCAAGGGAGTTGCAAATAACGGCAGATTGCCTATAACTGTGGGTGGAGATCATTCTATTGGTACAGCTACTGTGAGTGCCATGTTGGCACACAATCCAGATACATGCATATTATGGGTGGATGCACATGCTGATATAAATACGCCTAAGACAACAGATCTGGGTAACTTGCATGGCTGTCCTTTGTCGTTTGTCATGGGATTGGACAGTGATTCCTATCCGGAAGAATTCAGCTGGGTGCCCCAGTTGTTGAAGGCTAATAAGATTGCGTATATAGGCTTGAGAGACGTGGATGATGGAGAAAAACGTATCTTGAAAGAAAATAATATAGCAGCATTCTCTATGTATCATATCGACAAATACGGTATTGGCCAAGTAGTTGATATGGCGTTGAACAAAATCAACCCGGATAGAGACTGTCCTATTCATTTATCATACGATGTTGATGCAATTGATCCATCATTTGTACCTGCTACTGGTACTAGAGTAGAAGGTGGTTTGACATTAAGAGAAGGTTTGTTTGTTGCCGAAGCAGTTGCGGAAACTGGATTATTGTCTTCCTTGGATATTGTTGAAACAAATCCTTTATTGGGTGAAAACGATAATCATGTATTAGATACTGTCAGTGCTGCTTGTGCAATTGGAAGGTGTGCTCTAGGCCAAACTTTATTATAAGGCATGATATATTTATAATACTATTCAATACGTAATTAATCAATTTATTGTCTATTCTAATTACAAACATATATAGCTTTGTTTAGTGACTGAATTTTAATTAAAACGGTCTTAACGATTCAATGCAGTATCATCGTATACTCAGATAAGCTGGTCAGCATAGTGAGTTTACCCTCTTCGTATTAATAGGACTCAAAGCATCCTGAGCTGTAAATATTATTGAAACTTATAGCTTATTTTTCAAAATCGCTCTCGGTAATTTTTGATTTATCACACATTTCTCTAAAGATCCCGTTGCGTTTAAATAGCTCCAAAGGTTTGTCAAATTCCTTGACACTTCCTTTATCAAGAACTAGAATTCTATCATATTGAATTATGGTTTTTAACCTGTGTGCAATGCATAAAATGGTACAATCTTTAAAGTCGTTTGCTATTGTTGATTGGATTTTGGCATCTGTTTCATAATCGACAGATGATGTAGCTTCATCCAAAATTAGGATTTTACTATTTCTTACTAACGCCCTGGCAAATGAAATTAGCTGCTTTTCACCGAGCGAATAATTAATTCCATCCTCTTCTACTGTATAATTCAAATGAAACTTGCTAGATGAATCAAATTTGTAGCTCAGTAACATAAGTTCCATTTCAGGCCCATTTATTAGTCCTACCTTCATCAACGCACCCAACAAGATCTTATCATCGGCTTCATTGAATGGATCTAGATTTCTCCTAATGGAACCTGTAAAGAGTACTGGGTCTTGTGGAATAATTGACAATTTCGATCTCAATTCACGAAGTCCAAGTAACGAAATATCTGTGCCATCGATACAAATACTTCCTTCTTGTATTTCATTTAACCTATATAAGCATGTCATAATTGATGACTTTCCTGCTCCAGTTCTACCACATATTCCTACCTTTTCATTTGGTCGTATCTTAAAATTTAAATTATTCAATACAAATGGTAAGCCGTCCCTATAACGCATAGAAACATTCTCGAATTGGATTTCACCTTTAGATGGCCATTCCAGGTTCGGCGTAGTCTCTGTTATTTGATATGGTGCTTCTTGGACCATATTAACAGCATATTCATTTATTCTTTCCATAGAATTCATTTCATTTTCAACTCTTGTAATGGATCTCATTAACTGAACTAGTTGTGTAGTAATTTGCAATATATATGATAGCAATAATCCTACTGAGGAAGCATTAATATTAAACACAGATTGTAAACATAAAATTGTTATTATAAGGGCAAAAATAGAAGAAATCAATGTTAAGTGTATGCCTAGCCACCTCTGGTTAGTAATACTGATAAAATATGCCTCATTCATTTTGTCAATCAGTTTGTTTAACCTCTGATTGAAAGCGTCTTCAGCTTCATATATCTTTAAAGTATCCATTCCACTTAATATCTCTCCAAATATGCTATATACAAACGATCTTTGTACTGATTCCAATCGTTTAACTTCTCTTGAAGATGCCTGATAATAGCTTATCATGAATGTAAATATAATTGCCAAGGGTGGGAGCGAGATTGCAAACCATGGTAAATATATGATACATAATATTATAACACCGATGATAGTAGAAAGTGAATAACTTGTAATTCTTAATTGGTTTCCAATTTCATTATCCAAGATCTCTGTGTCTCTTGAGAATCTATTCAAAATTCGCCCAATGGGTGTTGTATCTAAAAATGACATTGTTGTATGTAGAACATTTTTTGTGCTCATTAAACTTAATTTTAATGAAGCTGTGTTAATCAAATAGACGAGACTTAATAGTTCGATAATCAAGAAAATCACAGATAAGATGGAGAACATAACATAAAGACCGATATAAAACTTGGAAGATTTATCGAACTTGAGATCAACCCAGAAGGACAACCACACATTAGAGAATAATTGTGAAAATGTTGCAAATATAGTGTTCATAAAATAAATTGCACACCAACCTAAAATGCCTATTATTCCTGATCCAAACTTTAAATAATTTTTGTAAATCTGTATGCTAAGCTTATTAACAGCTCTCTCCTCTTTTCGGATTAATTTTCCTTCTGAAGCTTGAAATGATTCATTCTTAATATCATCCTTTATTTCATGAAAGTTTTTGATTTTATCATCTTTTCCATCCTCTTCATCATTAAAAGAATTGTGAGTCATCAATTCAATAAATCCTTTATTCATATACTGTAACTCCTTAAATGTACCTATATCATACGTGCCATCTCCATTTAGAAATATAATTCTATCAGCAGACCCAATAAGTGAAAGCTGATGTGTTGCTAAAATTCTTGTTTTATCTTTCAATAGCCCTAAAATGCATTTATTCATAATGTCTATACCAACTTTCGCGTCAACGGCACTTAGAACATCATCCATTAGAATTATATCACGACCAGCATATACAGCCCTTGCCAAGTTTACTCTTGCCTTTTGCCCGCCTGATAAGGTTATTCCTCTCTCACCAATTTCTGTTTTATCACCGGCAGATAACATATTTATATCACTGGACAAGGAACATGCATCTAATACTCGTTCATACCTATCGGAATGATATTCAGACCCGAAGATAATATTATCTCGTAACGTAGCATTCTGAATCCACGGCTGGCCGCAGAATAGCAAAGTACCATTTATGTCAGCAATTCCTGAATTGCGATTCATGAAACCTGAAAGTGCATTCAAAAATGATGTTTTTCCGGAGCCTATTAATCCTGTTATAACAATGAATTCACGTTTGGAAATAGTTAGATTGATATCTTTCAACCCATTGAACCTCCTTCGTTCACTATTAACTTTGTCAACTTCTTCACTAGAATAACCATCCATGTTATCATGAATAATTTCTTGGTCATTTTTATCAAATGATTTCCAGTTGAATGAAGCATTTTCCATGACTATTGCAGCATTTATTTCGTTCATTTCAATTTTCTTTGATTCACCTAAATAACAAATCCGTTCTGATCTTTTTCTCTCTTCAGAACATAAATATTCGTGAACCCTGGTACAAGCCACATAAGCATCAGCACAAGTAGAAAGAACCAACGGAAGAACATATACCTGTTGTGCTAAAACATTAAACAATGAAAGTGATGAGAATATATTCGCTGGGCTTCTATTGTTTTTCCTAAGGGCATATAGGACAAGGAAAGCTACCATTGACGAAATGGTCGTAAAAGACATGGCCATTGCCGTTACAATATTGGTTAGTGCTTGCATTTTGAATATGGCCTTCATTTCTAGCTTACGAATACCAGCAATTCGATCGAAATAGGGTAACTCCCAAGAGTAAAACTTAATCATTCTTAGATTAGTCAACACTTCTTGAATGTAACGAATTCGTTTGTCTGTATATATATTAGCGTACCGTCTTATTCTTATCAATTTGCTAGTGCAGAATGTTAATAGTACCACGAATACTACTAGTAGAGCAACACCAACAAGTGCTGAAACTCCAATGTTTATAATAAGTATAACTATTGCTATAATTACAGTGACTGGAAAGGATATCAATACGGGTATATAGCCGATCGCTAAATCAATTCTTGCTAAATCTGCTCCCATAATTGAAGTAATTTTTCCCGAAGGATAGCGATGTTTGGATCTTATACTTAATTTAAATGATTTATCAATTATGGCTTTAGTTAAGATAGCTTTACATTTGGCACCAACTATCATCGCCTTTTGTATACTATGATTTTGAAGTAAACCGCACACACATACAATTCCAGCTGTACCTAAGGCGTATCCAATCCCTTTTCCATTTGATAATTCAGCTCCATTAGTCTTCTTCTCTACGAAATTAATTAATTTCCTTGAAAGTAACGGATTTAAGGTTGAACCAACTCCTGACAAAGTCATGAAGATGCATGATAATAAAAAGGGTTTCCAGAAAACAAGTAATAATGTTTGGGCACAAAGATAATTAGGCGGTATTGAATTTTTCTTGTAATCCTCATTGTCTATATCAAATTTTGAATGCATTTCACAATTGACTTGGTATTGTAACGTAAATTTTTCTGTCATGTCTTCTACTGTCATATCTTTAGATAAAACAAACAAATCTTCTGGTTGTAAAGTTCTTCTATACCCGATTGACATAATAGGATTTAACCACCAAAAGAATATTTTGGAAATCCAATTAGCACTATGTTCAGGGTAAATCTTTCTTTCATCTTTTGATGGTAGCGGAGGAATATATTTTGAAAACAAGAAAGAAAATAGTCGTTTTTGAATATCTATTCCTTCAGGGTATAAATTTTCCTCCACGCTTTTAGAATCATTCGTATTATCGCCCTCACTCATGCCTATCTTGTTATAATAGTCTCATTTCTTAGATAACATGGTAGATTTTCACATTTTATAGAAGTGGCTCCTTTATAAAATAGTTCGGTGATCATCCAAATTCTGTCTTATAACCGAGCTTGACAGCGAAACTCCGAGTTCTGACAGCATATAGTTGAAATTGGCAGCTCTTAATAATAGCCATTAAATCCGAGAAATAATACACAATTACTAATAATATGCTCTGCTTATATTTCTTTAAAACAGATCTATACTAATACTATTTCAAGCAACTAGTTTTGAAAACAATTATTTTCAACTACTGAAATCACTGCTCTTATAAGCGTAGTCAAATCTAATTCTGAAATAATGTATGGTGGCATTATGTAAACTAGTCTACGAAAGGGCCTAACCCACACACCTAAATCAACAAACTGCCTCTGAGAAGCAACCATATCAATTGCACAATTGAGTTCCACAACTCCAATGCTACCTAAGACTCTTACATCCTTTACCTGTTTATAGCCCATATCTTTTAAAGGTAAAAGTTCAGATATTAATTGTTTTTCGATATTTTTGACTTGAAGTTTCCAAGCGCCTTGTTCCAAAATTTCCAAATTCTTATTCGCAACGTGACAAGCTAAAGGATTGCCCATAAATGTAGGACCATGCATAAAACATTTAGTTTTTCCTAGACTTATTGTATCTGCTACATCCCTCGTGGAAATAATAGCTGATAAAGTCAAATAGCCTCCAGTTATTGCTTTTCCTAAACAAAGAATATCTGGACAAATGTTTGCATGTTCATATGCAAATAATTTCCCAGTTCTGCCAAACCCAGTTGCAATTTCATCGAGAATTAAAAGAACGCCATAAGTATCACATAATTCTCTTACTCTCTTAAGGTATTGAGGATGGTATATTTTCATCCCTCCCGCGCCTTGAAGAATTGGTTCTAATATTACAGCAGCAATAATATGATAGTTTTCCAGAATTAATGTTTTAAAGGTTTCTATATCGCTTTCATCCCAAATATCACTGAATTGAAGTTGAGGTGCTTCAGCAAATAGGTTATCTGGAACATAGTTTGTGTATAATGAATGCATTGAATTGACAGGATCGCATACAGACATTGCACCGAACGTATCTCCATGGTAGCCATTCTTTATGGTCAAGAACTTTTTCTTTGAAAACTGACCTTTTGAATGACAATACTGCAATGCCATCTTCAACGCAACTTCAACAGCAACCGAACCCGAATCAGCTAAAAAGGAACAATCTAATTTAGGGTGTGTCATTTTGATGAGCTTCTTGCAAAGATTAACAGCAGGTGCATGGGTGATGCCGCCAAACATGACGTGCGACATTCGAGAAGCTTGATCACATAAGGCTTGGTTTAAGACAGGATGATTATAGCCATGAATTGCGCACCACCAAGATGACATCCCGTCAATTAATTCCTTATTATTTGATGTTTTGATACGTACACCACTAGCTGACTCAATAGGATAGCATGGTAATGGATCTACCATTGAAGTATACGGGTGCCATATATGCTTCCTATCGAACTCTGTATCAATTTCTTCCATATTTGAATTCATATAAGTTATCCAGTTGCAATTATTGATCGTGATAAAATAAGTTTTTAAAAGATAGTTCAGAATGATTCAAAATGACTCAAGAAGATCTGATTTGGGATTTTCGTGCAAAAGTGAGTATATATGACTTTGAGTCATTGTATTATGTGGTGCATATTTAAGTAGTAATCTGCCCTCAATCTGGTAAATTATTTTACAGCTAATCAAAAATGAATGGTATTTTTATTACAGGAACTGACACAGATGTTGGCAAAACATTCATTTCTGCTTTATTGGTTAAAGCCTGGGGTTCAAACTATTGGAAGCCGATTCAAACTGGACTAAACTCTTGTCAAGTTGACACAGACACAGTGAAGTATATTACAGGTTTATCAGATAGTCATTTCGAACCACCACGTATTGAGCTACAAGAACCATTGTCACCATGGAGGGCATCCATTTCAGAAAATACGTCTATCTCTATAGACGAATTTGAGATTCCACAAAGATTCAAGCAAAGTAATCGACTGCTAGTTTTGGAGGGTGCAGGTGGTTTATTTGTTCCAATCAATGAAACAATGATAACTACAGACTTAATTCAAAAGTTAAATTTTCCTGTTATCTTAGTTGCAAGAAGTGGATTGGGTACTATTAATCACACCCTTTTGAGTATTGAACATTTGAGAAGCAGAAAAATTAAAATTTTAGGAATTATATTAAATGGGAAACTAAATCCTGATAATGCCGCTGCAATAACACATTTTGCTAAAGATATCCCAATTATCTTACAAGTACCAGAATTAGATTTGGCTCTTACTCTGATAGACAGTTTGTTACCTTTGGTTCCAAAGTTAGAATTTTTATATTAAGAAAATATGTAAGTTAACGCATCGCGAGAATAATTCTGCATCATCTTGACTCGTAGTCATTCTGAAAAACTTAAATTAGCTCACGCTGCAAATCCTTATAAATAGTTCAATAATACTTGCGAAAGATGATTTAGTTTTGTAAATGGTTAATAAAAGTCTATTACTTTTTTAATAATCAATTATGGAACCATCAAAAAGCATTGATTTTGAAAACTCGAAGTTGAAATTGATGTTAAAAATAACCACAAAACAAATTTATCTACAAATTTTTCGTGGTGGTCACTATTTGGCATTAGTTTTGGATTAACTAATTCGTGGCTTGGGATATCGTCTTCCTTAGCTACAGGTATTTCTTCTGGAGGAGCTGTATTGATTGTATATGGGCTTCTAATTGGTTTCATTTTCAACTTGGCTGTCGCAATTACGTTATGTGAATTAGTTTCTTGCTTCCCAGATTCAGGTGGACAATATTATTGGACTTTAAATTTGGCTCCCTATAGATATAAACGGTTCCTATCTTACAGTAGTGGGTGTGTAAGTTATGCCGGTGCTTTGTTTACCAATGCATCAATTACGTCTGGTGTTGCAACAAGCATAATGGGCATCTACGATTTATGCCATCCAGCTTTCGGCTTGCAACGGTGGCACATTTTCGTAACTTACGAAATCCTAAACTTATTCGTATCAATGTTCAATATATGGGATAAGTATTTGCCATTATGTACGTCATCAGCCCTTTACGTGTCAATTTTTGCATTTGCCGTCACATTGGTTACCTGTTTGTCATGCTCAAGAGATGCCTATCAGCTGACAGACTTTGTTTTTAAAGACTTTGTTAATACAACTGGGTGGAAAATCCCAGGAATAGGTTTTATTGTGGGTCTAGTGAATCCGCTTTGGTCTTATGTTGGAATAGATTCGGCAACACATATGGTTGATGAATTAGGCATTTCACGATCTAGAATTCTCATACCACGGGCAATTTTGGGAACCGTTGTCCTAGGCTTCGTCACCGCATTAGTGTATTCTGTGTCAATGTTTTTCTGTATTCGCGACCCAGATAAGGTAGTTGAAGCAATATTGCCCATTTTGGAAATTTTTCACCAATCTACCAGAAGTAGACCAGCTGCAATTATTCTTCAGTGTCTATGCATAACAACTGGAATCCTTTGTAACGTTGTTGCTAACACATGGCAAGCACGAATTTGCTGGTCATTTTCTCGTGATAAAGGTTTACCAGGCTCAAAATATTGGGTGGTTATTAATAAGAAATCAAGACTTCCAATAAATGCACACTTAGTATCTAACCTTTTGATAGGCGTTATCGGCTGTATTTTTCTTGGTTCTAGTACCGCTTTCAATGCTATCATTACCGCGTGTATTACCTTACTATTAATATCCTACTCTATCCCAACAGCATGCTTATTATCAAAGGGTAGAAATCGCGTGAAGAAAGGACCCTTTTGGTTGGGAAAAATAGGCTTGATATGTAATATCATGACTCTAATGTGGACATTATTTTGTTTAATATTTCTTTCATTCCCATATGTCCTACCAGTATCAAAATTTTCCATGAATTATGTATCCGTGGTATATGTTATCATTGGCCTCTATATATTTATCTATTGGGTATTTAGGAAAAAGTATATCATTTGTGGAGATGGAAATGTCCCAGATTCTTTTCTGTCTTAAATATGAAACAATTATATGCTTCTAAATGGAATTCAAGACCAAAAACTTGATACACTTACATCGTACATAACATCATTTATTCATAACTTAGCAAAATATACTATATACATTTAAAGAATTTTATTTAGTTTCTTATACTTCCATAGGGCCAAAAAATTCAGAAGCAATTTCCGACTCTTCAACGCCTCTATTCAATAACTCTCCTTTAACAAATTTCATGTAAGGGTTAGGTCCTAACATATAATAATCAAAGTTTGGTTTAACAAACTCAAAATCTTGAGCAGCTAACCTACGAGATTCCAATTTGTCGATAGCGTGAAGACCCGATTCGGATTCATTCGAGATAAATTCAATCAACTTGAATTTATCTCCATATTTTTCCTTTAAGTCTTGCAACCATTTAGCAAAAGGTCTGGTTTCAACTTGTCTATTAGAATTGAGCATGTAGACTTGGCGACCACTTTCTAAAGCCTTTTCAGTGATTGAAACTAATGGAGTAATGCCGATACCCCCTACAAATAAAACAATTGGCTTAGCAACGTCAGATTCACGATATACGAATTGACCTGCTGGGGGGCTAACACGAATAGTAGAACCAACTTGCAATCCGTTGTGTATAAATGGGGAAATCTGACCATCTTCGACTAAACGAACAGAGATACGATATTCATCAGAGCTTGGATATTGTGAAAGAGAATATTCCCTACTCTTCTCTATATCAGAATCTGGTAACTTGAATCTAATACAAACGTATTGTCCTCTCTTAGGCATAGCAATTTTTCCGCCATCAGCAGGTGTGAAATAAACAGACTTGACGTTTTTAGATTCATTCTCAATACGTGATATTTTGAAATCACGGAATCCATCCCATTCCATTGTTTTATATTTTTCAGCTTCAGCGTTGATTAAAATTTGGGCTAAATTACCATAAGCAGTTGCCCATGCTGTCAAAAATTCTTCTGTTGCAATTTCCAGACCTAATAAAGTCTCCATTGTATCTAAAAGACATTGACCAACAATAGGATAATGTTCCGGTTTAACTTGTAAACCTACATGCTTAACAACTATTTGATTTACAAATGCTGTAAGTGGAGCTATGTCATCAATATTCTTGGCGTAATGCAATAAAGCAAATGCCAAAATTTTAGGTTGTTTCATGGTCTTTTGATTGGATTCGTTGAAGAAAGGCTTTACTTGTGGAAAATCGGTGAGCATATGATTGTAGAACTTAGAAGTTAACACATCCCCAGACTGTTCGAGTATTGGAACCGATCCCTTAATCAATTCCTTTTCACGGGGAGTTAATTCTCTAATCTTGTAAATTACTGGAGTGTCAATTGTCATTTTTTGTTTGTGATAAACATCCCCAGAATCAACTGAAATGCAAACGGTACGTTCATTTATATAGCATTTTTTGATCCATCGGCAATATCATACATGTAGACATGCTCGTACAATATGCAAAAACCACATGATAATTATTTCATAAGTAAGTAAAGACTTATTGTTATTGGAGGACTTCGTTTAAAAATCAGCTCATTATGCGGGTAAAATAGGTAAGTTAAAGGCGATGGCGCACGAAGGCCGATTGAACCCGGTAGAGAGTATTAACAAAAATTAAACCACAATAAGCGACATAAGCGACAAATTTCCCCTATGTAGTACATGTAGTACATGCTTATGTAAAATTGTAATAGTCTTTCATCCTATAATACAAGCGAACATATACAATGCGAAAACTATGGGATAACACTGGATATGTTTGTAAGAGTACAACCGTACAATTTTCGGGAAATGCTGGGAATGCTACGGATAAAGTAGGCGATGCGTAGGCCGGATTTTCACGGTGTGGTACAAAATAATGTTTTTTTTTTTTCTTTTTTTTTTTTTTTTTTTTTTTNAAAAAATTTTTTTTTTTTTTTTTTTTTTTTTTTTTTTTTTTTGAATAGAAAAACCCTCACAAGCGATAGTTAAGTCATTTCTTTTTGATGATGATTCATCTGTTACTAACTTCAAAAGAAAATATCCTGCCTAAATTTGCTTAGATATCCGGCAAATTATCATAGATGATGAAAATTCGATTTAAAATTATTCCCATGTAATTTCTACAGTCGCAAATTAAAAACTTTTTGTTGGAAAGAGTCATATAAGCGCAATAATATATTTAATGTCTTTTGACGATGTAGAATATCTCAATAATGACTACATTATAGATGTTTTTGTTTGCGCAAATTCGTCCTAAACCAGAACTTCATTATTCGCAAGTTCTTCATGTCTAATTTGCAAAAGGAACGTTGTAATTGCGTATAGCAATACTAACATAGAGTCAGCCGTTTTGAGATTTATATGGTGCATGATGTTTGGTTGTCGAACGACCAGGGCCTAGCTTATTGAGTCAATTCAATAAGCTCAGGGAGTCTACACGATTGAGTCATACATCTTTCGTGTTTTAGTATCATTCGTAGGGGTGTCAATATAGTTGTAACTTTCTGGCCATATTGCGATCTACGACGTATATTCCTTCTATCATCTTCCGTTTTGGAGTTCAGAACGTTTTTGATAGCCATCGAAAACGCTATGTGCAGTATTTTAAAACGAGGCGCATATTGAAGCAGTCAAATTCATCTTTCAGTACATTTTTAATGACATTTTTAACGTCCATCAATGTCTTGAGTTAGTATTCTACCAGAAGAATTAACGAAGGTCACAATGATTACCGACCATGTTTTTTATGGGTATGCAAAAGACCCATTTGTTTATGGATCATTAGCTCTAACTCTAGGTTTAGGAACAGTATATTACTTCAATAGGTTTAGCGTATGGAAGACAATCAGGACTCAAGGAATAAAAAGTATACACTCAAGGACTAAGTTATTCCATACCATTTTCGGAGCATTTTTGATATTCCTCAATGTTTTCATGTGGGTTTACTTATCGTCTAGTGGTTTACCTACTCTGACATATTTAGGGTCGGATTTCCGTCAATCACCCTTGACACTGACCATTTTAGGGTTAAAGTATTCTGACTTCAACGTACCAGGATATTCTTTTATAGAAGAGAAAGTACAATTTGAATCTACGGAAGATTTTGAATGTAAGGCTGTTCAATTTAATGATAAAATTTTTTCAAGCCCAGCAGTTCCTGTTGATGGTGATTTAAGAAGAGTGAGGAATCAAGCTTTTGAATTGGCGAAATCCGAATATCCAATAGCAAAGAACTGCTTTATGGACAAAGACAATGAATCCGAGGAATATATTCTTAACAGAAAATGGGCAAGATTTTGTGGTAGTAGTGTTTGGTTATCCAAATATGAAGTTCATTTCTTTGTCAACAGAATAGTATATGCACACGAAAACGAGAGAAGCAAGCCTACTATCAGTCTAATTGATGTTCAAATTTTTGATCGTGATTGGAATGAACTAACCGACTTTAGTATCCCATTAGCTGACGGGACAGAACTAGATTTTCCCGGACTTGTTAAAATTGATATAGATCAAAATCCTAAACACAAGTTTTCTGTTATGGGTCCTGAAGACCCTCGTGTTGTTTTAAGGAAGTTCACTAACGATAAAGGCGAGTTGGAAGAAGAACCAGTGATTATTTTCAACATGCGTCGTACCGAAATTAACTGGAAAAGAGCCATGCATTTCTATAGACCCTTTAACGGTAATGATACTATCAGATTGTCGTTAAGAGACTTAAAGCCAAGATTTCGTGAGAAGAATTGGGCCCCGTTCTTTGATGATAGTGATCCTGATAATATTTATTTCATATACAATTTTAATCCCCTTCGTGTCATAAAATGTGGTCTTTCTGACGGTGTGTGTGATAAGGTTACTGGACCTAGTTTCATAGATTCTAAAGCCGACGAATCAAAGCATGTCGGTGCATTAAGAGGAGGAACCAATCTCGTTCCAATACCGTCCGACCTTTTACCAAAGCATCTATTTTTTAGAAGATATTGGTTCGGTATTGCCAGATCTCATAATAGTGAGTGTGGATGTTTGAAGGAAATTTATAGACCGCACGCATTTATAATATCCAAAAATTTGGAGACTGGTGAATTTACATTGGACTATGTAAGCTCTTTGATGGACTTCAACGTTATTGCAGAACCATGGACTGAAAATATAGCTATATGTAAAGACGGGAAGAATGTATTGATTCCGAACAGTATTGCTTATTGGGATCATGTTTTAAAGTCGGATACCTCAGTTGAACATGACTTTATGGGTATCACTTTTTCTGAAGCCGATAGAACAAATAAAATCGTACATATACAAGGATTCTGGCGCCATATATTGAAAGCATTGAATAGTAAGGATACTGGTCAGGGGTCTCAGGCCATAGCGAACATAAAAGAATATTATGCTGGAAGCAATACTGAACTCGAGAATGAATTGTTAGGAAGATGTGCTACCTCTTTGGCTGAACAGTATTGCGAAGATACGGCTACCTCTCAAAATTGGATTGATTAATCTAAGAATTTCATTTAATCGCATTTTTCTTCCAGTAGACTTCTTGCATGATAACTACTTTTAGCATCTTTAATTACAATACATTATCAGACATTAATTAGTTATTTGAATATAATTTTGTAAATTTACCGAATATTAATATAAAACTAATTATAAAAATTTAGAATGGTGGTCTTAGATATAAAATATAATCATCTGGGTAGCCTATTTCAAACCTTTTAAGCTAATGGTAAAGATAATTGGGGACTTAGAAATTTTGAATTCAAACTCATCTAGGACTCTTGGACCACATGCGCCAGTACCAACTCCATGTTGCTTGTAATCAATCCTAATATACTTCGAGCCATGCTTTATTTCATGAGGATGTTTGGCTTCTTGAACATCGTATTCGTCTGATGCTTTATATCCGAACCGTTTACCTTCCATTGTAACATAAAGCCCCGACTCATTGTCACCTTCTAATAATAACCATTCTGTTTCTTCGTGATTACCATTTTCCTGTGGATATTCGTATGAATAATCAAGTTCTTCAAATGGTAATCTATAAACATCTATCCTTTGTGACTCTTTCTTGTCACTATAACTTTCACCAGGACCTCTGCCAAACCATCTAACGAATCTCCCCAATTCATCATTGATTCCAAATTCATATCCCAACCGTGGAATAGTTTCTGGGATACATATATCTCTGAATCCTTCAGGGATTAACTTTGTATAAATCTTTATCTCATTCGTAAATATCGAATATTCTTGAATAGTTTTAAACCCCCAAGATAAAACTGGTGGTGAAATTAAAGATTCGACTCGTATTAAAGCTATCCTTTCTGAATCAGGAAACTTATCGATCTGAACGTCTCTAATATTGTATTGCATATGATCAAGACCAAATCGGCGCCAGTATGGCTCATCTACCGGCGCGTCATTATTAATACTCGGTCTCCAAAAGGTTAAATTATTAATACCTTTCGAAATTATATTGTTAGTATCATTTTGCCAATTTGAAATACACCCAGAGATCTTATCGAATACAAAGTTTGTGTAGGGACTCTTTATTTGAAGCTTTAGCTTATCCTCAGCAAATTCAACCAAATTTCTATCATAAGATTGATGAGCAGGTCTTCTTGGAAACTTTTCTAATTCATACTGTGACCATGACACGATATGTCCGCTTTCAACAGCCTCTGTTTGGTTTATTGTCTTGAACTGAACCTCTAGGTAATTTGTGCCGCTAGAAACAGTTTGCGGATATTCTGGTAATGATACTTCAATAGTTTCTTGCGCATTAATCTTAGGTAAAGTAAATTCACCCCTCTTGATTATTTTTCTATCCAAGTCCGAGTAATTGACTACCTGGTATGCTGCAGCGTAATTATCCAAATCTATAAAATCAAACTTGTTAGTAATTTTTATTTTATCTTTATCTATTTTAATCACTATAGGCTCAATAACTTTGGCATATTCAATTAAACCTGGCGTTGGATTGTGTTGAGAATCTAAAAGTCCATCCATGATGAAAACTCCATCGTGAGGATATTCACCGAAATCTCCTCCGTAATAATAAATATCATGTCCATCTTTATTTACGTATAATCCATGATTGGCCCATTCCCATATAAATCCCCCTTGAAGCTGATCATATTTGTAGAAATAGTCTTGATATTGTCTTAAAAGACCTGGGCTATTTCCCATTGCATGGCCATATTCACATAAAATCAATGGTTTTTCCGATTGATTCACAAACTTATCGATGGTCTGGAACAGAGGATACATTCTGCTATATAAGTCCGTAGATTCTGCTTGAAGGTCTCCTTCGTAATGAATTGGGCGCGAAGTGTCTAATTCTCTAATTTTCGCAACCATTGATTTATGGTTACAGCCATAGAATGCTTCGTTTCCAAGCGACCATAAAAATACACAAGGTTGATTGAAATCTCTCTTTACTAACTGATAAGCTCTATCAACATAGGCTGCTTCCCATTCTTTATTATCGGAAGTAAATTGGTTTGCTGATTTGAATAAACGTAACTTTTCTTCGTCATATTCAGCATCATCGTTACCCCCAACTGGCTTTCTTACTGCTTCAAAGAATCCATGACATTCTAGATCTGCTTCATCAAGAACCCAAAATCCTAAACGGTTTGCCAATTCATAAAACTTGGGGTGGTTTGGATAATGCGATGTACGAATAGCATTGATGTTATACTTCTTCATAATATGTAAATCACGTTTGATGTATTCCAATGGTACTGCTCTGCCGTGCTTTGGATGGTGGTCATGCCTATTAACCCCTCTTATTAATATAGACTTACCGTTGACCCTTAAGGTTCCATTCTTCATTTCAATTTTACGAAAACCCACATCCTGTTCTACCTTATTCGTTACCTCGTTGTCTACTAAAACCGATAATTCAAGATTATAAAGGTTAGGGGATTCTGCAGTCCATTTAAATGGGTTTTGTACTTCAAAGGACTGATTAAAATTTGAATCTTTTAAATCAAAGATCTTATTTATTATTTCATTCCCTTCACCCTTTAATAATACATGTAATTTAGAATTGGAAGTAGTGAAGTTTATCTTTAGGTTGATTGTTAATATTGAGTCCACATATTTCTTATCCAAGTCGGTCACAATATTAAAATCCTCAATGAATCCACTTTTGTTGAATCCTAATAAGTAGACATCTCTAAAAATACCACTCAACCACCACTGGTCTTGGTCTTCAATATATGAAGAGGAGGACCACTGGTAAACCCTGACCCATAATTCATTGACGTCGTCTAATAAAATATGTTCAGCAACATCAAATTCAGATGCATTTCTACTACCCTCATTATAACCAACTAGTTTACCATTAAGAAATATATGAAATGAATTATCTACACCTTCAAACCGAAGCCTGAATAAAAAGGGCTTTGATTTCCACTCATCTGGAACAACAAATTTACGGCGGTAGGTACCAGTTGGGTTCTGCGATGGTGGATTTGGAGGGTCCACGGCAAATGGGAACACAATATTAGTGTAGTGTGGTTTTCCATATCCTTGTAGCTGCCAATGTCCGGGAACAATCAACTTACCTGGAAATTCTGCATTCTTGTCGTGAGGCAAAGGTGCAATTAATGGAGACTGGGAGTAATTGAAATCCCAATTCCCATTAAGACTCAATGTTGAGTCGCTAGGTAAATAGTAAGCCCTAGTGTCTAATCGGTTGATTTCGACAATTTTTGGGTTTGAAAGTACCGATTGGAGTGTTTGTAACGAATAATCTGTCATAGTGAGTATATATCTATCACTTCTAAAAAATATATTGAACTCTATTAGAACTACAATTTCTTATATCCCCTAGGATGAAAACTTATGGAATTTTTCACGGGGCAACTATTATCAGGTTATGGGGTAAAATCGGCGGAATGTGCTTAAATTGACGAACGTCTTATGCCATATTTCCAAGCAAGGGGTAAAGCCTAGTTGTTATTCAGGTATGTATTTCGTGGGGTCATCCCATAAATCATCTTCTATAGTAGTTTATTATTAGATGCCAAGTTTCTTAAGTGTAACATTGCATTGTATTATCCAATTAAGGGATGTTGTGGGGGTTTATTCACCGTCTCAGTGTAACGTAGTTCTTTCAATTGCCATATTCGGCATCATTTCCTTGGAGCCTCCCACATTGTCTTTTCGCATAAATGTCTATGTGGTGAACAAGATTTCTGCGCGGAAATTGGGTACAATTGACATAGGCAATGCAACCGCGAAAGAAAAGTGCATTTTTTAAATTTAAGTTCTGGGAGACAAATGACTGATTGCATTTTGATCACCGATATTTACGAATGTCTATAAAATCGAGGTCCTGGAACCCCAATTCTCGAATTTCTGCTATATACGTGGAAAGCAAGAGAATTCTATAAGAGAATATGAGCGAAGTGAAACCAGAGACGGAGCACGTAGAACATAGAAAAGATGAAAAAAATGTCCATATTGGCATTCAGTCGATTCCCTCATTAGATGCTGATGGAAAGCCCGTAGAGGTTTCAGAAGTGGAGCGACCTAAGTTGCTCAGTAAACAATTGATACCGCTTTATTGTTGTTGCCTTATTGTGTACTTTTGTTCTACTATGAATGGATTCGATGGTAGTTTAATGGGTAGTATTTATACTTTACCAGACTACCTTGAGTATTATAACTTAGATATGAGTTCTACTGGAACTGGTCTTATTGTCTCGATATATTATGTTGGACAAATCGTTGGCGCATTCTTTTGCTCTTTGATGGATTGGAAGGGAAGAAAAGTAGCTATTCTCACGGGATGTGTTGGTGCTTGTATTGGTGCGGTGATTACTGCAGTTGCAAAAGACACTAAAACTTTAATTGGTGGTAGATTCTTTCTTTCTTTCTGTACTACGATTGCTGTTGCGGCTGCTCCAGCTTACTGTGTTGAAATTTCTCCCTCCCATCTTAGAGGAACTGTTGCTGGTCTTTATAACACTCTCTGGTATGTGGGCTCTCTTGTTGCTGCATTCACGGCTTATGGCGCAGATTTGAATTATCGTGGATCCACCAAATCGTTTAAGCTTCCTCTTTGGTTGCAAATAATTTTTCCAGGTATAGTAGTATTATTTGGCTGGCTTATACCTGAATCTCCTAGATGGTTGGTTGGGGTTAAAAGGATTGATGAGGCTAGAAAAATTATTGCTAAGTACCATTGTAACGGTGACGAAAATCATCCATTAGTAGATCTTGAAATAGCAGAAATGATTGACTCTTTCAACGATGTAAAACTTTCTGATCCTATTAAGGTGCTTGACATGCGGACACTAGTCATAAAACGTTCTGATAGGTACAGGCTCGGTCTAGTAATTGCAATGTCTTGGTTTGGCCAATTCTCAGGAAACAATGTTGCTTCTTATTATCTTCCAACAATGCTCAACAAGGTCGGTATGACTTCAGCTTCAACTAATGTGCTCATGAATGGTATTTATTCCCTCGTTTGTTGGTTTGCCTCGATATTGGGGTCTTTTTCACATGATAAGGTCGGTAGGAGAAAGATGTTCATGTTTTCTACTATAGGTGCGTCATTAATGTTATCGGGTCTTGCTATTTGTACAGCCAGATATAACATTACACCAACACATGCTGCTTCAACTGGTACGCTTGTTTTCATATATCTCTTTGGTGTGATCTTTTCATTTGCATTCACACCAATGCAACCAATTTACCCATCCGAAGTTTCATCTAATATCTTAAGATCCCGTAGTATGATAGTCGTCTATGTTACATCAGGTATCGCATCGTTTGTTAACCAATTTTCGGCACCGAAGGCGATGGAAAATATTGGATATTGGTATTATGTTTTCTTCGTCTTCTGGGATATTTTTGAATTTATCATTATCTATTTCTTTTTCGTTGAAACTAGGCATAAATCTCTTGAAGAATTAGAAAAAATATTCGAAGCAAAAAATCCAAGGAAGGTCTCTGTTGGAAATTATGGCGACGAAGGCGAGAAAATAGAAGAGGTAGAGCTTGCAAGGCAAAAGCATGTTATAGCCCTCACCAATCAATTCGTTAACGAACGATCTGCTAACCAAGATGTATGAAAATTTTATGGCAGGCTATAAAATTTACTACATATGGAGCTTTATGATTTATTTCTCTATTTTTTCGTATTACATGGAATCGCAAAGGTATTATTATATTGATAAATATTTAAAATTCTTTATTTTTTCCAGCTAACGATGTTCTGTACTACACTTGATATTTTACATACCTCTAAAATAATAGACAGAAACTAGAATGATAATACAAGCATATAGGGTACTAAATTTTTTTTTTTTCTTCATTATTTGGACTAGTATAGAAGCTCAAGTAAACGAGGGATAAATAGTTTCCGTGTAATTTTTATTTTGGAGTTTAGGGGTTGATTCCTCGAGGTTTTGGTTGGCAGTAAATAATAAGATAGGATTCATATAGTCCATATGCCCACAAAACGGTTCGCTTAAATCTAATCCAAGTAATTTTAAGGCCCTATTTGAATACTTCGTAAAATAACTAACGTTTTTATCCAAAAAATAATTTTCTTCCTGTTTTAAATAATTCTTCGTCATAAAATAGAAGGATGTGATCCTATCTTCTGATGTCGTATTAGAACTTGCAGCATGATAAGTAGATCCGAGCATGAAAGCGCAATCTCCCTTTTCTAGCTCTAAATAACAAGCATTCCCTTCACTATTATCCGGACATCTATTCGGTCCCCATAAATGGGAACCCGGAATTACTCTCGTAGCTCCATTATTTTTTGTGGTGTCTGTCAAGGCTATGGATAATCCTAGAAGAGTTTCCGAGCCATATTTATAGGTATTATTCTCTTCGTGGATATTGTGATGAATCATATCCTCCCGGTGATATAATTGATCTTTTGCATTGGGACCTACCTTATATGTAATGGCTGAATTAAGTTGTATATAACTGTTGCCTTCTCTGATTTGATTCCCTGTCCAAAAGTAATTTGATTCACTCAAGAACCATGAAGAAAGTTGTACAAATAAATCATTGCATAGGATGAGGTCTACTGAAGTAGGTGATTTTAAAATACTTCTTGTAACTATTGTGGTTTCTTTTGGAAATGGTGATCCATTCCAAGCTTCATCTCTAAAGAAATAAGGATCTAATTCTTCAACAATGTCATCACATTTTTCTTCATGCATCAAATTCTTAACAATACATACTCCGTATTTCTCGAGTTTCTCGATAATTGAAGAGATATCTGAATTGTATAATAGAGTGAAATCTTTAGTAGTTATTGGTAATGAAGAAATACAATGTGGGGTTTGTTTAGTTATATCTGTGGTCTTTAAGCCATTTTCTATTGTAATTGCTCCAAAAGAATTTACGGACTTTTGATATAACATGGTTTAGAACTTTCTTCTAAGTATTTAAATATTATATTTTACTTGAACTAAGTTTATTCGCATATTGCATCAATGACTCTGAGTCACATTAAATGATTATTAGATTATATAAAAAATAAATATCTCATTTTTATTGTGTTTGGATTTTTCAAATAGTATAAAAATATTTATAAAATAAAACCGACAATAGCTAGAAAATTCAGCATTTGTTTAAGTATAAATAAATTTATAAAAAGATATCGAATAGTCTGTCTCGTTGGGAGTCGAACCCAAATAGTCACTTTAGAAGAGTGATTTATACATTAATTAAAATTACCTAATTTAACTTTAGCTTTTAGTTTAATTTTAGCTTTATTCTCTTTAATTGGTATATGAACATGTGCAAAAGTATATATATTTCCACAAGGTACATTAAAGAATGATAAATAAAGAACTGTTAATGAATAAATAGCAGTTAATGTACCCAAGAATATACTATAATAGCTAAAATAACATAGGTATGGCTATATGTGTACTTTCATGAACTTGTTTTTAACTTATATTTATTAAAATACATTAATATATTTTTATAAATTTCTACCAAAAAGTGGTCAATATTATCATTAATGTGAGTTCTAAACAAATAAGAGGGGTTAAGATGACATAATACATCTATAGTTCATATCTGAAGGCTGGATTTTCTTTATCGGTTAAATCAGCGAATTCAAGATGTTCCACATTTTCAGCTTTGTCCAAATTCTTATCCCTTTTCTTGTTATCCACCCAATACGAATACCATATCAAAATAAGAACCATCAATGAAACACAACCGTTAACAACAATTGATATTTTAGCTCCGGAATATCCAGGAGCCTGTTTATCTATGAATGTTTGGGGGCCTATTAAATTTCCAACGCAGTAACCAATTAAATAAATAGCATTTGTAGTAACCTTCTTAGTGTGGCCCGCCACATTAGAAGCAATAATAGACAACAAACAAATAAATCCAATAGGTGATAATGTGTATAAACAGAAACCAGCATACTGCACTTTAACATTGGAACTGAATGCCAACATACATTCTGATATAATTACAATGATAGCTCCAACTATTGCCCAAAATAAACGATACGGATAAAAAAGAACTCCACAAGCCAACAAAGTGCATCCAACAACTTCAACGGCACCAGCAGGCATTTGCATCAACAAGGCATCAGCAGATGAATAACCCATTCCTGTTAACAAAATACTACCAAAGTTGGTTATACCACCATTTGGTATGTTATTTGCAATTGAAAATATAAAGAATAACCAAGTCTTAAAGTCCAAAAGTGCTTCAATAAACTGATGTTTCTTAAAATGTTTATTTCCAAATCCCTGTTGATTAGTTCTAATCCTTTCTACAACTAGTATCTTCTCTTTGTCGTTTAAAAACCAAGCCTTAGTCGGTGTATCAGGGAAATGGAACATAACAACAAAACCTAAGAAGACCGTTAGACATCCTGTAATAATGAAGATGAGCTTCCAGGCTTCCAAAGAATATTTTTCCTGATCAATATAAACGTTGTATGCAATGGCACTAGAGCCTAATATCTGACCAATTCCGTTACAACTAAACCATAAAGCTGTTCTTATGAATTGTTCTTCTTTCTTATACCACTGACTTGTCAAAATGACAAATGCGGGAGTAACAGAACTTTCTAGCATTCCTAAGATCGTTCTCAAAGCAATAAAGCCGGCATATTGAGGAATAGAATGCAAACACAAAATAACTCCCCACATAATAATAAATATAGATACTGTTTTGACTACAGGAAATCTTTGCAATAGCATAGACGCTGGAAACTCAAAAACCAAATAACCAAGATAAAATGATGTCCCGGTCCACGAGTACATGTCACCAACCATATTCAAGTCCTCTCTCAACCCCAAGATCGAAGCAAAAGAGTTGGATAACTTATCCATGAACTGAAAGCAATATAACAAACACATTATGGGCATCAAGCACATATCTATTTTACGGAGAATCCTTCTGTTTGTCTTTTTATCAATTTCGATCAGCTTTTCGTTTTCCGCATATTTCATGGCTTCATCCATATCAGCAGTAATATTGACCACTTTACCAGTATGAGGAGAAACAATGGTTTCTATACCCTGGTCCTCGATATCCATATTGGAATTCACCTCCAATATCTCGTTAGAATAGTCACCTTTCTTATTTTCTGCAACCATAATATGTTATATTAATAATAGATGTGCTTGGCTGAAAATAAGCATTCAAAAATAATGTACTCTTTTCACCACGTATTTATATGAATAGCATGCCCCTCGAGATTAATCTTATCTAATCTTGCTATTCTATAATATTCGGTCAATGTATTATCTTATAGCAATTCATTTCCGATTAACCCACATGATAAAGTTCCCCATCAAGTACGATTCAAATTTTCATAACGGAATTTCAAAAATGGATATCTCATTGATGTGAAATCCACAGAGTCAGGTGCAGAAAAAATTTCCCCGGTGTTCGAATTTCTTGATTTCGATGGGGGGTTTTCTACATAGGAGATTGCGGAGATGCCTGAGCTCTACAAAAAAATTGACAGCTAGGCGCGAAGAAGTACAATATCTAGGTAGCAAGTTTTGGAGAATGTTCCGAAAGCCGAGTCACAACACGAAGACGTCATTCTGTTTTAAAGATCATCTCTAGAGATTCTGTCAGAAACATTTATCAAATATTAGGTACCTGCCTGATTAAAGTGGTATTCAATAGACTTTGGCTCGCCCCTCTAAGCTGCATGTTTTAACTAACGAATTTTGTATAAAATTATTAATGATTTGGTCTCTACAGAAGTTTTTATATTAACATATCAGTTGACGGACTTCGTGGGATAGGCAGAAATTATAAATCCCGCTATTTAATCCCAACGGCCTGGATATGTGTCCTTAGAAGACTGAAAGCTGCCGTTTCGAAACTTACAGATGCTCTATATGTCATTATCAAAACAGGTATATATTATATATGGTGAATTATAGTTAAGGGTTTGAAGAAGCAATTACTTTGGCAATATTATTTCGTTTACCTTGTAAGGATCTTGCGCATTAGATAGAGAGATGCTAGTCTTCAAGCTAATCAAAAATCAGTTTAGTGAGCGCATACAATTAGAAGATTTTATACATTTAATATCAATAAAAAATTCTTCTAATTCAGAATTTGAAGTTGAAATAGAAGATTATATCAGGTATGATAAGATACATCCTATTCAGACAGGTAGCGTGAGAATTAAGAAGATACAGAAGTTCCCGATTGATGGACACGGTCCGTTGCGACGTAAAATTGACATGTTTTTGGATAATGAATGGACTGAATTACTTTAATATTCTGTTTTTTGATTGGGAATCCTAAAGGATTTTACTTAGTGATACATGGATGCTTGGAGGAGCTCTTTACGGAGTTATCTCACATGGTGGAATTTAATTCTGCATTCTGTGGTTGAATATCAGATAGGGTAAGAAGAAGAAATAGGATTTCAGTTATTTAATATAGGAATTGATGTAAACAATGATATTAAGGCCGTGATTCTGTCTCACTTTCACCTGGATCATGCAGGCGGTATCGTTCATTTTCCACACAATCGTATTTTGGCAACAGAAGCTAACTATAAAGATGTTCTTTGTTTGAAAGGTAAATTTTATGGTTATTTACATCAATGGTTTCCTTTGTGGTTTAGACCTGAATTCTCAAATTAAAGGATAAGACAATTGGGTCGTTTGACTCATCGCATTATGTGACGAAGGACTGACGTGTTATAATAGTACCTACCCCAGGTCATACAGATGGCCATGTTTCCGTTATTGTTCGCGATTATGACATAACATATTTTGTCACTTGTGATGCTGTTTATAACGAACAAAGTATGAAAAATGATATCACTGGTAGTATGACCATTGACCCCGAATTATCTATGAAAACTTTGAAGAAAATTCAAGAATTTTCTCTTTCTGAACCAGTTATTCTACCTTCTCGACCTCGATGCTCCAGAAACATATGGCCCTATAATAGCTGATAACGTATAGGATAGTTATATATCCAGCATTTAAGAAGTAAATAAAAATAAGTGAATAACCTTTAACAATAATGTTAAGAGTTGTGTCATGAAATTGTATAGTTCTTAAGTACCACCTAGAAAGTTGGATATAAAGTTTCCTAGGCACGGGCACTTTGCCATTTAAAATTGTTGATAAGATTTCTTATCACATAATAGCAAATGTATATAAAGCTTATGATAGAATTAGGGAGAATGAATGCAAATTTAATTTTAAAATTGGGACGTCAATCTTATGCAGTGTTATTGAAAAACTCCGGAGAGAGGACACTCATCAGAGTAATTTCCACTGAAAGAACTAATTTAAAACCAAATAAGTTCAGGTCAATTTTCATTAAATTAGAGAAAGAACAACCACGAAATTAAAAATATAGCCTTTTAAAGTAAAATAAGTATGCAGTCATATTTTCTGTAAATTCGTAAATTTAATTTCAATTTTGCTCTTCGTATGGAATGCAAAATCACCAACAAGGTTATTATACTTTTTACCGAAGACGTCGATACAGGCTTCAACTGAATTATTTTGAGTCTTAATATTCTTAAGGAATAAGTTTCACCTTTGCCATCAAATGGCTTTTCGAGAATTTCTTCAACAATAAAGTCAACAAGGCTTCTCATCTTGTTTATCAAATTCTGAGTCTCATTCAAATAAGTATCAAATATTTGTGATCAGCAAAACTGTCTCTTTGATTCTACCTCAAAGTCTACATTTATGGAAGGAAGCTCTGTAGTTAAAGCATTTACTGTTGCAATTTTAATAGTATCACCTAATGTACTTTAAATGTGTTATGTAGTTGAAAACCAATATGAGAAAGTGCACTTAATGAACTGTCTACTTATATTACTTCATAGATTTATGGCATGCTCAGCTGACTTCGGTGATAGAAAATTTCCTTAGAATGGGTGGGGAGGAATTGAGTTGTATTTCATAGATATTAATTATTGAAACACCCTCTCGTTTACTTACGTAACGAAAGGAGGTATTGAAGAAAATAGTATGCTAGATTGTCAAGCTATTGCTAGCAACCAGGGCAAAGGATCAGGACATTACGTAAGAGTACAAGAAACTAACAAAGCAAAAAAATATTTGTTGATGCTAAGAATCTACAGGACAAAGCTATTTTCAAAGAATACTCTACTAGAATCTGTATCGGTCTCAATTGAGATAAGATCGTCTATTCTTATGATTAAATAATAGAAATTATTGAACGCATATATTTTTCAACACGCTGTTGTTGCCCCTGAAGTATATTTGGTTACGATCATTTTATTGCTGACTTAAGCATAATTACTCAAGTCGCATTCGAGTAATCGTGAAGAGTTGCTCATTGCTATATATATCGGTTTAGATCCTCCACTATCTTTTATAAAGAAATGACTTGGTTTTCTTCGAAGTCTCCTTTACTTCAATCAATCGAAAATTATAAAAATGGTTTCCATTAATTTAAAACAATTAGCTTTATTCGCATTGGGCATGCTCACAGTAAATTGTGGTCCTTTTCCGAATGATAAGAATGGTATAGGTAAAAGGGATTCGCCTGGATATATTCAACAAAAATTTCATAGTTCAAAGGGAGAAATGGGCCCAAATTCTCCTATAGGTGAGCTTGAAATTGGTACCCGTGGGCAGAAAATAGAAATCTTACTTGATACAGGTTCGTGGGCAGCCTATATCGTAGCGAAAAATGATTCTTGCAAGAGTTCCCAATCTGAGACTAGTGGGATCACTTGCGATTTACATCTTAATGCAAGCTCTTCTTCTACTTTCAATGAAACGAATGAAAGAAGAGTGGCTGGCTGGGGCACTCCTCTAGGTAATTTCAATGGTAATTGGAGTAGTGACGCTGCTCAATGGAAAGGAGTTGACTTCAATTTCAATTTCGTCTACAGTACTTTGGGGGAAGCTTTTCCTATAGTTGGCCTCGATCTTTCTGGAGATGACAAAGATAGGTATTTGCTCCAAGATATGCAGAATAGTGGTGCTATTCAGGCAAAAACATTTTCATTGTATTATGATGATCCAGATAATTTTACGGGTACATTGTACTTTGGCGCTATTGACCATAGCAAATATATTGGTGATCTTGTGGAATTCGAATACGATTCTCAATTTGATATTGGTAACTATAGTCTACTTTTTGGAAACGACACCAGCAAAGAAATTTTATTGTCGTCCGAATCCAGGTCGAAAATGTTCGATTCTGGGGGAATTAATTTTAGCTTGCAGGAAAATGCATATAAGGCATTATTTGAAAAACTTGGGGCTGATGTTAATGGGAGAGTTTCTTGTTCGAAAGTGAAAGAATTGGATCCAATTGTTGAGGTGACAGTTAATGGTAAAGCAAAAGTGCAATACCCATTAAAGGATAATTTGCCAGATGGCTGTGAAACGACGGATAGCTTCACATCATTAAAATCATCATCAAGTGGTCCTCAGGGACCAGGTCTATGGAGATATTCCTATGTCGTATGGGATTACGAGCATAAGAAGATGCTAATCGGAAAGAGGAACCCAGATCCAGGAAATTCTAACATAGAAGTTATCAGACCTTGAAGTTTTCAAAGACTTCATTTCTTTTACATTAGATCTTTTAGAATTATTATGCATTATATAAGTCATTAACGTATCATCATCTTATAATGATGATATGGGCAGTGAATACAAATTTAGGTTAAATATCTGTCACATATTTTCGGATTTCACAGCACAAGTATTCTTAGACGATACCCTTAGATTGAAGAAAAATCTTTTTATCCTCATCAGTTCTGCTGATCTCTCGCACAAATATCGTACATGATTATATTTATCAAAAAATTCAATTCACTAAGTAAGGAGATCCTAAACCATACTCCACTTGAAACTATATATGCCCTTAATAACTATATTTTCATTTTAAGAGCGGAAATTAATTTACAAAAATAATAAAACGACTGTAGAAGGCTATATCTATAATGCAGTTAGAACGAATAGTAAGAATAAAAAGCATCTTACCATTATAAAAAGCATGTCTTTTTACCCTTTTTGAATAATAAGAGCCAAGAACAATGTGTTATTGAGGCGCCTTTTATTAGAAAAATATGGTATTTGATATATACATTTATAATTATAATTAAACAAAAGCTCTTGACATTTGTAAAAATATGAAAGTCTATACTTAAACTTTTTATAATGCTATTGGGCATTTTTTTACTTCTCAAGTGTCTTAGCTGCAACATTAATGATTCAAGGACATATTAAATGATGTAATAAAGTCCAACTACAAACGTATAATTCGCAATTATTTAATTTTCATGAGAGTAAAATTTTGAATATACAGATCCTAGCGATGTCAAAACTACTTGATTCTCACATTACAATAATATAGACTAATCACGATATTTAAATATCTGTACTGACAAATACTGATAACAATGGTGCTGACATACATTTGAAGGAAATTGACAAGCAAAATGCTTAGCATCATCAATAATGAGAGGTTATGCCAATATTCTACTATTCATAGATATAAAGGATCTGAGCAGATAACAACAAATTGTTTTTATTTATATTATTAAGGGCTGTGTACTTACTTTGAAATAAACAAATTTATCTATTAACAGAATGTGTTGATCGATGATTTTTTTAAAGACAAGCTTTAGATAACAAATAGCCCTTATCAAATGCTGTTGTAATGTGCAAGCCCCGATGTTAGAATTAAACATTAGGAAATAGCACCATCGAATAAAAGAAGATTGAGATTATGAAAAAGTGTTAGCTTATTATATAAGCAATAATATTTTTTAGCCAAATTCCCCACCCCCATCTTTTTTTTTAAAATTTCACGATTACCTTTAATAGAGTCTTTTAATTATTTGCTAATCATTATATTGCTTGTTTTTCCATTTCTCCATTCCATCACGGCAGATAAGCAACCTCACTCTATAACATTCAATGGCCCCAAAATAAATATACTATCGTCTTTAACATGGGAATGAATTTAAAATTCGCACAATTCACAGTGAAGGAAATAGACTCACTTCCAGCTATGCACGAGAAAATAATCATATCAATTGGTAGCAGCGCCTAGGTCATAAAAAAATTACAGATATGCCAATATTCTATGATTTTAAGAAACTTCTTCTCCTCATATCAGAACGTACAGATTGTCTCATCATCACTGTTTCCGTTAACACTGTCCTATGTACTTCAAAAATGAATGAGAAATGAATACTTGTGTTTCAGACAGAACAATCTCCTTCCAGGCTGTAATTTCGAGTAAATTCTATAATATAAATGGATCTAAGACCTTTATTACCGCATATTCAAGGATTATGATTGAGTCTTTCATACCTTGTTCACTTTTTTATCTGATTTCTTGCCATAATTGAAGTCCTACTCTTCCGCTTAGTCTATAGATAATTTTAATTTTGGACTCTTATGATAAACTATAGCACTAAGTTTGCTTAAGAAATATTATTATTGATAAAGGCATTTAAATAATTGTACCCCTTATTTTGCTCTTAATAATTTGTATCACTGGAGATGAATATACATTTGCAAGAACAAATTAATTCTTGTCCTTGATATGAATCACAAAATTATAGGCTTCTGAGCCAAAAATAACCGTGCCGCTCTATCTATGATCTCGAAGACAATGCCGAGCTGAATTTACGAATTTGGTGGGGGACTGAGAAGAAAATCATAATTCTCCGCATTATCAGAAAAATGGAAGACAGCAGCATGACGGCCTCAAAATTAAGTATTGAAGATTCCCCCATCATTATCTTAAATCTAAAAAAAATAAGCTATTCAACGGTTCATACTTGATAAATGGGGTCATAGTCTCTTGGAGGAAAATCAAATGTATTTTGAAACTTAGAAACTTTATATATGTATCACATTTCTCAGCTTCGTAGATAAAAGTGTCAAAACCATTGGCTACTATTTAATATGGATGATATACGCGAAGATAAAGGCAATAATATTGCGATACTGATTTCCGGGAATAATGCTTCAGATACAGAATATCAGAAGGAGATACGAATATATCCTCTTTTACACATTCATCAAAATTACTACTAATTAATTTGGATACGTTCCAGATAGACCAAAATGTTTGTCAGTTACTATGAACTAAATGCTGGTTCGAATAACCTGGTTAATCCCTTGCGAACTGAATGCATTGATTTGAGCGGTAGATGTTCATTTAAAATCATTACCTACGTGAATCAATGAGATTATATATACAGATTCAGGTGTGAGCGCGGTTCATTCAAGAAAAAGTCTTCGACATAAAATAATTTTCTTATAGAAAACTCATTATCCGAAATGAAAGTTTTATTCTTCTGATAAGGCTTGCAACTACTGATTTACTAAGCACTTTATTGTTTCAGTGAACGGGCTAAGTAAAAATGAAATTAGTAGTACCAGCTGGTACAGTTAATTATACCGCCGTCAGTTACACCGGACCCAATATAACTACTTTCAATGCCAGTTACCAAACTGAAAATGGATATGTGCAACTAAATCTAACTAACATTACCTATGAAGAGATTCCAGTTCCTACTGGCCTTTGGTTTTTTCCAGATTAATACATTAAAAATGATATAATTGGTACCGATCAAAGGTTTACTAGTATCGAGACTAATAATATTCCTATCAGCATAATGCAATCTAAGTGTTTGGATTTAAGTGGTGGTTTTTTAATTCAGCCTTAACTTATAATATTTCTTATAATGATAAACCAACAAGTTCCAAATGCTTTTATCCCAAGCTCAACAAGGAAACTAGTAATGCCAATAAGATCTCTATCAAAGCATATTTTCTTCTAATATCAGTCTTTGTTGCGCAGATATTGACTAATGCATTATAAAATCTCCAGCCAATTCTACAATGGCTGTTTAATCCCTGAACATATAAACTTCAAGATACCATTCAAAAATAAGAATGCGATTAATGTAAAATGCTTTTGGGAAAATCGAGATAGTGCGATAAATGCGAGGTGAGCTTTAAAGATGTTAGATAGCGTTTTTGCAGCCAGCGTTGATTAATGGGCTTATATGTTGTTTCGGTTAAAGCTGGCAAAATATTTTTTAGGTATTAGCAGTTTGAGATCATAGTGGGAATAAAGCGAATGAAACGAATAAAAGCTGGAGCGACTGTTGCGTAAATTGTATAAAAGAAAATTATCGTGGAGTTATTGAATTAAAAATTGATCGGACAAAGATTAATCCATTAATTGTCTTGTGGTGAAGGGACCAGACGCAGAGCTTAGGATGGAGATGTAGGTGGAACTTGCGGAAGTTCTTTTAGTAGTTTTGATTAAAGTATGGGTGATCTGGTGCAGGGTCTTATCGAGTAGTGAGGCGAGAATGATAATTTGATAGAAAGGGTGTTACTGTATGGAAGCTTTGATAAGGGAGTTTTATAGAATATATAAGTTTATAGGAAGTTTTCCCTATGAATGGGGGTTATAAAAGGTAATTTATAGAATATTGAAGATGCTCTAGGAAGTAATGTTTTTTGCCGGATATTGAAATGGATATGAAATTGAGTATTCAATATAAGTTGATGCTTGATTATGGAAAGGGCGTTGTGAAAGGGTATTTGGCATTACGTTGAAGCTAGGATGAAATGGAATATTAAAATAAGTATATACTTGATGAAGTTTGCTTAAGGAAGAATGACTGTTAAGTTGAAGCTGGATGGAATATTAGGAGTTAAATATTAAATTTAGGGAGTTTTATGGTTAGACTGAGAGAAGTTATATAAATGAGTATATATTTAAGCCTTTTTTAAGAAGTTAAAATAAAATAGCAGATAGGAAATAGATATTGATTTGATTAGTAAAAATAGATGATATGGAGAGTGTTTTTAAAAGGGGTTTTATGGAGAGACTATTATGTAGAGGGATTATAGATAATGACGCTTTGGAATGAGAGAGAGGTAGAGAGAATAATGATCCAAGAAATGGTTATAAATAGTATATTATAGGTAAAAAGGAGAATACTGATTGGTTGTGGTTAGCGAGAAGTAAAATGAAAATTAGAGATCGCATGGCGCATAGGGTTGATGGGGTATGGTGGGGCGTGACTGGGTTTAGATGTGGATCGGGTCGTGATAACTGGTTCTTACGTGTGCCTGGAAAGGGCCTGGAAAGTTGCGGCACTTGCAAATGCTAGTATTGAGTTGAAGCAAAGGTTTTCATCTGCCGTGCGGCAGGCTGCAACCTGCCATTTTGGGTGCGAACCGTTTCTTTTCGCCTTTTTTAATGATCAATTGTTATACTTTTCAAGATATCAAACCTCAGAGAAATTCAGCTTCTGAGCCAGTCGACTGTGGACCGAGGCATCCTCAATCCGGGGGCTTACCAGCATTCTCGGCTCATCTTAAAGCAACTTCAATCACCCCAACTTTATTTCTTTATTCAAATCGTCAAACAAAAAAACATGTTGGTTCTTGATAGCATCCCCCAATGAAGGAGCATTTGGAAAGGTAAACCATTGACTACGGGGTCCAGGAAGCCCGAGATGAATATGACATACTGCCAGAGGAATACGAGGAAGCGTATTCCTCTATGTGATTTCGTTTCGTGGTAGCTTGGTGGTCTACATTTCCTCGCATTGCTACAAAAGTTTAGCTCTTTTGAGAAAGCCATATGCTATAAGCGTCGACGAGACGAGCTATCCTTTTATGAAAATATTAAGCCCTGCATTTTTGCAATAAAAGTGAAGGCATAAGATATTGCTCATATACATGCATGTAGAAACAATATCTGTCTCAGTTCGTTACAAGTGAATATACTCAACTACGGTTTTTATGAACTGTCCTTGGTTTTCATGAGTCCAAATCTTCCGTTTTCCTCAATTTACAGTTTAATTCGATATTAGATCTTTCTTTATTGAAGGAAATGTTGGGGTCTTTCCTGTTTTGATTAATTACCTATGCTTTCTGTTCAATACCATATACATTAGGATCCAGCTCGTCAAAAGATTTATTGCTTAAACTTGACCCAGTATTCCTTGTTTCAGGCCCTAGATATGCAACTAAAATTATATATCCGTAGACACATCCCATAAATATACTCATTACTTTTGCATAATCATACAGTGCCTCCGATGATGAAGTTTTTATTGGGAATCTTTCACCAATGGTTGCTTCTATGGTAGAGCTAGCACTAGAGCATAAGTTGCCTAATTGATAACCAATGCCAACAATGAAGGCTCTATACCGAGGAATTGATAATTCTGTCGAATACACTGGTGCCACTGAAAATGCACCTTGCATTCCAACATTCTGGAAAAATGCACCAGCATTTATGGCTTTACCGTTTATAAAAGCCCAGGGATATATCATGGCACCACCTAATATGGACGCTATGATGGCTGTCAATCTCCTACCGATATAGTTTGATGCATGGCCAAACAAAATCCCTCCAAAGATTGCACCCAAATTAGCAACTACATTTGTTACTGTAGACTGATCATTGCTAAAATTGTATTGCTTTGTTAATAGGGTAGGGTACAAATCTTGGGAACCATGAGACATAAAGTTAAAACCAGCCATCAATAATACAATGTAAACAAAACACAACCATTGCAGTTTCACTAATATTCTTAAGTTTTTTAGTTGCAGCTTTAAATTTCCCCTTTTTTCTTTTTGAATAAGTTGCTGTTGGATAAATGCATCTGTCTCAGGTAATATAAGTCTCCATAATACTAATAATACACCTAATCCAGCACTGAACCAAATAAGAGATCTCCAATTCTGGATAGTGGTATCGGCAATTGCTCTTTGGAAAATGACTGCCAATAGATACCCCACAGAATACCCCTCTTGAAAAATCCCACTAAGAACACCTTTAGCTTTGGGCGGACAATCATCTAATGCACAAGCTACACAATTGCCATATATACCACCCATTGCAACCCCAAACAATGCTCTAACGGCAAGAAATTGTTTGTATGTTTGAATAAATCCCAACCCTAGCTGCAAAATAATTAACAATATAACATTCACAATGTATGGCCATTTCCTACCATATCTATCAGCCCAAATACCGAAGATAATTGCTCCCACAGATCTCAACATTAAAACCAAAGTGATTCCCCAAGTTATATCTGCTATTGACTTGTCCAAATCCTCGGCCAATCTTGGCACATTCAAACTGATGCAAAAGAAGTCGAACAGATCGAGGACCCATGCCAGAAATCCAACCAAAAAAAAATTCCACTGTCTACCATTTAATTCCCCTAATGAATGGAATGGGTTTAACATTTCAGATAAATTTATTTCCATAAAATCTTTTCTAGACGGACAGAGTGTTGTAAATCGCGACATTAAGTATGAAGGTACCTTCTTAAATGATGGGTGTGAAAATGTTGTATCTTGTTTGGTTCCTAAGTTTTCTATTTCTGTACCTGTTTCAATAGACTTCATACTGAAGCCAGTACCTTTTGTTACTAGTGGCTCCATATTGCATATAATTCAACTGAACAAATTAACCCAAATAGAAAGTCAAGAGAATCTCCCCTTTATAGGCTGTCCTTGTCCTGAATTGCTGATAACGCGAAACAAATATTTCGGGCCGCGATCTCCGTGCTGATTTTGTTGCGCAAAGCTTAGCGCATTATGGGGAAATTGGGGTACATCAACCTTCCTATTATAGACCTAGTTACACTTTTAATGAAGTGGAGTTATTGTTCTTATCACAATTTAAAGGAATTTTCCAACAGTAAGAGTCAATAATTCCAGACCTCTCCTCTCTCTTTTCTTTGGATACCCCGACTACTTAATTTTGTGTATAAGCACTATAAAAGCCAATAAATAACACTATACCATGCGTGAGCTAAAAGTTTCAAACAAACAGATATGAGCCTCGAGAATTTGTCAATTGAAAATGGAAGGCTTTTGGACACTATTCATCAAACAGCCAAAATTGGTGCAAAAGGAATCTGGGGTTCTGAACCTACAGAGACTGGAGTCTGTCGTTTGAGTTTGAGCGACTTGGACAAAAGAGTGCGCCAGTGGTTTATATCTGAAGCCAAATCATTGGGATGTGAAATTAAAGTTGACAAAGTGGGTAACATTTTTGCTATCTATTCAGGTAAGAATAGAGGAGCTCCTTGTGCTATTGGATCGCATTTGGACACACAGCCTACTGGTGGTAGATATGATGGTGTTTTGGGTGTGCTCGCCGGATTGGAAGTGCTTAGGACAATGAAAGATAATAACTATGTCCCAAACTACCCTATTGCAGTTGTAGATTGGACTAATGAGGAAGGTGCAAGATTTCCAATGTCAATGATGGCTTCTTCTCTTTGGGCGGAAAAGGTACCAGAGGAACTTATTATGAATTTGGAATCCATTACAGATCAGAAACCTGTAACTGTCGAACATGAATTAAAACGAATTGGCTTTTATGGTGAGTTAGAAGCTTCTTACAAAAAGAATCCTCTTGCCGCTCATTTTGAGCTTCATATAGAACAAGGTCCGGTATTAGAAAATGAAGAAAAAAAAATAGGTATTGTTACCGGTGTCCAGGCTTATGACTGGTATAAAGTAACAATTCAAGGTCGTGCTTCTCATACAGGTACAACACCACTAAACGCAAGGTCAGATGCAATTTTCGCTGCATCTCAGATGATAACTAAATGCAGAGAAATTGCTATCAAGAACAATGGCTTAGTTAGTGTTGGTGTATTAGAAGTTGAACCAGGGGTTGTGAACGTTATCCCCAAAAAGGTTTCCTTCACTTATGATGCCAGACATATCCATGATGAGGGATTATTGAAAATTAATGAAGACTTGGTTGCTGAGTTCAAAAAGATCGCAGATAATTCAAATGGTAATTCGTCTACAGAAACTTTGAAATTAGAATTCGAGCACATGTTCAATTCAAAAGCAGTTCATTTTCATGAAACTTGCATTAATTGTGTGAGAAATGCGTCTGTTGAATTGTTTGGAAGTGACCAGGTTAAAGAGATTGTTAGTGGAGCTGGGCATGATTCTTGTCCGATAAGTATTAGATGTCCAACTTCTATGATTTTCATTCCTTCTCGAAATGGTATCAGTCACAATCCTGAGGAGTTTTCAACACCTGAACAGATTAATGAAGGGTTTGAGGTTTTATTAAGAGCAGTTTTGAGTTATGACAAGTCAAGAAAAAACTAAATATATGCCATATTTGTGGTTATAAATATTAATTTATATATCCGTATCCTGTCCTTAAATGAAGATTATTGTGAAAAATTATATTCGTCATTAAACATAATTACACTATATTCAAGTTGCCCCAAAAACATTTTGTTGTATTCGCGATTTAAATCTCTATATTACTTCTCAAATTCAAGGCTTGTTTCAATTTATATCAAAATACAAGAAAATAAGCCTATTAATCAAACCAATACTGCTACTAACTTGCTGTTGCCTCTTCTAGTACTACTCGGCGGATAACGCCCGACTCAGGGATGGTATGGTTTCGCTTATTGAATGAGGGTCAGCTGTATTCACGGTATAAACCATACAAGAAAATACCATCAATAATGAAACTCCATTTCCGTCCTGCAAATCCACTTTGCCGCTTAAATTTTCATGAGCAGTTGATTGCAATTACCCAGAAAACACACCCTCTAAACTAGAAGAAATTTACCCTACTATATGTCTCATCTCCTTTATACCAAGAGCCCAAACTATGCACGTTTGTACTGAATATAAGATGTTCTGCTAACCTATTAAAACTCTCAAGACAAACGTATCACTAGAAGCCCTGATAACAGTCCCACAAAAAGACAAGACACCCCAAATTATTTCCAAAGCAGCAAGCATGTTAGCAAGGTCTTGTGACAAGTAACATTCCACAACACTTAGAAACTATATATAATGATTAGGCATAACTTAAGTCGTCACCGGTAAATTAAAATTAACTTTTCCTCAATACAATATATTAACTGAAGCTGGTAATAGTTTTGGTTATAAACATCCCAAATACATATGCATTAGTAATATTAGACTTGCCTAACAATTTTGTAAAAAAGATAAAACGTTATTAGAATTCAAAAATCCAAATTTAATAGTAATTTCTTCTCTATATAAGGGATGCCATGAAAATAGACGAATAAGGCCATCAGACACAATCGTTACATTATATAGTGAATAATTATTCACTTTAAATGGTAAAACATATCTGTTTTCCCGGAAGACCATTTAAAATGTTTCCTTTTTTCAAATTGTATGGTTTCCTGAAGTTTTCTGTTTTCTGATGAAAGGTTAACGTAAATTCTTGCTTTTTCTATAATACTCATCATAAACCATAGGTCGAATGAAATAGACAAACTTAATATGACAGCCTAAATTCTCTTTCATTCTGGCCACGTGCCAATGATATCTTTTCAGTTAATTCTTTACATGTTATAAACCTGAAATTATGTCACTTTTTCAGAAATTGAAACTGTGAATTAAGCCACATCAGCATAATTTGTACACCAGTAAGTGGGTTTTTAATTATTAATCTAACCGTGCTTTTTTTAATGTGAATCTTCAATTTGTCTACTAATTGGATGATTTACAACGTCAGTATCTTAGTTATGAACATTTTGAGGAGTAAAAAAGTGGTTTCAACCTATCCGCAAATAGGTAAAAGTGATTAGTCAATATCATACTTTTATTACTTTAAGTAAAGATATAGCTGTTTTGCCGAAAATTTGTACTGCATCTTGCTGTAGTTCAAGGTTTCCTGCTTAATGCCAATCCATAGTTAAAGGAGGTTAAATTTTGAACCACACTAATATTATGATGATAGCCCTTCAAATATAATATAAAGTAAAAAACGATGAAATGTGTAAAAAACTTCGTTGTGGCTTATAAAATATTTGCGTATAATTATATATAAATATGCTTATCTCTTGATACGGTATTGAACTGATAGCTTCATTTTATAGGTAACTTGTTCTAACCTACAATGAGCATTTCTTCTACAGATAAGAAAGATAAAGCTTTTATCGAAAGTACGCTGTTAGATCTAGAGAGCGTAAACAATGATGAGCACATCTTTCAAGATCCCGCTGTTGCTGAATACTACTATAATTTATAACGAGAAGACCAAATATGAGTGTCGATCTCATTTGGATCCTGAATTCACTTGGAGTGAACAAGAGGAAAAGAAGGTTACATGGAAAAATGACTGGAATGTGACTTTTTGATCTTTCATGATGTTCACTGCTTTAAATTTTGATAGAACGAACCTTCAACAAGCTCTTTCTGACAATTTCTTGGAAGATTTGAACTTGACTACTAATCAATTGAATACTGGAAAAACCATTAATTTGGTGTGTTTCCTAGTGGCAGAACTACCTTCGCAATTAATTTCCAAAACAGTAGGAGTTGATATTTGGATTCCTACTCAAATGGTTTTGTGGAGTATAGTTGCAATGTGTCAGACAGCTATTACTGGGCAGAATGGATTTTACGTCACTCGAGCCTTAATTGGTTTATTAGAAGGTGGATTTATTTGTGATACTTGCTTGTGGGTTAGTTATTTCTTCACTTCAAAAGATTATACTAAGAGGATGTCATTCTTTTATGCTTCAAACCAGATTACATCTATTATTTCTAGTTTATTAGCCTTTGCTTTGTTGGAGATTAAAACTTCAGCCTTAGGAGATGGTTGGAGATGGTTGTTCCTTATTGAAGGTGCGTTTACCTTGATTATTGGCATTGCCTCTTGGTTCTTAATGCCTGCTTCACCAGTACAAACTAAAACCTGGTATCTGCCAAAAGGTTGGTATACTGACAGGGAGGAAAAGATAGTGGTTAATAAAGTATTACGCGATGATCCAAATAAAGGTGACATGAATAATAGACAACCTGTTAATTTAAAAGAATTGTTTAAAGCATTTTTTGATTATGATTTATTCCAAATTTATATTATTTGTTTCCTTATTGAATTGAGTTCAGGTCCTGTCAGGGCGTACTTGCAATTATCTCTTCGTCAACTTGGTTTTTCCACTTTTAAAACAAATGCGCTTTCGATACCTAGCTCAATTTTAAGCCTTATAACGATGGTCCTATTCTCGTATCTTTCCGAAATAATAAATTCACGTTCATTACCCTTTGCATTTAATGCAATATGGTGTCTATCTACTTTGATTCCTATGAGGTATTGGCCAGGATCTGGAAAACAAGAACATGCTTGGGGAACGTTTGCACTTTTGACCGTTTTGTTGGGCCAACCGGCATTTCCAGCTTTGTCAACTACCTGGGTCTCTGCTAATTCAAACCCCGTGAAAACCAGGGCAGTTTCTACAGCTGTGGTGAATATGTTTTCACAGTAAGATAGTATCGTTGCTGCTAATACTTATAGACAAGATGATGCACCATTATATCACCGTGGTAACACTCAATTAATTGGAATTGCATTTGGTGGTTTTGTAATTGCTGTTCTATCAAGATTTTACTACCAATTTAGGAACAAACAAAGGGAGAAGAAGTGGCAAAATTTGAGTGAGAAGGAGAAGTTAGAATATACAACAACAACCACTGATGAAGGTAATAAAAGGCTTGACTTTAGGCTCATATACTAGATTTCTGTTTCTTTAGGTACAATATATATGATTATCACTAAAATTTTGTGACCAGACAGTTGCGGGCCATTTTCGGATTAGTTGAAAGTACAAGATATATATGAAAGCTATTGTAGAATGGTCTGGTGGGCGAAAAATTGGGTCCACTAAGTTGTAGAGCCTACATATTCAGATTGTATTCCTTCGCCATTTAGACGAATTTATGAGAAACTTAGATGTTAAAAATGAAATGGGGGGGGAGAAAGTAAGTATTGCAAGTAGTATTGTAAGTGAAGTGGGTCAATTGTGCTCCTCAAAATTTGCTGACATAACTTCCCAGCCAATGACTTATATTGTTGCTTTAATTTTGTACGTAATAGGACATACCATTATCTTCTGGCTCCACTGAGGTGGTAATATAAACTAACAGCCCAACTACTGGTTTGTCGGCGCGCATAGGTGCGAAATCTCTGAAAGGAGCCGCGCGAAAACGATTACAAAACGACACCATAGAGCTGACTATCTTAAAATCTTACCTTATATCACAAATATGCACACGCATAGCTTTACATACGTACAAAATTCTTAGTATTTCCAGAATTTCAGTAAAAATTACTATTTCTAATAAATTTGACTAAATGGAGAAGGACAATTTTTCGCGTACCAGAATATTCTACAATTCTTGGCTTCGATGACCATTTTACAATAGCTTTCATATATATCTTCTGTTTTATGTAGCTCATCATATATCAATATGTTTCTAGAGATGTGAGCAAGTCATGGTCCCAACATAGCCTTAAATAGTTATGAGACTATCTCACGAGACTATGGAAATGGTATCGTTGAAGCACAGCAGTTTATGTCAGAACGTTGGCATGAAATCATCAATCCTCCTATATTTTTTAATGAGCTGGAGGCTTTAAAGCCGATATCCAACTCTCAGTGAAAGAGATAAATTGAAGATATTAATTGCTTACTCTAATATATTGGTTTTTATTTGTTTTCATATATGTTTTATCTCTATAAAATGAATGAAGTATGTTTTATGCTAAGCTTGTGATGAATATGTAAATTATAGGTATTGCACTGTTTGGCTTTGTTTATTTATTTGATTTTAATAGTACCATGACATCGTGGTATTCTCTTAAAGTAAACAAAGGACAATTTACACTATTAGTATAGGGTTGAATGTTTTGCATGCGGTTACAAGTATAATTTTTGTTAGAAAAACAGCCCAACACAGTAAGTTGCAGCCTCACAGCCACTAACAATGCCAAATGCCGGCCATAAAGACCCCTGCTGGATATTCTACCAACCCCGGCCATGCAGCCACCTGCAACTGCCGCTCTCGGCAATGAAACCACACGTGTACGTACGGTTTACACCAAAAAGTCAAGACACCCATATCACATACTCCTTTCAGAAACATCGAAAACATCGTAAAACTATAACCGCCAACTGATTACACCCTTCTTTCTACATCCCAACCCGTAACCCCCTATACCTCAACTAACTAATGCAACAGCCCTCGTGTTACAGGCCTTTTTTTTTTTGCGTACATCAAGGGGGGCTCAAATTTGAGGTGACTACGTACAATTGTACAGCTTTCCGCTTTGAAAAATTGTGCAATACACGTCAGAAATGTTAGAATTCTCTTAGATAATATTTTAGATCTCTTACATGTATTCTTACCTAATACAATTAAGGCTATCATGTAATTTTCTGGGAGCTATTATGCAAGAGCTCTTTTTCAGTAAATTTGGTGAGAAAGACGGGTTAACATCGACTGCTGCGTATAGTATTCTAATCTCACACTCACCAAATTCTCTGCTAGATGTTATTGAAAATGAATTTGGAAAACCAACATATTTAGTTTTCTATGGCAACAAACTTGCCAATAACATTGAAATTTCTACATTTCTACTTCAAATAAACGTTCATTGAAGATGGGAATATGGATATTGCTTTCGAAGACATTAAACGAAGCTAACAAAATGGTGGCTTCAATATCCCTATATTTTAAAATTAAATAGATTCTTGGGATGGGTACTTCAAGCAGTCAGTCAAAGGTATGATGGAGGAATAATGGAAGACTTAAAAACAGCCAAATTGGACAAGCTATTCCAACAATTCTCATGGGAGTAAATAAAGTACGATGACAAACAGCCGGAAAATTGGTTCATTATGTGTTGTTCCCGGTATTGTATTAATTGATGTTGTATTTTCAAGTCTTGTTCGAGGGGGTGGGGTTATTCTAGCAATAATTAGAGGCTGGTAGTAAATTTTGAAAAATTTCTAGGGTCAAGAATGTAATTGGGGTGGTGATATCGCTCTAGCAATTCCATTGCTGATAAAAGTATCCTAATCAACTCATAGACCAGCAATTACGAGTTTGATGCAAGCAAGTTATGTATTACGTCATTTCTAGCTAATAAATAGTTAACAGAGAAAGTGTGGAAGTGCTAGGGAGTTGAAAGATGAGTGAGAATTGTAAGGCATTAGACAAGTTCCAGGCGGGTGAATGATTATACCGAGAAGGGAAAACAAGCACAACAATTTTGTCGAATCATTGGTCAAATAATACCTGGCAAATATCAAGATTCAAATGAATAAGATAAAAAAATAGCTTGTGGGTATGCATTATCTTTGTGATGATTTTGAAGCAATATCTTCTATCGTTGTTCGGGTACCAAAAGTTACTGAACACCCTTCATCAAATACTTCTAGAAGAATTACTATCACTTCCATATTTCTCATTTTCACTTGCTCTATCAGACTCATAGCTTCTTCTTCGGCATTAATTTTTTCGACGTTTTCCCAATATGTAGTCAAGAGTATCAAAATCATTCTTCTTGTGTTTTTCATTGTTTGTGCTGTCCGACAATCCGAAATCTATCAAAGAAATCTTACCTGAAACTGACACATGTATATTAGCCGGCCTCACATCGTTATGCGAAATTCCTATCAGATGAAGCTCTTTGAGTCTTGACTTGATGACCCTGTATACTTCTTTCTTATTCCACTGTTCTTCTGGGACCTCCTTCCCTAGGTATTCCAATATATGCATAGGATGGTCAGAAAGCCCGTTCCAATAACCAGAAATAAGGAGCTTTGGAAAGTTAGAAGCGAATTTTGACTTAGCAATTTGTTTGTTAATTAAAAGCTCGTTGAAAAACATGCCATAGTAACCCTCTTTTTCCGGTATCTCCAAATACATAAAACTATTCTTTTCCCACAACTGACTAGAGTAGTGGTATAATTTGACAAAAACTGGTGATGGAAGTTTCAAATCAGGATAAAACTCTGCGGAATCGTATATGATTCGACAATATGTGTTGCCTTCAATGGAATCAAAGTTATCACTCAAGTCAATTTCTCTTATTGAGGCTAGGTTGCCTGAAAGTCCATGTCCAGCCAATTTCCTCGAAGATCCTTTATTTTTTTTTATTGAGTCTGAGCGTGCAGCCAATTTCTTAGAATTTCCTTTATTTTTTTTTNTTTTTTTTATTGAGTCTGAGCTGCCTGAATATCCATGTTCAACCAATTTCCTCGAAGATCCAGAAGGATCTTTAGGACGAACGTTAAAGAATGGATCCAGCTCTTTTATTTTTTTTACTTCAGCTTTGCAGGCAACATTAAAAAGTTCCATCAACCTGGCCTTTGTAACAGATGCATCACCAAGACTTTTATTAAAAAAACCTGCCATAGCCGCCCTTAAAGTAATACCATGCTCCACAGTTTCTGGGTCATTGATTATATAGTAGTCTATAATCATTTCACCATCTACTATTTCATACTTGAAGAATCCTGAAAATGTTTGGTGATCTGAAATAAAAATTCTGTCAGTTCCGCAGAGAAAAGCTTCATAGATATATTTGCTTAGAACCAACGCAAATAATACTCTAGGTGACCACTCCCTATCTGGAAAGAAATTTTCAATAGAATGCAGTCTCAATCTTCTTCGGTTCAGAATAGCTGTTTTAAATTCTTCGAAGCCTTGCATCATTTTATATATTCCTGTTTTGTAATCACCAACCCCGAAAACGATATCAGGATATTGTGTATTTAAATCAGACTTAGTTAACATGTGAATGATATCAGGTTGTATCGTTCTTTTTCGATCTAACGGTGGATTTACAAAGGATGGACTACCAAAATGATTAGTTCTATCACCAATATCATGAAAAAGTCCCCCGATCGGGATTGCTATTTCATTAAAGTACCGCTGGATAACTCGTTCCACATGTATTGCATCACCCATTGGATAGCGATAGTCTTCTGCTAAAAGTCGACTCTTAATACTTGATTCTCGAAGAGCATTATCAAGGGGGCCAAGGAACGTATCCTTGAATTCATCACTACTCATCTTCCTAAATTCAGCTGTGATCAATGCCCGGCTAGTATACACAAGAATAGGTATAGAAGGCATATTTCCTAGGCCCACAGATGCATTACCCTTAGACACTAGTTTCTCTGCACGACGTTCTTGCCCATCTTCATTACCCCGAATCTTAAGCAAGTGAGTGTCCAAAAAGACTCTTGTGTTTTGTTCTTTGTTATTGCGAACTCTATCATATAGTTCTGGGTTTATTACAATGCACTCGTTGCTAGGATCATCGATAGTGATAGAATCGCTATCTACCCCTGAAAAATACATACACGGCATTAGGTTATAGATATTAATATAGTGTTTATTGTTATCCCTTAAAATCTTTGAAGGGGTTACCCTTCCTTGATTACATAATTAAGTGTCTTAACTAGTCGCACAGTTATACGTCTTAACAAAGCTTCGTTTTGTGATACGGCACTGCAAAATCTATGCAACGTTGTAAAATACGACGTAAAAAGCATTTTGTCATTTGGCACTACTTCAACGCAGCTTGTGTGCTATGTCTTGTCTTTTGGACAAGTTATTATAAAATAATCTCCCTAGAATTTAACATATCAGGGGCACTATCTGTTTTCTATCATCGATTAACTCCACCTCCACCACTACGCACCCATTCGGTGCAATGTCGTGAGTGCAATGTCGCAAATGCGAACGTAAAAACCAACTGAACACTTTGATTGTTCTGTTACATTGACACAACCAGTTTGTCGCACGCTTCGTTTTGCAGGTTACGCTGTGTGAGATCGTCATGCTATTTAGTCAATTAACTATGTAAAGTATAATAGTCCCCTTAGAATTCAGCATATCAAAATTGTTCATAAAATATCTGTCTTCTTCCATCCTTCACATCAACGTCTTCCTGGTTATCAACTGCGATCTTACTAAACTCGTCAATCTTGGTAATACCAAAACTTTTTTCGTGATGTTGGCATATCAGAACCCCACAAAATGCAATTATTTCCTAGATGAAACTTGAAACAAGTATTTCTTTTATGCTAACATTAATTAATTTGTTATAAATTGAAAAGGTCCCACAAGAAAGAATAATGAGGTTTTTGCTCGCATTAATTTAATCGCAATGAATAACAACACTTTTCCTAATAGTATTAGGAGATATATTTTGGAACGCGGCGATGAAGACAGGGATATGAATATTGATGTTGATAATGATATCGATAGTTTTGATATTGCCAAATTCGACTATAGAACATTATTTGATAAAAGTGCGAATCAAAATATCAGCCATACCCAAATGGTGTATAAATTTTTTCGAATTGAAAATATATCTGATGTGGATACAGTTCCTCAAAAGCACAAGTGGTATTTTGACGATCATCCAAATGAATGGAAAAAATTATTTATCTTCTTTTGTGTTATGCCATTTACAGAATATGAATTTGAAGGACCTGATGGAAATTTATTAAACCCTGATACCCTACGTAAGGCCAGTCTGAGCCAAGCTACTGACAACATTCTAATTCGGACTTTTTCGGATATAGAGTTTGAACCATTCAACGAGGAAATTCCGGAAAGAAGATTAGCAAATGGCTTGCAATGTATTTTGAGAACAGATCTATTCTCTAATACGTTTAGCGAGGATCAAAGAAAAAAAGTAATTACAAATTTGCTCTATGTTGGTCTTCAATCAAAGCATAAACTTGTTAAGCATATTCGATCAAAGGCAGAATTTACGTATAGAGATAATTTCAAACAATACTTATTTAAACCTATAAGTGAATA